AATATAGGACAAAACTGTGAAACAAAAATGACTCAACTTGAAGACTGAACTTGAATGCAAAGTCTTAGTGTGGATAAACAAGGGCCAAACCAGGACTAAACCAGGTTCTAAGGTTCTAACGCAATGTCTGACTCAATATCTAAAAGATGACATACAGTAACCATGAAACAAAAATGACTCAACTTGAGGACTGAACTTAAATGCAGAGTCTCAGTATGGATAAACAAGGACGAAACCAGAACTAAACCAGGACTAAAGCAGGTATTAGTGTTCGAACGCAATGTCTGACTCAATGTCTAAAATATAGGACATAAACATAAAACAAAAATGACTCAACTTGAGGACTGAACTTGAATGCAAAGTCTTAGTATAGATAAACAAGGACCAAACCAGGACTAAACCAGGTTTTAAGGTTCTAACGCAATGTCTGACTCAATTTCTAAAATATAGGACATAACCATAAAACAAAAATGAGTCAATTTGAACCAAGGACTGAACTTGAACACAGTATTAGTTGAAATAACCAGGACCAAACCAGAACTAAACCAGAACTAAAACTGATCTACAGTATTACTTCCATGTCTAAAGCCCGACTAAAACATTAAAGATGCACCATGTAACTTTTCTGACATAGGGTCTTCCACCTTCCTCAAAAATACCTTGGAAAAACAAGCAATCGTATTAGGAGTGGGTCTCGTCTCCATGGAGATAGACAAGTTTAACGCCATAGTGTGGGACATTCCAGGCAAAGCAATAACATCTCAATGAAAACAAGCAGGTTGCAGAGTCTCCACTAGAAAAGTTACATCTTACACATTTAACCAAATAAACTAAACAAGCACTTGAACTTTAATGTCTAGAGCACCATCAGAACATGCGTACCACCTCCAGCCCAGACGCCACAGTTTGAGAACCACTGCATTAAACCCTGCAGCATCCAGCCTGTATAAATGCTTGCTCAGCATCAGGGGCTAACCAAGCAGCCACTTAAATAATGTACGCCATTACAACTAAATTTGAATTAATTGCAACGCCTGTGTTCCCATGCTGACTTTGCTACAGAAAGTATCCAATTTTGTGACAATGAGAAATGACTTTGCTTACGAGTCAATACGCAAAAGTCAACAGGTGTAGGAGGGGACAATTATTCATCCGTAGCGTATTATTAGGAATCAGCTCTTTCCTTTAGTTTCCCCATTATTGAGTGAGGAGTTGCTTGTTTGTCACACCCCATGCCGAAACTGCCTTGATACAAGCGTTGGAGAATTCAGCACCACGGACAGCGCCAGCACCACCAGTCACGACCGCAGAAGTAAGGCATTTCAAGAGGCAAATAGGTCAGGAAAACATGAAGAACGGGGGAAAAAAACAGAGAAACGTGGGAGAAATTCGAGATTCTTATTCCTTTTACATTTACATACACTAAATACATAAGGGTGGGCAAAATGTAAGATAAAGTAAGGCATTTCAAGGGGCAAATAGGTCAGGAAAACACAAAGAATCGAAAAAAAAACATGGAGAAACTTGGGAGATATTCGAGATCCTAATTCCTATTACACTTACATACACTAACTACATTAGGACAGACAACATGTATTATGAGTTCAACAGACTAAAGCTGTCTATTTTGTTTCTATTACTGATTATAGATTCCATGTAGAGTAGTTTAGGACACATTCCAACATTTAATTTACTCTTTTGTTATTTTTTTTGAGCTATGGGTTTGTTTTTTTTGTTTTGGTTTTTACTTTGAATTTTACATCAGACTGAACTGAATGAATTTGCTGTATTTACACAAAACTTTCACATACTTAAATGTTTTCCTGATAGGTGAATGCTGTTTGAAAGTTAGTACTGAAAAATTATGGGTCTCTGAATTATGTGACCCATTGAAACTAACTTAAAAACAAACTTTTTGACAAAAGTTGTGTCCCTTGTTGGGTCCTGGTTTGAGCCCAGTTTAGTGCAAATGTAAGCCTAGTTTAGTCCTGTTATAGTCCTGGTTTAGTGTTGGTCTAGACCAGGATTAGTTCTGAATTTAGTCCTAGGTTAGTCCCAATTTTGATGTAGTGCAAATGTGAATGCAGTAATGAGAATGGATTTTTATAATAACCTTGGGAAGTTATTTACACACAAGTACATTTTCTGATTTAAAAGGAAAAAACAACACTGTGTAAAAAGGATATGGCCATTCTGTGATCTTTTTGGCGTATTTGCGTATGATATTGTCCTCGCTGAAGATGAAGAGCGAGCGGTTGACTGTGAGGCAGTTTTGTTTGACTGGTATGGGGTTGTACAAGGCCATGGTCCGAGCCCTCTGAGCCATTGTCTGCTTGTACATCCTCTGACCACCAGGAGGCGCCCCACCCGGCTGCCGACTCGCTGCCCCTCTGCCCGGGCCCGCGGGACAGCCCCCTCCATAGCGGCTGGACAGTTCGTCGTCAAAGCGAGCCATTCTTGGATAGCACAGATGTTGTTGCTACTGGAGAAACCAAAATTGACACTAGAAAGGAAATGGAGAAGAAGCATCACAACATACACAGTTGTCCCAAGTTTTTAGCCGTGTGTTTTTAAATCGGTCAAATCACTGCTGTGAAAAAAAAGGGGGGGAGGGGGGACTGGGAACTGCTTGAGGGCGCCCAAGTCCTGTCCAGTTATTCAATTATGTGTGGTAAAGAGATGGTTAAAAATCTTAATTGGAGAGGCCCCCCGCAAATTGTTGCCCAGGGCCCTTAAAAACTGTACAGTCGCCACTGCGTGTATCGTCCCCGGTGAGAAGACTCCAACATTCAGCTCAAAAGAAACAAAAATCTGTTACCTCCTCCTCTTTGGTACTTCCCACGTTTTTACTCTCCGCGACATGAAACGCAAAGTTGAGCTTTTCAGAATCCATGATGCATCATTTTCTTGGGTGTTCCCCGCTCCTCTGGCAGCTGGCTGGCTGCCTGCCTGCCCCGGTGCTCGTGGGGAGCTAAATTTCACTTGCGACAACGCCACAAGTCCATGCGATCTGCAGGGTGGGCATTTGCCAAAAAAGAACCGCGAGACTTAGGCTAAAAGAACACAAATCGCGCAAGTGGCTAACAGACAAATCAAAATACTCGTAAAACACGTTTATATTCCTCTAAAAGAGTCGTTTTCTTGAGTTAAAAATCTCAATCAAACCTCGTAACGCCCCGTCTTGACAAAGCCAGTCGCTGTCAGCCTCCTCCGAGTGCTTTCTGGTGGAGAATTCCCGTCTGGGCAGCGCGGTGTTTCCATGAAGTCGGCGTTACGTGAATGCGCGCAGAGACACACGCTTCGGTCCAGCTCCTCGGGCTCGGAGTGCAACGACCACGTGACCCACCTGGACCAGCCCTGTCTCCATAGCAACAGGGAGGAGGAGAGATACAGCAACATGCACGCGGCCGCAACAAAGCACAGGCATGACAAACGAAATAAAGGGGGGTTACTGCTAATTGAGGGTAATGTGGTCTTCTGTGCAGTTTGAAGGAATATTACAGTGAGAAATGAATGTCATTGTCAAGAGGAGTATGCAACTCTGATTTGCAAAGTACTCTTAACCAAAACATAGAAAACATAATGATAGGTCTACAGTCCCTGACAAAAGTCTTGTCGCTTATCCATTTTGTAGAAACAAAAGCTTATAACCTGACTTTAAATTAATTGATTGGTTTTTGAAATGTCTCATATGAAAGCTAAAACCCTCCCAAATTATGGTCAATATACTAAAATAAATTTGCTTCACTGAAGAAAGATTGATCATTTAATGAACACAGAAAGGTCAGATTTTGGCAAGACAAAAGTTTTGTCGCCTACAGAAAATTGAACAAATAATTTACTTCAAATACAAAAATATGTTGCATAACGTCAGTGAATTAAGTAGTGGTGCTGTGAGATCCATATTTAATATCTTGTATGACTTCCATGAGCTTGAAGGACTGCATCCATGCGGTTCGACAATGATTCATACAATTTGTTGATGAAGTCATCAGGAATAGCAAAGAAAGCGTCTTACATGCCTCCCAGACTTCATCAAGATTCTTTGGTTTTGCCTTCCATGCTTCCTCTTTCATTCTACCCCAGTTTTTTAATTGCCTTTTGTTTAGTGTTGGTTTCTGTGCACTGATTCGATCATGGAGGCCATTTCGAGACAGAATTCTACAAACTGTTGTGGTTGACACAGGGACTTGAGGTGACCAGGCCTGGTGGAGCTCTGCTGCAGTGGAAAAGGGGCTGGCCTTGGATTTTTGAATCAACAAACAGTCCTCCCGAGCAGTTGTCTTGCGGGGTCTGCTGGACCTGGGCTTGTCAAAAACATCTCCAGTCATTTCAGATCTTTTTCTTATTCTTTGAACTTGACGCTGAGACACATTGAAGGTGTCAGCCACCTCAGAAGTGGATCTGGTCTTCAGCCTCTTGATAATTAACGCTTTGGTCTCAGGGTGGATCTTAGGCATGTTGTCAGAGGTCAAGTTGCAGTTGATGTGAAGGTCTAGTGTGCTGGGGTTCTTTTTATACACACCCACTAATTGATTGATCAGTTACTGATCACAGGTGAGGCTGTAATCTAGGATTGGGTGCATCATATGACAAGACTTTTGTCTTGCCAAAATCTGACCTTTCTGTGTTCATTAAATGATCAATCTCTCTTCAGTGAAGCAAATTTATTTTAGTATATTGAGCATAATTTGGGAGGGTTTTAGCTTTCATATGAGACATTTCTAAAACCAATCGATTAATTTAAAGTCAGGTTATAAGCTTTTGATTCTACAAAATGGATAAGTGACAAGATTTTTGTCAGGGACTGTATATTTTACATGACAACTTGGCCAAAATCTTTTTTTTTTTTTTTGGATTGTGTGTGTGTGTGAATATCCAAGTGAAATTACCAGTCAAATGTCAGGCTACATAATACCATCATGTAATGGAGACTAGATAATATCAAACAAGTCTTATGAAGGTGAAATGCTGTACATTATGAAGGCATAACCACAGAGAAATTTTGTTTACAAATTGTTTACTAATAGGTAGTACAAAAAACTACATCTCTACATCTGATGAGTAAGGCATGATTCAGTAAACAACACTACTTTCATTAAAAAACAAGTTAAGAAAAATAGGGACCAGTTTTATTTATAAAAAGTTGTAGTGATTTATAGTGATGTTAGCGTAAGAACTACAGTAATGGTTCGGTCTATTAAAGTTATGTGTATTTATCTTTGGACATAGGAAAAAAAAAACAGTATTGCAATCTAGGCTCTGTTCAAAACTGGAAAAACTCAAGTTTACTCTGTATTACTCATAATTTGAGAGAAGGAATGACATAAAAAAAACAAAATAATTTATCATAGTAAATAGTTAATGAAACATACAAAACACAGTAGATTCACATTTCATCTTGCAAATGATATAAATTTGATGTTTTCAGAGATTTGAAGTTGGATAAAGCCCTTAAAATACCATTTGACTAATTCATGCATTGTGGTAATTATGTTACACATGATCTATGCAATATAGTGACAGCAGATTTGAACAGAGCCCTATAGTGTACTTCTATAAGCACAGTTGTTCGGACAGTGGTTAGTTTTCGCAGGTTAATCAGGTTGAGGTTGAATTATCGGCTGGCTGAGGGGTGGCGACACTTGGGGGACCCGCACTGGCAGCTGAAGTACTTGCTTTTAATCTTCCAGTAGTGATCTCCATACTCAAACCTGCCAGAAGAACAGTCTGTTAATATGCCTGTAATATTGTCTTCACTGTTGGTTTAGGATTGTACTTTGTCATGAGCTTTACAAGTTTATTCGCAAATCTTTAAAGTAATCTTTCTATCGCTGCCTAAACCCATTAGCTTGCTATTTTACGACAAAAAATTACATTTTAACTGTATTTATTTTAGATGCCCTCCATCTGTAGTAAATAAAATTGGCCTGTAGAATGCTATGATCTGTGATGTCATCTGAAACTTAGCAATACAGGTGCATCTCAGTATACACGTGTTTGTTTTTATGATAATCCACTTCTTATTGTAAGTGCAGTGGGATCAAGCTTGAACCATTAAAAGGTGCAGTGTGTAACTTTTTTATTGGTAGAGGATCTACAATCTGCTCGTCTCATGGAGTACTTACTGTATTACTATTTTTTTTTATTCCAAAAACACCTCAAAAATTACATGTCTAAATTACATGTCTCCACAGATCTGACCTGTAACTGAGGTCAGCTACTTGTCTACATGGAGATGTCTTTTGACTTTTTATTACTTTGAATTTTATTTTGTTGAATGAAAAGGTATTAAAACATCCTACAACAGTAAATAATAGTCACCATAATAATACAAGCTTAACGTACACTAGTTGAACTTTAAAGTATAACTTATATACATTTCCATTGCATTCTACTGTATTAAGATGCACCTATATAGCTTTTTTTGGTTTGTTTTCTGACCCACCCTAACTGGTCTCCAGCTCTGATAGGGCGGCTGGAGAAGAAGGCGATGCGTGGGAAGCGCAGGTCCTGGTGCATGGTAAACACCTTCACAGCCAGCAAGTTGGGCTCACACAGATGGTTCAGGAAGCGCCCAATGTTCCCAAAGAGCCTGGAGTCTATGCAGTGGGCCTCGCCAACCTGAACAACAAAAAACAAAGAAATACTTGCCTATAGAATGCAGTAAAAATTGTTTAAAGGTGCACTATGTAACATTTAGTAGAGGGTCCGTCACCTGCTTGTTTCTATGGATATGTCATTGCTCTGTCTGGATTTTTCCGCAGTATGAGGTATGATTAAACAACTCTACCTTATATTTATTCAACTATAGGTGGTTTTATAGCTCTAAAATACCAAGAAAAACAGGCGTTCTGACTGTGAGCGGGGTCGCCTCTCCACAGATCTGACCTGTAACTTGGTCTGATTTGGGCTCCATGAAGATAGAAAGGTTTAATGCCATACTGTGAAACATTCCAGACAAAGCAATAACATCCCCCCTTCAATAACAACACAGATAGACACAGACACAAAAAATACGGACTGTCTGCCCTCTACTGGCCATAGCGTGTGGTGCTACTGTAATATTCATGTCAAATAATGGCATTACCTTGTTTCCCAGAGTGAAGAGGAAAGAGTCATCCTCCCTTTTGTCTGCCTCTGTGTCAGTTATGATCTCCCCAACGTATCTGTGGAGGAAGCAGTTTTGAGCACAGTTTAAAAATTAATGCTCCGAGATGCGAAATTCAGAAATTCAGCCATTTCTCTTAAAGGGCCCATATTACGCTATTTTCTGATCTATGTTGTAATGCAGTTTCCTGATCACAAACATGTTCCACCTCGTGATGTCATGTCATAAAACAAGAAGTGCTCCACTGCATTTTTAAACTCCATACACCTTGACTAGAATCATCTGGATCATTTCAGCCCTGGAATTGCCAATCTCTACTAAACTAAAGGTAAAAGTATCTCTCTTAACCTGAAAAACTACAACTACATGACATCATAGGCAGACTGATAATAAAGGGTTACTCAAACGTGTGAATGAACCACAACACAACTCCAGGTATGTTTTTGATGAGGGAACAACATTCTAACATGACTAAAAGCTCACAAGAGTAAGTTTTTCATAATATAGGACCTTTAAGATATAGACATATATACAACAGTGGTCGTACTCGCAAATGAAGGTCCCCTGTGGGATGTCCTGCATGGCTCTCACACCCCAGCCCATCTTCTGCGTTCTGTAGACTTGGAGACGCACTCTGCAATAAACAAAATGATTTATTTTCTTTCAGATTTTAGATGTCAGTCTGTTAGATGGATGCAGGCATGTTTTTAGATATCCAAAAGAAAAATTCACAAATGATATAATAATAAAATAATAACCATAATAACCATATACTATAGTTGGTGAAATTTGGAATATAGTCTTACATTCGCGCTAGCATATCACCTGATTTTCCTCTCAGTTGCGTGGGGAGGAAGACTAAGTTCATGGCCAACTGCTACAGCTAAAGCCTAGAGCGACTTAAACACTGATTTAGAGGCTCTGCAGAAGCTAAAAACTCAAATACAAAGGAGGTAAGACGGGAGGAGTGGAAGCAGAACTTTTAGCTATAGTTTAAATAGATCAAAACAAGTAGGTGCAAATAATTCACTATTGAGGAGTCTAATTATGGAGACTTGGGCTGTTTGAATGCAATACAAAAAGACACTAGCTATAATGTTAATGATAATAAAAGATGCATTGTGTAACATTTCTACCTAGAATGTTCCATAGTATGACATTAAACAGCTCTACCTTACTTTTATTAAATTATAGCTCAAAAATACCTAGAAAAACAGGCATCCAACTTGGCCCGGTTTGGTCTCCTTACTATCAAACATTCTAGACAAACCAATAACATCTCCATGGAGAAAAGCATTTGACGAACCCTCGACCAGAAAAATTACACAATGTCCCATTAAGTAAATAAAAACACAAGAAGGGTTCTAAAAGGTCTCACCTCAAACCGTTCTGAACAACTCTGTTCCTACAGGTTCTCCAGCAGGAGCAGGCGTGGTTACACTCATACAGCACCTGTGGCTCGCGCTGGCAGAAGTCCAGAGGAAGACGCCCTTCCTGTATTATACAAATAATGGAGAGATGAGCAGTGTTTTAAGGTCATTTATGTATTTTAGTCCTCTGTGATTTTTACATTTCTGGATTTCGGAATGGTTATGGACATACACTGTGCCATATGTTTAAAAAAATATATAAACTGCTAAATTTTAAGCATGAAATTAACATTGTATTATTAAGATGTCAACACACTAATAATAAAGGATTACTTAAAAATGTGAACAAAACACAATTCCAGGTATGTTTTAGCTGAGGTAACAACATTCTATTCAAAGCTTTGGGATGTAGTAGTGCTACTTGGATATACAAAAATGTGCAGAATTGTCCTTTTGGTGCTCCTCAGTGTAGGGACCAGTCTCAAATACAAAGTAGGAAAAAAATGAGGCACTCAAAAAGTACAAAAGAATTAAAAGCCTTTAATACCACATGGCAGACAAAGTTAAAATCACGCCAACACGTTTCGGCTTTTAATTATTTTGTACTTTTTGAGTGCCTCAGTTTTTTCCTACTTAAAATTCTATACAATTGTGCATAATATGGGACCATTTAAAACCTACACATCTGGGAAGAAAGATTCAAAACACTACATGACACCGTAAAATAATCTGAGTAAATAATTCTGACTTACACTGTCGTACCAACATCTCAAACTGAGCTGCCCACACATACAGGACACAGAAGAGCAGTCGTCTGTGCAGGTGCAGTGCTAACAGAAGAATAACAGGTAAATAAATCAATATAATTATAATATCAAACAGCAAAGTAGTTGGCTGCATTTGTGGCTACCTGGCTCACACACTAAGCATTTTCAGCTCATTTTTAACATTATATCAAGGGATTTTGACCAACTAAGAAGTGCAACATGTGCAGTTCAAAGGACACAAGTAAGGGACTGTTGGATTTTGTGAAATGAGCTGTTTGTTTTCCCTGTACCCATGGAGACCGTGCAAAAAGGTTGCAAAGGAGCTATCTAGGGACATTTGAGAGGCTGTGTTTTGTTTTTTTACACCATATGCGGCAGCAAAAGTGGCAGAAAACCTTCAGAGGAAATACTTTGAGAGAACAAACACAAGGGACTGTTGGATTGTGTGTAATGAACTATTTGTTTTTCTCGTATCCATGGAGACTGTGCAAGAGGCTAGCTACAGAGGCTACTATGGACATTTGAGAGGCTACAGGCTTTTTACACCATATGTGGCAGCAAATATGGCAGAAGAGCTTCCAGAGGAAACACATTGGGATCGAAAAAAATATCTCTCTGTCTATCATCTCTCTTCATGTGATTCAATTCAAAACATCTGATCATTAACCTGTAAATGTGTGATGTCCTTGTCTATGTTGAGGGGAGAGGTGATGCAGCTCTCTGGGATGTATTTAAAGTTATCAGGACATGGTTCACTGTCCACACCATTCACACAACTGATGGGAGAAGCTTCGTAACCTCGAGAAATATCCCTAAAGGAAAAGAGCACAAAAAACAATGCATATACTCAATTATTATGCTTACCTTCAGAGTAAGCAACAGTTGAAACAAATCTTGTACCACAAGATCTCGCAGGTTGAATGCTAGATCTTTTGTACTAGCCTTGGACAATCTACAATATTTTTTATTCTTCACTTAACCAGGAATGGAGACATTTTTCATGGCTGATGCGGATATGAACTATTTAGGATACAGAGCAATTGACAGCCGAGGTTTACCGATATTTTTGGGCTAATATTTTGGTTATTTTCTTCAAATGACCCTATTTAAATTTACCACAAACTCACCCACAGCCCTTTTTAAACACAAACTTTTAAGAAAGCTGTGTAGTCTCAATTTGTGCAGTTATATCTTAATAAATATCTTATTAAAAACTCCATATATTGTCCCTATAAGGACAATATATCAGTCTGTCTCTACAGGAAAGTCAGATTGAATCTCATTTTCAGAGGAGGCCCTTTTTTGCAACCAATTTTACTTTACAATACAGCAGATGTAATAACCATAGTTTACTATGGGCCACAAAGCAATAACATCTCTGCAGAGAAAAGCAGTTGATGGACTCTCCACCAGAAAAGTTATACAATGTACCTTTAAATGACAGAATATTGCAAATAGGCTTTTAGTAAAACAATAAATTACATAGAGGTGAGCAGTTTAGATCAATTTCTGCCATTATCATTGCTACCATCAGTAACACTAGCACAATAACATCACAGTGAATCTGGCAGCTCTTCATCACCCGTACCTGCTGAGCACTCTCTCTCCCTGACAGTCCCGTCCCCTCCGAGCGTCTGTCAGTTTCTTGTTGGTGTTGAGGGCTGTCCAGACTTTTGAGCCGAAGGGGCAGCAGTCCAGAGGCGTGCCTCCCTCTTTGTTCCTTTGATTCACGTCTGAACCTCGAGACAGAAACAGCCTACCAAGAAGATTAAAAAAAAAAAAAAAACGTGAAATAGGGATGCACTGATACACAAGGGAAATTACCTGGGCACAGCTCACACATCACAATATATTATAATAACAAAGAGAGAAGATATAAATGGTAATAACTTCTAAATAAGGAGCAGAAATAGCAAGGGACAGAGTCAAATAAGGAATATTTTCAAATAACAAAAGAGTGGTTGGCTGCTTTTTTTGGATGCCTGGCTCACACACTAAGCAGTTTTTGAAAGTTTTTGAGCTCAGTTTTTAACATATCATGGGATTTTAGCATGTGCAGTTCAAAGGACATAAGTAAAGGACTGTTGGATTTTGTGAAATGAGTTTGTTTTACCCATGCAAGAGGCTAGCTAGGGAGCTAGTAAAGGAGCTATCTAAGGACATTTGAGTTGCTAGAGGTTTTTTACACCATATGTGGTAGCAAATGTGGCAGAAGATCTTCAGAGGAAACAATTTGAGGGACTAGACCATATCGTCACCAACTGAAACACCTGTTCACCTGGTTCCCCCCTAAGCACCGCTGTGAAGAAATAAAATAATAAAAAGATTATATGAAGATGACAGGACATAAGGTTATCTGTTACAGTTGCTGTGAGTTGTTGTACAGTTATAGGGAGTATTATCTGTTACATAAGGATGTGCTGTTGTACAGTTGTATGGACTATGGTAATAAAGTATTCCTGTATCTCTCACTGTTTGAACAAAGCTGTTCTGTTTTTATTTGAAGGATAAATAACAGCCACATAACACATTTGGATCAGTTTTGTCAAATTGTATTTTTGCTAAAAGGAAGTAAATGCTGTTTTCAGTTTCTTGTTTTTTATTGGCAGCTACTTCAAGCCATAGCATTCAAATCTGTATCGGTGCATCCCTAACGTGAAATAAAGGGTAGTCTACTGGAAATATTGCTAAAAAGGTAAACTGAACTCATGCAGAGTCTCATTCAGAATACCAATAACAATGCTACTTCAAGAATCTCAGACTTGCAGTATTTCAAGCAGTACAACTTGAAATAGTGTATGTGTGTATGGGAAAAGGGGCAGTTTTGTCCTGATTTGTAGATGCAAATGTCAGCAGATGGCACACGGACTCTGCCATCAGCTGGTGCACTGACAGCAGACATAAACAGGCTTACAAGAATTGCTGGGATTGCGATGTGATCAATGAGTCTGATGAAATAGATATAAAAACACAGAAGAACACGTATAAATTACCATCAGTTGCCGTCAAATTGTGGGGGACGTTTTGAGCTTGCAAGAGGGAGACTGTCTAACCTCCATAAAGAATCACTGGTAATGGGTGACAGAAGGGTTTGTCTAGTGATGCACAGATTGGTGCGAGATTCTAGATCCCACAGATGAATGCTGTCATTGTGTCCTTGGGCTAGACACTTAACCCATCTCACCCCCACTGTCTGTGTACACTGTATGAATATGTGTGTGAATGGGTGGTTCCTTGATGTAAAACGCTTTGAGTGTCTTGAAGGTGGAAAAGTGCTATATAAAAAGGTGAACACGTGTGTATATAGTAGCTTTCTGGGATGTGAAGGTAACATTTGTAGAAGTGAAATAATGACCTGTTAAAGATGTATTGTGTAACTTTTCTGGTAGAGGGCCCATCAAATGCTTTTTGTCCTATGGAGATGTTATTGCTTTGTCTGGAATGTTTTACAGTATGGTATTAAAACTTTCAATCTGCATGGAGACCAAACCAAACAGACCAAGTTGCAGGTCAGATCTGTGGAGAGGCAACCCCACTCACAGACACAATGATTGTTTTTCTAGGTATTTCTGAGCTATAAAACCACCTGTACTTGACATTAAACAGCTCTACCTTTCATTTCTTCATACTGTGGAATATTTCAGGTAGAGCAATGACATAGCAGGTGATGGACCCCCAACCAAAAAAGTACATAATGCAGCTTTAACGGCATAACCAATAACACGCTTACATGACGCAGTCCAGGTGGTTTTCTCGAGCGGCGATGTGCAGAGGCAGGTCTCCGTGGATATTCACAGCCGTGAGGTCACAGCGAGCGTCCAGCAGAGCTTGGGCGATGTCATCACAGCCGGACAGAGCCGCCCAGTGCAGGCACACGTTCTCCTCCTGCAAACAATACAGGCAGCATTGGGATCAGTAAAAGGGGCTATATAACAGTAAATTTGTTATTGTGCTAAAATAGTTGTGTTGCCATCTAAAAGAAGATATACATAATCTAAATATACTTTCAGGAGCGTTTTGATTAATTCATGCGTGTTTAAAGGTGCATTGTGTAACTTTTCTGGTGAAGGGTCCGTCAAGTGCTTTTCTGCATGGAGATGTTATTGTCTTGTCTGGAATGTTTCACAGTATGGTATAAAACCTTTCTATCTTCGTGGAGACCAAACCAGACCAAGTTACAGGTCAGATCAGTGGAGAGGCGACCCTGCTCACAGTCAGAATGTCTGTTATTCTAGGTATTTTTGAGCAATAAAACCACCTTTAATTGAATGAATATAAGGTAGAGCTGTTTAATGTCATACTGTGGAACATTCAAAGCAGAGAAATCCATTGAAACAAGCAGGTGACAGCCCTTTACCAGAAAAGTTACACACTGCGCCTTTAAATATTGGTGTGTTCTCTCTTGATACCTTTACGAAATAGCTTGCTATTCCCTATACTAGGATTGAGTTCACTGTATAACTTCTTTTTGGTCACCCCCAATGTTAAAAACTATCCAAACGTTTTCAAAATGGCCTGTACAAGGTTTGGATTATTACAGACAAAGATATGAATTTAAATTGTTTTTAGACTGAGTTAGCTGGAGTCTCTTGAATATATATCACTGTATTACATTGTCTCTGATGTTAACGTCAGAACCTCTGGACAGATCATGCAGGCTATGTAAGGCAAAAGCAGTTTCAAAAATGCCAGTAGTTGTGTTTCTTATAATTTAACTACTATACTTTCACTTATTTTGATATTTTATGCCTGTTTAAATATAGTTATGTTTTCTGATGCTGCCTTTCTGTGACAGCGAGCTACTCTCTAAACCTAAAATTGAGCTTACTGTATAGATTAAACCAACTGTGCTAGAACTTCTTTTGGTCACGTCCAAGCGTTTAAAACATTTTTATGCAAGGTTTCATAAAATGGCCCATTTAAGACACATTTATTAAGTTTTTAGTTTGAGCCAGAACTTTTGAATACATATCCATGTGTTACCTTGTCTCTGATGTTAACATCAGAGCCTCTGGACAGCAGCAGGTTCACGATCTCTTTGTGTTTGTACTCGATCGCCCATGTGATAGGAGTCCAGCCCCCATCATCCTACACACAGAGAAAAAAATGATAAGTTTTATGGTCATTTTCAGTAAGCATTACAGTATATTGAGCTAAAACTACACAAATATTGGGAGGACCGAGAAATACCAATGACACAGTGTTACATGCAAGCCCTATTCCATTCTGTGTACTGCTGTCTGTAGCCCGGTAATTTTGGTTGGGAGGTTGGTTTAGGAGAGTGGGTACCCTATACACTTTACAACACACAGGATTATGTTTGGTTATACACACTAGGTTTATCAATTGTTGCCACCCTTGTTGTTTAAGCTTTTTTGTCTTTTAGATGAGTTAGATATGGCTTTTGATTTATTTTCTTTCTTAACCCAGGTTTCAGTGAGGCCCCAGTTATACTTTGATTTTGTTCTGCTGGCACAACTGGCAAGCACCTCCTCCAACCATTTTATGTAGAAACCTTTTGAATGTTGCTCCAAAATAAAATGGCCAAACACCTGTTGACTCCTTTGTTTCATTGTTTTATATAGGTTCTGATTCTTTTATATTAGTTATGTCTCTTAGCACATAAAGGACACAGCACACAAGTTCATTACCTGACAGTTGATGTATTTGGATGCTCTAGAGAGGAGATACTGAATCATGTCGTGAAGTCCCAGTTTAGCTGCCAGGTGCAGACAGGTGAAACCCATTATATCCTGCAACAGAAATATGCCTTAAAAATGTTACTTTTTATTATCAGTGTGTTTTTTTTGTTGTTATTTTTTTTGCCATAGGTCGCTATAGGTCAAAACATTATTACAATTCAAATCTGGTTCTCAAGAACATGCTCACACACTCTTGGATGAAGAGCACTTTTCCTGTATTGATCATAAGGTCTATTTCTAATAAATATCCAAAAGGAAAATCCATATATTTTGAACCTACTCATTCACAAACAAGGTAGACCAACAATATAAAAAAAAAATCTGTAAATTAATGCTAAATATTATGCCTGCTTGAAATCATCACAATGAACCCCAAAGTCCTAAAATCTATCATGACCTAAAAGTCAGCTGACCATAACAGTGCAGACAGTGGACAGACTGTAACATGAGGTAGAGTGATGTGCTCAGTAACACGGTTTGACATAGAAGCATTGCAGTGACAAGGCTGACCTTATGGCAGACGGATGCTCCAGCCCTAAGGAGATACTTCACTGTGTCCAGATGGTTGTTCTCACATGCCACCATCAAAGGAGTCCGCTGATCCTCATCAAAAGTCTCAAGGTTGGCACCAGCCTGTATGAAGTTATGAAAAAAGAAAATCAGTAATATATTATTTTATATGTAAGCAAAGCATGATGAAACTATTTTTTTCACATTTCAGCCCCAAATATAAAAATGTCTGAATACATGTAAAATGTGTAATGTATGTAATGTATCAGCCTAAGTTGTGAAGGATGTTTAAGTGAATTGTTCTTTTTGTATTTAAAAAAAAAAGTCTAATGTAGTTGAATAGTTTTAATATTATAAATATTTATCAAATTTTTCTTAGGGGCATTTTGTAACTTTTCTGGTGGAAAGTCCGTGAAATGCTTTTCTGTGGAGATGCAATTGCTTTGTCTGGAATGTTTCAAAGTATGGTATTAAACTTTTTTTTCATCATGGAAACCAAACCAGACCAAGTTACAGGTCAGATCTGTGGCGAGACAAGCCCACTCACAGTGTTTGAGCTATAAAACCACCTGTAATTTAGTAAATATGAGCTATTTAATGCTATACTGTGGAACATTCCTGGTAGAACAATGGCATATCTATAGAAACAAGAAGTTGATGGGTCCCCAAGCACAAAAGTTACACAGAGCACCTTTAGGATTTAACAAATACTGCAGATGAAAATTTCATAAAATAAATCATAAATTCTTGCTTTCTAAAAGATGGTGCAAATAGCAACTAAATTGTCTAGTATTACATTTTTTAATTTATTCAAAATTTGTAGTACTTATGTAAATGCATTCACTACAATTCACAACAAAGTTACTATTTAAGAGAAACACATTCAAAGCATTGTCTGTACTTGAACAAGCATGTGACAGATCTCCTGGTGCCCTGCGGCAGCTGCAGCGTGGAGGGCCGTCCGTTTGCTTTGACCATCCACGTAGTTCGGGTCCTTTCCTTCAACTGCCAAACACAAACCTATAAATCTCCACATTTTAACAGTAGGTCATTTGAAATGACAAATGCCTTACCTAAGAGATGGATGACTTTCTGAAGATCCCCCTGTTTGGCAGAGATGTACAGTTGCCGGGCAGGGTACTTCACTTTTTTGGGTTTCAAGCTAGAGAAGAATACAGGTTCAATTAGTTAATTTTAAAGTGCTTGCATTGGTCTAAAATTATTCCTTGTTTAAAGGTGCACTATGTAACTTTGTATGTAATTTGCAGGTGGTTTTATAGCTCAAAACGTCCTAGAGAAACAGGCATTCTGACTGTGAGCAGGATTGCCTCTCCGCAGATCTGACCTGTAACTTGGTCTGGTTTCATCTCCATGAAGATAGAAATGTTAAATACCGTTTGGTCAAACATCACACACAAAGTAATAACTCCAAATAATCTCCATGGAGAAAAGCATTTGATGGACCCTCCATCAAAATGCACACAATGCACCTTTAAGTTATGCATTCCAAAAAACCTAATTATTATTTGTGACTTTTGTGAGTTTATAAGTGCTTTTCGCAAAAACAGTGGAGTTTTGTCATGACTAGCATCCTCACATGCACCTGATCAGATAGTGAAGATGCTTTCTAATAAGATGCAGACAGTACACAGAACTTATTTTTACCTAAAGAGCTGCTTCTAAAATATATCTGTAATGTGGCAAGACACATTTTACTAAAAAAACGTGGGTAAAGGACCTTTAATCTATTATTTATGCTGGATTACTCACTGGGCTGTCAAGCTCCAATGTTGTGCAAGCTCAAGTAAAAATGCTCACTTACTTCTCATCTTCCAGCACTGACAAGATGGTCTCCAGTGACTCTTTTGGTCTGTCAGCTTCACCCTTTGACCTGACGAAAAAACAAATTATATAATGAAAATGCATGAACTACTGTAATAAAACAGCTCATTACAATAAGTAAAATGTAACAATGTAATCACCCAAATAGAGAATATAAAACATCATTTAGTCAGAGAGATTTTCCAAAATTTGACAAGGAAAAGTAATACTTATGACTTTCCCAACACAATATCCTCCACTTAATTGCTTAATATATTCCCATGAGGTTTCCTGCATTGGTCAAGTACAGCAGTGGGGCAATGTTTTATTATTAACTTATAACATTATCCTTCACACAACTCAATATTTATATAGAGTATGAAGAAGTATGTAATATCTATAGTTCATGTCTCCTTTTATCTGCTTCTAAATGGATTTTAAACACCTGCTATCTACGCTATTACTGTCTGACAATGTGTTTTGGCCTGACAGAAGAATTACAGAGAGCACAGGTGAGTCAAAGGCCAAGGAGAAGGGAAGCAGGTTTCACATCTGCCATGTACTGGTAATAAAAAAAAAATCTAATAATCTTACAGATGGTAGCTTTAACACTTGAACACACACAAATAGAAAAGCAATATTTTACTACAGAAATGTGTATTAAAAGGTGAGTTATATATGTTATTACTTTATCTGGAATGTTTCACGGTATGGCATTAAACATTTCTATCTTCATGGAGACCAAACCAGATCAAGTTATAGGTCAGTTCTGTGGAGAGGCAACCACGCTCACAGTCAAAATGTCTGTTTTTCTAAGTATTTTTGAGTTATAAAATAACCTATAATTTAACAAATGACAGGTAGAGCTGTTTAATGTCATTCTATGCATGACATATCCATAGAGACAAGCAAGTGACAAACCCCCAACCAAAAAGTTACACAGTGCATCTTTAACAGTAATATATAAATAGAAATACAAATAGGAAATCAATATTTTACTATAGAAATGCAGGTTAAACCAACTCATTACCTGTTTGGACTCTCTGCTCCATTCCTCGGGGGCTGGAAGCTCTTCTTAGCCCTGAGAGTTTGGGGGACGGCAGGAGTGGTAGAGACGGAGGGCAGGGTGGCCACGGTGGGCAGGGAGGGTCCGGGGCTGGATTTGGGCACAGAAGGAGAGGGCTCTGGTTTAGGGACAGTCACTTCTTTGGCTCCGGTGGCTTCCTCGCCACAGTGAGGGCAGAATCGATGGTCCTTCAGAATGGAGGCACAGTCACGGTGGAAGCGGTGAGAGATGTTTCCATATGGCCTGCATTCCATAAACGTGCCCTGTGATAAGACAATGATTAAAAGTTGTGTAAAAATATATTTCAATAAAATGTTATGATTAGTGTGTAAATGAAATATACTAATTATAGAAGATAAAAAAACTAAAAGATTAAATATTGTATAATTTTAGGAAACCATGTAGCAAGTTCGTTTTGCAATAACTGCATATAGTAGGGATGGGATAAGATCTTGTGCCAAGATTTCGAGAAATTTTTGGGGATAAAAAAGGGGCTAAGTGCTGGAGAATTACACCTCTCGAGAAAATAGTTACACAAAGCAGAGCTACAATGACAAAAAATATATACATATTTTTATAAAAAATGTAAATTGTTGAGTTGAGAACTGGATTCCACATTCGTATTTATTAGAAATTATGTCAAAATCTTGTTGTGTCTCGTTCTCATAGACTTAATTTCGTATCTTGTCCCACTCTTAGTATACAACCATTCAAAATGTTATCCCAGCTTTATAAATACTTTTTTTTTTTTAACTGTTTACAAAAATACAAAGGAAAAGAGATGAGGCTAAAATCTAAGATACATTTATTTTTCAATAATGTAGTAATGTTTTTTATTGATTTAAAGGTGCAATATGTAACTTTTTGGTTGGGCATCCATCAGCTGCTTGTTTTTAGAGTTGGAGCTGTCATTGCTCTGCCTGGAATGTTCCACAATATGACATTAAACAGCTCTACTCTACAATTACTCAATTACAGGTGGTTTTACTGCTCAAAAATACCTACAATAACAGGCATTCTGACTGTGAGCAGGGTCGCCTCTCCACAGACCTGTCCTGTAACTTGGTCTGGTTTCGTCTTCATGAAAATAGAGGTTTAATGTGGTACTGCGAAACATTCCAGACAAAGCATTTAAGCATTTGAGGGGGCCCTTCACCAAAACACTCACAATGCACTTTTAAATGTTGGTATATACCAATAAAATAGTGTATACATTTTAATAAATAGTGCACAATATTTATTAATTGAAAAATTTATAAAACTGCAGCACTAAAGTAGAAAAAAAAAATGACATTAGTACAGAATATTCATAACCAATAAATAACCTCAGATAGCTAAAATCAAAACATTACTGTACTGAGCTGTAGTAGTGTATGCATTGGCATGTGCTCACCGCTCTACAGAAGAGCCCGCAGCCCGGGCAGCACTGATGTTTGACCATCCCGGCTCGGTGGTCTTCACACAGGACCAACAGATGCACTGTGTTGGACGGACGCATCATCTCCTGCTTTACCACTCGCCTCTGACAACGACTCAGCTGAAACAAAGGTCTCCAATTACATTTCTCTGAGGGCCAAATCATTTCCACAATGCAAAACCGATGTCAACAAAAAACCTGCCAGTAGACAATGTTTTATTTACCAAAATACGACGGTAAAAATGGCATTGATCAGAAACCTAAAATGTGCATTTATTACTTGTATGAGGTGTATGTGTTTTAGGGGTGGCACGGTTCACAAAATTCACAGTTCGGTTCATATTGCGGTTTAAGGTCGCGGTTTTCAGTTCAGTACGGTTCTTGTTGTCATTTTTTCTTTTTAATCTTTAAAGAAAGAGAAATCTCAAAGAAATATACTTCATCATATGGTATGTTAGCTTAATTATCCACAATTTAGGATACAGCATTAAAAAAGTTATAAAATTATAGTTAGTAATGTAATAATGCACAAATTGAATTTGACTTGACTTTAAGCACATCATTATTGGACATAGGCAGCTGTTGTGCTTTGGTGAAAAAAAGTTACCACCTTCCTAACCCTCCTTAGGAGTCGGGATTCTTGGTTTAGTGAGATTGCGCTCTTGGCTGCATGGTTAAGGGCCTAGTTCCACTGCATGTGTCATTGTTTACGCGTGTAACCTCGCGAAACGACAGCCGCGTGTCATTGTAAAGGCAGCTGCAGCAGGATGTATACGTGCAGCACTGGCTCTGTGTTTGTCAATGGGAAAGCCGATCAAACATGACTGGGCTCATTTAGCCACTTGTATCATGCCTACAGTGAAACAAAGACAGTGGCCTGATGGGATGACCCCTGACCCCAACTGTGGTCCTACCCCGGCCAAAAGTCACCGTATTGAGGTAGAGAGGAGGGGGACAAAGAGACAGTGGCCTGATGGGATCAGCCCTGACCCTGACTGTGGTCCTACCCCAGCCAAACGTCCCAGGGAGTGAGAAGAGAGGCGAAAAGAGAAACAGGCCCCCTGCTTTGAACAGGGTCCTACCAAAGACCAAGAGGAGGAGCAGAACAGAGGAGCTGGACCTTTCTTAGCATTTGCACTGCTACACAGATGATACATTCTCTTCTAATTTTCTAAAATTTAAGTCCTCCTTGTAGGCACCTCTGGAGAAACGGGTGGATTTCACAGATCTGACAGTCTCCCCAGTTCCACAGGGAGTTATTGACAGACAGATTAACCAACCAGAGAAAGACTCACGGTCTGTTTGCTAAAAAACAAACATGGCTGTTTACACATAAAAGGGGGTTAGATCATCTCAAGTTTGGAGGTTTTTCATGCTCTGTGGTCCGATTCCAGACTGTGCTGGATTTGAACAGACTGTAGAAGGGACTGGTTGGTCAGGCAAACTACTTTCACCTCTGTAATATCTCTTGTTTCCACCCTTCTCTCACTCCACACACCACTGCCATTCTTGTACAGTCTTGTCACCTCCCTAATAAACTATTCTTTCCCCCAAAAAAACCCTCCAGAAACAAAAACTGCAGCCATCACATCACTTCAATCCTACAACCACAAAAACAAAAAATCTACTTCAAATTTCTCCTCATCCTGCCCCACTCCTTCACTCTGTCGCTCTGTTCCTAAGATCTGTAACTCTCTCCATCCTGCTCTTTGGGACATAGTCTCTCTTTCACTCTTTCAAATTTTCCAGATTCAAAACGTACCTGTTAAGGCAATCCTACATCACATAATCAGTAACTCACACGCCCCATCATAATCCTCACCCAAAGTCAGACCAGGAGGAGACGATTCACAAAAACATTCAGGAAAACATCTAGACAAACTTCAAAGCCAGTTTCAAGGTCTAGAGAAGGTCTGGAGAGAGACCTGACATGACATGAGTCACTTAAAGTCCAGGACAAAGTCTATGATGACGGACATGATAAAGTTCAGAACAATGTCCACTGCTGTTTTCATCTGGCGTGAATTGATAAGGATTAAAGTTGTCCTCTTTTGTATTTACATGTACCTGCACAAAGTCCTGTTCCCTTGAATGTCAGATGGTTTAGGCAAGGCTATGATGGGGCCAGCAGGTTAGAGTTATAAGCTTATAACTTATAGTTATATGCTTATAGTAACAGATTGCTTTGGGCTTTTGCAGATCAGAATATTATACTGAATTAAATAAACAGAAGCTTTTTATTACTTATACTTCTAAGTCAAAAATTGCTTGCTTTTATTTTTACCATTATTTAGACCTTACCATGCCATCATAGCTCTCCATGGCCATGCAGGTCTGATCCTGGGCAGACAGACTTCCTCCATTGTACGGCGTCTCCATTCGACAGCAGCATAACGGTAACTCTTCTGCTAGGTCAGATTCAGTCACTGGACCCTCTGCTGCAAAACCTGATTTAAATCACACACAATAATATTATCTCAATTAGTGTTAATAGCAGTGGTTTTGTTGATCAGTAGACCACGCATTACTAGTACACTTACTAGTTTGCCTGACCAGCCAGTCCCCTCTACATTGTGTTCTAAAGGGGCCAGAACTGGACAAGAGCGAATGAAAAAATTGTGTTCACACTTGAGACAGTTCAACCACAGTCACTAATTTGTATCACGTGTGCAGAAGACATCTCCTCTCCAAAATTCTCGTAACATTCAGAATAAAATATGTAACTTCTTTTTCTTGAGATAAGTCATATTTAGGTGCTTTGATTGTTGATTCTGTAAAAATCTGTAACTTTTTCTTATTCCTTAAAACAGTTTTTTCCACTTTTTTATGTGTACGCAGCCATGTTTGTTTTTGACGCGAACAGACTATGTTCTCTGATTGGTTAATTCACCAGTCAATCACGCTCTCTGAAATCAGCGGGACAGGATACAGCTCCAGATTCATTCATCTTTGTAAAGTTTTGTCAAAGTGTGTGGTTCTGTCTGGTTTAATTGCTGTGAAATAGAAGTTTTGGCAGCAGTCAAAACTTTTAAACCCCAGCTCAAAAATGTGACTCCAGACTACTTTGAATAGTTTTTTGTAAGTCCTATATTATGTAGTTTAATAGCTTATATTAAAAACGTATCATCATCGGAACATAATTTGTGAATTAGGAATTTGAGCACAGCGATGGTCAGAATATGATATATGGACTTGGAGAAATGGAGAAACATTTCCTGGGGGAGTGGGGGAACCACGCCATGACATCACCTGGTGAAATATATCCTTGAATGGAATTAAAAATGTAGGACTGAATATATTTTTTTAAAGAAACATACTTGAGAACAGATTTAAAATATTTCCATTACCATGGTGAGAACAGAAACTATGCAAACACATTATCAGGATGTTAAAGGTCCTATATTGCGCAGAATTTACTCCTGTCAGCTTTAAGCCAAGTTAGAATGTTGTTACCTCCTCAAACCCCTGGAGTTGTGTTTTGTTTCTTTCACACGTTTGATTAAACCTTCATTATAGTCTGTCTACATCTCCAAAGGTCAAAATGCTCTGTTCCACCTTGTGATGTCATACAGTGGGTTAGTTCATTAGAAATGGGCAGTGCCAGGGTTGAAATCATCCAAATGACTCTAGTGAAGGTTATGGAGCACTTCCTATATTACCACATGACATCACAAGGGGGAACAGAGTGCTTCCTATTTGAAAAATGCAGGGTTTGTGTGTTAAACACATGTGAATGAAACAAAACCCAACTTCAGGTATGTTTTTATTAGAAAACAACATTATAACATAGAATAGAAAACGGAGTAATATAGGCCCTTTAAAATTACCTGTCTGGGGAGAGAGCAGAGCTTCCTGGGCTTTAAGGTCCAGACAGTCCAGGTCTACCTCCGTGTACTCTCCAGTGTCAGTCTCCAGCACTGAGACACTGTCAGGGAAAACTGGGACCACAAGGGGCACCTGGGGCAACGGCCTCAAATCTACTGCTTCCTGTACCTTCTCCGAGACCTGAACAGGCTCCTCTTTCTGGAAAAAATAAATACAAATCTTATACATTAATTACATTACCATAACAAATCATCATTTTTGTAATTGACATCAAATATCATTGTATGTCTGATCATGAGTAATACTAGGGATGCACCAGTCCAGCTTTTTCAGTTCACCAATTCCGATATTATGGATTTAAAGTATCTGCTGATACCCGATATCAACCGATACCACAGCAGAGAGTGAAAACAGCATTTATTTCCTTAAAACAAAAACAAAATAAATACATAGAAATTAAAACACTACTGTATCCGTTTTTTCTGGATGAACTAAAACTAGTAAATAGCCTTATTACATTGTCCAACCAGGATATCGACTTAAACTGATATTTGGGTGCCGAAATCCATCAAGATATCAGCACTGTATTAGTGCATCCCTAAGTAATACACTGGTAAACTAAACAATGATAAAATTTAATTCAAGAATATGCATCTTTTATAGATTCATTATAATGACCTTGTCTTGGGATTTGCTGCCCTTCACTTTCTTTTTGGGCACCAAGTTATATTGACCAAGTTTTCTTTTCCTTTTCTTCACAGCTAGAAAATTTGAAAACAAATTACGTGCAAAAGAACAACTCTTGAGAATAATTTGTTTATCAGTAAAAACATTTCAGTGAATAAAAAACACCTGTTTGTGGTTTGGTGGAGGTGGCCATGGCTCCTTTAGCTTTGCTTTTCTTGTTTGGTGGATTCACTTTTACAGGGGCAGGAGGAGCAGGCTTTGAAGTCTTCACAATAACTGGCCTTGTGGCTTTCTTTATCGAAGACTATGAAAAAAGTCATTTCCCAAAAAGACCAAGTTTATATGAAAATAGGAAACGGGGTGACTCTTTGAGTCCTAGAACTGCACAAAATAAACATACTTTATATAAACTACTTCAACTTTAAAGGTGCATTGCACAACTTTTCTGCTAGATGGGTCCATCACCTGCCTGTCTTCATGGAGATGTTATTGCTGACCACGGCAAACGTGTAAAGTAAATTTTAAAGCACTAATTAACAGTCTTTCTGGAGCAGGGCTCTTTCACATGACAAAGAACTGCCCAAGGAGCACGTTGTGCTGATTGTAAACACAACCAAACATGCATGCTCTCTACGTATTTTGATGGGATTACGCGCCTATGCTCGCAATGAGCATCAAAAAATAGGATGGATCCTATTTGCTGAAATCTACGCGCTGCTCTACTGCTGCTCCATACGCACGCCGCCATCATTAACTTTCCATGCATTCTAAAAGTTACGTCCAAAAGTTGCAGTTTTTACACTTGCGTAGAGCGAAATAACATGCAGTGGAACCATGCCCATAATCTCTGAAAAGTTAAAACACGAACTGTCTCCAACGCACATGCACAGAACAGACTCACCGTTAGCCACAACATCCTCTGTTGCAGAAAAAATATACATTCCACTGAAAAAACATTCTACTGAGTCGTGTCCTTTAGTCCGACAAAAGTTGAACCACATCAGCGCACAAAAAGAGAGCTGTTTTTATCAGCGCTTACAGTTCATGCAAATTAGCCACGCGGTTTTAAGTTTCGTTTCTGTAAAACATAAACAAATGTGCGCCTGAAGCCAAAATGCTGCCAAATTGCAGAAGTACTAGTATTTTTGGGGGGGACCAACTCACTTGCAGCCGGACTTGCCATCTTGTTTTGGTCTCCCTTATGAGCGTCACGTGACAGCGGAACAAAACTAATCGACCGTCACCTCCCCAAGAAACATTATAGACACTATTAGTTTTAAATTGAAAAATACAACCCCACATTAATTTGTGCTGAGCAAACAAATTTAGGTATCAATAAATTATAATATTATATTAGGTCCTTATGCGCAGCAGATTTTTTTTTTTTTTATGACGGTAATGAAACTGATACCATTGCTATTTTTTGATACTGTGGTATACCGTAATACTGTATTACCGCCCAACCCTACTATGAAGACAAGCAGGTGATGGACACTCACAATGCATCTTTAAATCAATGACTGAAAATGAATTATTATATAACATAAGCAAAGATACGTTTTAAATCATGTAAAGCTAAGTTTGGCAATTATTTCTCAGAGTTAAAGTGTGGAAAGCTGGACAAAGGATAACAACAGAACCATACTTCCAGTTTGTTTGTCTTATAAGATTACAAGGAAATCTCAGCACAGACATAACACTAGAATGGCATTGGGACAAAAAGTTCAAAGCAAAATCTCTGAAGTGGGTAATTTTCCCTCCAGTACAATCCCTCTGAGACAACATAGCCCTCGGTCTCCAGCAGTTATGTTACTTGGTCATGGCAAATATTAGTAGTACAGCAAAAAACAATGAATACTTGCTACATTTTGGGGATAAATTGCTGGGTTACAGATGACAGATTATTTTAAAGAGGGTGTATAATGCCTAAACATACAAAAAACATGATACAAAACTGTGCACAACAACTTGAAAAACCTGATCTGATGTGCAGTTTAATTAGTGGAACGCATGCTGATTGTGCTCGTGACAGTGCTCTGCCAGTGGAGTTACTTAAAGCAGGGAGCAAAGGGAGGGGGAACTCAAAGCGTCAAAAACAAACTTGTAAAATATCTTAATACACTGTTTTGATAAATTTAAACATTGTTAAATTCTATTATCAAATACACCAAAGAACTCACTGCATTAGAACAAAAGTTTGCATTTTAACAATATTAATTTTAGCAGCCCCCACATCTTTATCAAAGGGCCCATATTACAGTAATGTCTGATCTATGTAATAATGTTGTTTCCTCATCACAGACATACCTGGAGTTGTGTTTTGTTTTATTCACACATGTTTAACACACAAACCCTGCATATCTAGACTGTGTTCTTCTCTCAACTGGAAACCATCTGTTCCACCTTGTGCTACCATGTGGTAATACAGGAAGCGCTTCAGTGTGTTTTAAAACTCCATACTCCGTCACTAGGATTTGGATGATTTCAGCCCTCTAATTGCCAATGTCTACTGAAAAAATTAAAAAAAAAAAAAAAAAAAAAAAAGCTGAAAAAACTATTTGAAATCTACCTCTACATGACATCACAAGGTGGAACTGAGCATTTGAAGCTTTAGAGATGCACAGACTAATAATAAAGCCTTACTCAAACATGTGTGAATGAAACAAAACACAACTCCAGGTATATTTTTGAGGAGGTAAGTTTTTGAGGAGGTAACAATGTTATAACATAGCTTAAAGCTTTGTAAAATATAGGACCTTTAAATATTACTGGTCTATAGAATGTTGTGATGTCATCTGAAACCAAGTAATGTTATAAACTTAATCCTAGTCATTCAAAGTAATTATTCATAATAAAAAGGCATAACAAACCTTGGTAACCGTCGCGGGCGGTGCAGAGCTAGACACCGGCCCCGGTCTCTGTGTCTGTCCTAGAGATTTGTCTGGGAAAATAGTTCGAGGAGATCCCAGGAATTTCCCCAGCACGGGACCTCCAACATGGTCATTTTTAGATAAAGGAGATCGGTGGAAAGGAGTTATCTTTTCTTTGTTCGTCTTTGCACCAGCAGCCAAAGTCCCAGATGAAGCAGGCTGTTTACTCAAAGTACGACCCTCATTGGCTGTGGAAAGGTCCATTATCTACAAAGAAGTATTAATTTGTTTTTATTTTTTTTCCAGTAATGTTTTAAATTTATAATAATTGATAATTATTTTCATGTGAAATTATACACTGATAACTGGGATTATCAAAAGTACTGAAAATCAGATATTAATCGATACTAAAGTTAGTATCGGAACTAGACGCATTTGAGCAAGTATCAATACAAAAAAAAGTCAGATGATTGCATAGATAAGACGACATGGTAATTTAAAAGTACAAGTATTGAATGTTGAAAATCACATTTATTGTGTGTTTTTAATTATCATTGCAGTATCTGAATCAGTGGTATTGAGTCTATAACTTATACAGTATACAGATCGAGTTGGAAATGTAATAAATAATAAAGACAAAAATAATAATAATAATTCATTCAAAGTATTCCATGAGTTGCAATGATCAAAGACATATTTTCTTAAAGTTAAAACACGCAAATATTTTCTTTTTTTTTATACTCTTATCCTTAAAATGATCAAAAATATGGCTGTAACTTAAATTATAACCATTAATAATCACAAAACACTTTTTATTAGATAATTATAGAATTTTCCCATTATATTTAAAAATTTTCTGACTATTTTTTATATTGTTGAGAAAATATCTGCTTAGTAAACCACTATAGTTTTCAAATCCGGCAAATATTTATCGTTATATTTCAACTAATGTAATTATTCTGAGTAATCTAGTGAAACAAACAACAACAACAATGTATTAAATATAAATAAACTGGTCCAACATCCATTATTGATATTACGGTCGCTGCTGAAGTCAACTTGAGCGTCAGTGCACCTCTCAAAGTTACCGCATCTACGAGCGTCATCGCGTTTGGAAATAGAGAAAGGAAAGCTCACGATCTGTACGTAGGTTAAACCGGGACACCTCTTGCGCCAAAATATGGGCAAAATGTAAATGTATTTAGCGTAAAAGTTTGGTCCTACCAGCTTCGGTCCTGTTGTTGTCTCTCCACATGAAGGCAGGGCCACAGCGTAGGATGGAAGTGGGACAGGAAGTTACCAAACTTTCTATTTCCGCCTCCGCCTGCAGTCACGTGACCAAACGAGCGCTCACTTTTTGGATTTTGGATTCTTTTTTTGTTTGTTTGTTTTGTTTTGTTTAATAAAAACATATTCACATATAAAAGGAGCAGTTTCAACGCTCTAATTTAAAGGAATAAATTAAACTCATTCAAAAAGGACATAAAAAACCAACCTCTTTTCTCTCAATTAGGCCTAATGATCTAGCAAAAAGTTTGAGGATATTCACGGATTTGGATTTGGGAGTGCAGAGAGAATGCAAATGTGTATTTCATGGCCTATAGCATAATAATAGAAGATGTGTTCAGTTTTAAGCAACTGGCTATAAACATTAAAACAGAAGGCTAATTTAGGGGCATTCTAACTTGTGGAAATGTAAAAACACACACCATAGGTAGGACAGATTTACTTGCAGGAATAATAAAGTGTACCTTACCTTAATTTAGGCATAAAAAAATCTACCATTTGATAAAGTCTCAAAACAATAACCACAATCCTACATCTTCCTGTTTTCATTTGCCTATGTCAAGACACAATAAAATGGAAACACCTGAACTGACATTTCTTCTTTCCAACTTCAGTGAAAATGTGAAATAAAGAGGATTTAGCCCTAGTATGACCATAATACGAGGGTTACAGTAGACTATATATTAATTTAGCATGCATTTGTCACATTTTGCCATGAAAAAAAATGCATTGATGTCTGTTAACAAATCTTCAGTAGGCTTGGAAACCCACGTAAAAGGATTTCATTGTTGTCTGTCTTAAAGGTGAATTGTGTATTTTTTACATAGTGCACTGTTACATTACAATATTAATAATATAATGTGTCACAATATTATTAAAAACTATTAACATGCTTGTAACTGTTGTGAATGACAACATCACATTATAGCAAACAAATCAGGAGTTAAAAAACACATCAGCTGTTTAAATAATGTATCAGAGTGAAATGAAAAGAATATTTAAAAAAAGGAGTCAAGATAAAATATTAATTTGGTCTTTATTGGAATCCAGCAACAGGTGGTAATAAAATAAATAAATACAATTTTGTCATAGATATGCTGATTTAGAATACACTTGGGTTATCCATAGACAAGGGACTCCAGTGACATAGGACTGATAATAAAATGTAAAATTAAAACCACTCTCTGTACAGTAAAAGTTTAAAAACAAAACAAAGAAGAAAAAAAAATACTCATTTAGCAGCTGAACAATATCAAATTACAGTGATTCCCACAGTTAAACCAAGAGTGACCAAACTCATGACACAGAATTCACATAACAGGATGAAAAGTGTAATGTGTGTACAAATAAAATTGTTCATTACTGCTCAAAATGTATTAAAAAAACATAACTAGCAAATGTTCATAATAAAACATTAACAAGATATGATGCTTTCAATGCAGCAGGGAATTTAAAATCACAGACACCAGTATTTTTAAAGTAGACCTACCTTAATTTTCTTTAAATGCTGTTTTATGTACAAAGTGATTGTTTATTGATGATACATATTTGGTATTTCTAGTAAAGAGTAACTGAACTCTGAACAGTATTGATTGAATAGTTTAGAGAGAGTAAATCACAACTGTTTTAACCATTGTAACAACCAAAATGTCCAACAAGGTCCAATGTTTTTGGTATCTCTGTTATTATTCAAACAGAAATTGTCCATGGTATAGGTCCTCGTGCAGGTGAAAGGTTGACCATTTTCCTGGTGTAGTTGGTTCAAGTGTTGCAGCTCTCATCATAGGACGGTGGAGCATCTGGAAATAAAAAAACAAAACAAAACAGAAAGACCATTTAATAAAAAGATCTAAAAAGGACATTTAGACCAACTAAAAGCAGCAGACTGGCCAGCTTCCAATGCATGTGCATGCACTCACGCAAGACGTCACCATTGATCTACCCAAGCATACGCATATTTAGTTTTTAACCACTGAGTTCAATTGTTTTTTACTGTAGGTAAGTGATGCTATCAATGTAAAATGTTTTGGTAAAACTGTAATGTGTGAGTGTGAATTCAATGCATCTGACAAAGTATGGCTGTTTAAACTGAATGTATTAGATCTAAAATTTATTTAAAGGAACTGTATGTAGCCTGTGCTCTTACTATTTTAAGAAAGGTACCAGGCACTAATAGGTTGCCAGTGCCTTAACCTGCATATAGAGGATATAAACATTCTCAGGACAGCAGCTTTTGCAGCAGCAGAAGCTGCATTAGCAAGGATTAGTGACTGGCTGCAGGTGCTGGGGTTTAGGATAGTGAGGATTCAGAAGAGTCTTTTGAGATTTTAAACAAATTGTGAAACTGGAAATATTTGATTTAAACACATCTCCCTTGTATTTGCAGACATAAACAGTAATGTTTATGGAATTTGAAATCAAAATCTTACAGTACAGTTCCTTTAAGCATCCCCTGTTAAATGTATTAGTTCAAGTTGTGTTCTTCAGCATTAGCAACTGGAGCTGCAATGTACACCTTCGCCACCAGATGTCCCCCCAAGATTATGAAGAGCACCCCATCCGCAGGCAATATACCACTAACCTTGTTACACTGCATTATCTATAAAAGATAATACACTGGTTTAGCCCTTAACAAGAAAATTTGTCTTGATCTGTACGTAAATGTACTTTGTTAATGCTTAACTTGTAAGTACTGAAAACACTGCATAAGAGAGTGGTGCAAGTTGTAAACTTACCTCTTGGATATGAAGGTGTGCTGTAGTCTGGTGGAATTATGTGTGGACTTGGCATTGCACTCGCTCTGATATCTGTGGGGTAGGGAGCGGTGGCGCCCCTAGGGGCGGCATCGGGATGGTCTTGGCCAAAAAACAGCCCTGGGGCGTAGCTGAATGCATTTGGTGACACTAGTTGGGACTGTCTCTTGTTAGGATAAGCTCCTCCCATTGCAGTGCCTCCTTCTGCCCCCTCTGGGAACTCTGCCGGGGGCGCGCTCGGGGAGTGGCAGGAAGACATCCGGGAGCGCGGGGCAGGGCGGGGGGCAGGTTTTGGTACAGGCCGAGGAGGTAACGTGGGTGTGGTGGCAGTAGTGGAGGTGGAGTCTTCAGGAGCAGGGAGAGAGCTTGGGACAGAAGCTGGAGCAGAACCTGGAGCAGAAGCTGGAGCAGATGCAGGAGCAGAAGCGGAGGAGGTGGAGTTGGCTGCAGGGCGGTACTTTTTGTCCAATGACACATTTCCGATTTGGATGGGTAATGTCAACATGACGTCTGGAGTTTTCAGACTGACCTAGAGGGAAATAAAAATTGTGTGTCAGATGTTTGAAAATGAGCTTTGATTTATGGAGTATTACAAAAAAAACCAAAAAACATTTTCAGTAAAGAAGTCAAAATTTGTAATGGCTAAAGAGTAAAAGACAATACAATATGACAAGAGTAGGACATTTTACTACTCTTTTAAAACCATTAATCATCATCTTTATTTAAAATTTATGACATGACATTTTTCTACAGTGTATCAGATTCCAAAATGTGTTATGATGATTCATAACAGGTCTATGAGTAACCAACAAAATAAGCTGCACTATAAAGTCTATAGTGGAATTTGTTATCTCTTCAAACGATGTGGAAAATTTTATCACTAGATGTCACTAAATCTCTGCACAACACAGTATCTTGGTTTAACAATAATACAAAACATTAGTATGTACAGAATGGATTACCCAGTGTGCTCCTTACTTTGACATAGTATTCGATCTTGATAAGGTCACACCCATTTAACGCAGACTGGGGCAAAGGAGGGACGATAATCTGTTCCTTCCACTCGAGCTCCTTCCCGGCCTTCACCACTCCCCCCTCCACCTGCGCGATCACCCGCAGGTCATGGGTTGGCCGCTTCGTTTCATATGTGACCCGCTGAAAACACACAAAATATACAATTAAAATAATACACTGAAAATATAGTAGCAGCCAGAAGAAAAAGTTACAGATACATTTAATTCTCAACCACAAAATCAGCTGGAAACTGCACAATCCAAATGTCTAATCTAAAATGGCCAGGAGCACAGCAAGTATGTAAAGCCAGACTCTTCTAGACAACAAATCTCAGTCTATGATAGATAGTTCCCTCATTCTTCTATATATTAGTTATGGAGTAGAAGTCTGGGGCAACACTTACAGTAGTAATATAAACCCACTGTTCAAACTACACAAATAGGCAATACGAATATTACACAATGCCAGCTCCAGAGAATATACAAACTCACTTTTCCTAAAATCCAAATTGCTCAAACTTGAGAACTTGGCCAAATTTAAAACATTACAATTGATGTACAAGGCCAGGGGCAAAACGTGTTACTAAAAAACATTCAATCTTTATTTAGAAACAGAGAAGGAAGGTATAAATTGAGAGGAATATAAAAAAAACAAAAAAAACAAAACAAGTATCCACACAACTATGAATAAAATTTGTATTTAAAAAGGTGTGGCGTTGACCTCTGGAACGCTTCAGATGAAAGTACTGTACTAACGTTCATGAATTTAAAAGAATGCTCAAATTATTTATGTAAAAAAAAAAGTAGATCACAAGAATTTCACGAGATAACTGAAGAGAATATTGTTGCATTGTATATTTTTGTTGTCCTTTTGTGCATCACTGACAATATCATATTCTTGTACTGCTGTTGATATATGTACAAATGTTTTTATATACTCTAAATTGTAATTACATTTTGCAGACAGCATGCATAGCAGCTAACTACCACCTTCTGGAATAAGTGGTAGGAAAATATACGTTTTTTTTAACACCTACCTACTCCTTTTGATGTACTGAAATCACAAAGCATTTACTGTAATGTATGGAAAACAATGCTCAAATAAATAAATACAAATACAATACATGTAATTGGTTAATCATAGAAGCCCTATGGGACATGCTTGTATTTGTGCTGCCACTGAAAATACATACCAGAAAGCTTTCCTGTAATTTATAAATACTACTGAATTATAATTACATTTTTTTCAACATGTAAAGAAACATCGGAGTATGTAGGACATTTGTGAGAATATAAATTGAGTGCTGATGCACTGCTCAGACATACAAGTTCTTTTAAAAATGTTCACTTATATATTTTTGGCCACACTTGTTGGTTTCCATGAAAATGTTAATTGCTTCACCTGGAATTTTTCAGATTAGGGAATTAAACATCGAAATCCATGGAGACGAGCAACTTCCAGGCTAAGTTACAGTTGCTCTGCCTGGAATGTTCCACAGTGTGACATTAAACAGCTCTACCTTACATTTATTCAATTCAATTTATAGCTCAAAAATACCAAGAAAAACAGGCATTTTGAATGTGAGTGGGGTTGCATCTCCACAAATCTGGCTTCTAACATGGTCTGGTCTGTTCTCCATGAAGATAGAAAGGTTTAATGCCATACTGTGAAACATTCCAGACAAAGACGGACCCTTTAACAAAAAGTTACACAGTGCACCTTTTTAAAAAAAACAGAAAAACTACAATAAAATATTATGAATACATAAACTGCACATCATTTTAGTCCAAACTTGCAATAGTAGAGCTTGTTGGGTGTTTCTCATGGTATTACTGGGTTGTGGATGACAAAACAAGATTGGGATAGCTAAAGTTAATATTGTTCAAATGCTGTTTTCTGTTGTAATACAGTGAATTCTTGGCTCTAGTCACTAATAGAAATGATCAGGTTTCATATTTGGGAATTTACCTTTTGGATATTTCAAGACAAATACAACGTAATCAACAGGGAAAACAGTCTCTCCACCATCACCACTCTCTATAGCATCACATTCTGGAATCGGAAAACCACCCATACCTGCATGAGACTGGCAATGACGTTCCCGGTGGATTTTCCTGATTGGTTGTGGATGTTGGCGATGACTTGGATCACTTGTCCAGGGGTGTATCCTTTCATATCCGTCTGCGCTTTGAGGACAATAGTACCCGTTTTCATCAACATGTACGTGAACTGCTGGGTCACTGCAGACTGATTAGGCCCCTGTGAGGAAATAAGAGAGATTTAGACTTATACTTAAGTCTTCACAGAGAGGATTATTGTAGTTTTGAGAAATAGAAAACCCCATAATGAATAAATGCTAGATAGATGTGTTTAATGTCATACCATGGAACACAATGCAACTTTAAACTACATAGAGCCACTCACCCAAATGTCTGGCACTTCATTGAGGTTGAGGAGGCTGAGCAGGTAGAAGGATTTCTCTGCACTATAGTCTTTGGAGAATCGTGGTGTGTCGATGAAAGAGCGCACTCTGTAAATGATCTTTCCATAGTTTCCTTCATAAGACGTGGGGGCCGTGGCTGGAAAACATTAGCATAAACCAGGTGAGTTTTAGCAATCAGAAATAATACATTAAACTTGTATTAATCTGCAGGTGTAATGAGACAAAAAGAGACTGCAATCATATCTATATACAGATACATATGGTTTGAGAATGCATTCACACTTGTCCTTTTTGAGTCCTGGTTTGAGTTTTAGTCCCAATTTTGATATGTGCAATTGTGAATGCACCCTTCATACAGGCTTCTAGCTTCAAAGTTGCATCTGTAATCATTGCGTGTGATAAAGCAAAATGGACTTTCAAAACACAAGCGGCACTAACACCACCAATTAACTTCACAAGCTGTGTTTGGGTATTTGACATGACAGCCATTTTCTGAGTAATTACTTTAAATTACTTTTTAAATAATATTTTTCTTTGTCCAAAATTGAACTCAACTGTGCACAAATATGTATTCTATAAATGACAGTTTTAGAAAGAAGTTGTGTTTCAGTTGTGTGTAATTTAACACTAAACACTCAAATGTCCTGCGGTGTGACTATAAGTCTTTTCTTTAAAAAAAATCTAGTTTCTTGTGTGAGAGACAGTTCATAAAGCTGTTGGTCTAAAGAGAAGCAAAGATTATTTAATAACATTACACCTCTATCGCTACTTTAAATCTTAAAAACAGTTACCAAAGGGTGTCCTGTGGTATGACATGAAAAATCACTTAATGAAAAATGAAAAATCATTTAAAAAGCCAGATGAACTCCTAGTGTTTATATAACTGTCATGTACGCACCTAGAGGAGCTCTGGAACAAAGAAAAAATGTAATAATTATCATTTTATCATTCTTCTTTTTGTAAAATCCAGCTTTTCTGAAAAAATTTGAACATGCACATGTGTGATGTGCTGCGGGTTGACTGTATTTCCTATGAAAAACACAATTCTAACTGTTAAAATATTTTATATTATTTAAGATAGAGGACAGTTACACAATTATTAAACCAGCAATTTAGACATGTAGACAAGTAATTAACTAAACTTTTAGAGCATGGCACAATGACGTGATGTTTAGGGAAAGGAGTTTTTACAATTGTTATAAAACTGACTTCTTTTTGAAAATATTTTGTGTATTTTGCAATAAAGTGCGTCACTCTGCGGGACAGAAAAAAGGCATTACACCCCTAAACGTCAAGTACTCTTTCATACCAGCAGACAGTCTTAAATATGCAAGATTATACTAAATAAAAAGGTTCATTCATGTTTTAGTAATCAAGTTTGTTACTTGTGACAGGCATACAGACGTCACACAGTACAATAGTCAGTGAAGTTCTTATGTAGCCTCCTGAACACATAATATACAACATAAAGTGCTCAGTGCGCAGTAGACAATGGAGAAAATGCTTAGGAGCCTGTTAAACACAGACTGTTGTCCATTAGAATGAATCTGAATATGGTTATGACTCAAAAGGTTACACAAAAGAGGAAGTGCATTATTAATTGTAACTGTACAAAACAACCAAAGCAGTTCAGATACATGTGTAACAAACGGAACTCTCTTGTTCTAGAGTCTAATGACGTTTGAGACAATATTTCCAGTGAACATGTGACACAGGCAGGTGCAGGAGCTTCAGGTGACACAGCAGCTCTAGGACCGGTCAGGTCAGTTTGAGTTTCTGTGATGAGAGCGAGACTTTCACCAGCGTGGAAATAAAAACTGAAGCACCGCACTGAGTGAATGGAGAAAACGCATCAGGGATTAACAAAGAGGAAACCATAAAAGACAACAAAACTCCTTTATAGGAACACTGTGTAATTTTTCTGGTGGAGCGTGGAGATGTCATTGATCTGCCTGAAATGTTCCACGGTATGACATTAAACAGCTCTAGCTTACAATTACTCAATTACAGGTAGTTTTACAGCTCAAAGATACCTTTTAAAACAGGCATTCTGACTGAGCTTGGTCACCTCTCTACAAACCTAACCTGTAACTTGGTCTGGTTTTGTCTCAATGAAGATAGAAAGGTTTAATACCATACTGTGAAACATTCCAGATGAAGCAATAATGCCTCCATGGAGAAAAGCATATGAAGGACTCTCCACCAGAAAAGTTACACAATGCACCTGCAACTACTGCTAATCAAAATGTGTACCCGAGAAAACAAATGAGAAGAAATAACTCAAAATGTAAAAGTACTACATACTACACATTCATCTTGTATTTGTTACTAGTACTAGTATTGCCATTACTAATACAGGACAGAATCTTGAGTTTGCCTGTGGAAATAATTTATTACAGTAGTCTTGTCATGATACAGAAATTTCAAACTCAACTTCAACTTGATAATAAAAAAACATGCTTTCTTTAGACAATAGAATGTGATTTTCAACATTAAATCATAGAACTTTCTTTCAATTCCCATGTGATCTTATGTGTTTTCCCTCAGTGATCCAGGTAGGTTCCATAGTGGTGCATGGGTGTATATTAGTCTATGTGCTCTTCTATTTGTTCTGATACAGCTCAAGATCATTCTAAAGCTATTCAGGAAAGGTTGATTTCTGTCCTGTGAATGTGAATTTATTAGTATTGCTACCTGCTCAAATGAGTATCTGTCCTCGATTCTAGCTTTAGTGTCAATTACAGTCTTTTCTATACTTTTGACAGCCCTATATTACAATAGAAATATTAAGTGCTGAGTTCACAATGAGTTCACATTCTCCAACCTTTATCTGTCCTCATTAAAACCCAACCAATTATTTGCTTAGATGAAGAGAAAAGGTAGAGCACTTCACTTGGTCATAAAAAATAGACAAGGTACAAACCCGAGGCACACTGACTTAATATATTAAAAGTCCTTTATTACGTGGAGGGACGCCAATTATGTTCTTAATTTGAAAATAATAATATAATTGTTTAAAAAATAAACAATTGCTATAGAAGAAGACAGATTTATGTTGAACGTTGTATTTTAATTCTAAATAATTTTTTTAAAACTTATGAGGTATTGAGGTCAGAGTTAAAATGATGTCATTCAAAAGCTCTTGTGGTGAGTAATGGGAATACACAGAAATGACGTCACAAACAAATAACAACAAAGTGCAGTCTGACACACCTTAGAGACAAATGTATCTATATCTGATTTATGTCTTTTATGAGGTCAGGTATTTCCAGTTTGGAAATATTACTATCATACAATTCACCACTAATTGTCTCCAGCTGTATTATTTTATATTTTACAAATTACAATATGAAAAATAATTCCCCCAAAATAGTTTAAAATGTCTTGAAAATAAGAAGGGGGAATATAAAAATCTACTACCCAGACACCAAACTCTACTCTACTACAACAATGATTCTATCTTGTTTTTAAATGTATGAATGTTTTGTTTCGTTTATCTATGCTAGGGTTGTAATCAATTTAAAACCACATACTCATTTGAGCAAGTATTAGTACTGAGAAAAATCACATCAATATGAATAAGACAAAACATCACATTTCCTGGATAATTTTAGAACAGTCTCAATATATAATCTGAACTAATATATGATCACATTGTGCAAGTGTGCAATTACACTGCATTTTGTGGCATCAAAATTGGAATAGAGAACGGAACCATGTTACACTATTTTCTGATCTATTAGAATATTGTTTCCTCATCACAAACATACCTCAAGTTGTTTCATTCACACATGTTTAAACACACAACCCCTGCATATTTAGGCTCCTCTCTCAAACTGAAAACACTCTGTTCCATGTTTTAATGGCATGTGTTAATACAGAAAGTGCTCCACTGTGTTTTTAACCTCCATACATCTTCACTAGAATCACTTGAATGATTTCAGCTCTGGAAATTCCAGTCTCTGAACTACAGATAAAAGGTAGCTGTTAACTTGAAAACTACTGATTCATGACATTACAAGGTGGAACAGAACATTTTGAGCTTTGGAGAAGTTTACATGAGAACACTTGCAGGTAAAAACTAATTTATCGGAAGTGCTTTTCATTTAGATGATGACAGCGTTTTTGGGGCTTAAAACGCAAAAAACTGAAACCACTCTACAGAGAGGCAGTGTAGATGGAAACACTACGGCGGAGCATATTCAACTTTTCCAAAGAAGCAAAACTCTCAGAGTTCAGGTCAGATTTGCTCATGTCGCGTACGCGTTTACGTCACATACATCGTCACATACATCACCACCTAGCATCACCACCTAGCCACCTGGCATGCATACCCAATCCAATTCCACACACTTTTGAGACACTGTATGCACACAGATTTCCTCCAGAAAACGCTTGTCTAAATACAGAATAAAAAGTGAAGACGCGACGCTACTTTTGCATCTTCTGTTCAGACCGTCATCATAAACGTACCGTAGACTAATAATGATGGGTTATCCAAAGATCATTTTAATGTACCGGTTGTTACCTCATCAAAAACAGTTATGGTTTAGATTAGATAATCACATTATAACAACACAGCTGAATGCTCACAAGAATCCATTTTGCGTAATATTAAATTTCCACCTTGATTACAGTAATAAAGTATTGTGAAAACACTGGTTACTGGTCACAAGGAAGATATGGCACTGGGAGAGGTTCAAGTGTGACTAGAATTAACTGAACTAATTGAAATGAACTTTTTGAGATCTAAAGTTATGGTTGAAACTTGGAAATAAAATAATGCATACATTTGCTTTCAACTGATGTTTTGTGCAAATTTTACATTACAAGTGCTAAAAATAAATGAAATAAATCCCTTAAGAAACACTGACTACGTATTGTAATGAGTGCAATATTTGCCTGCTCCTTGCTGTTCGCTAATAACAGGGTAAACACAAGGACAAGTTGGGACATGTCTGAAATGATGTGTGAAATGTGCATTCAGGTCTGTGTGCTGTGGGAGCTGTCACTACAGATGAGAGGTTCTGATTTGCCTATAATGTAGTTTTAAGTTACAGATAGGTAGACTAAACAATAGCAAAGAATGTATTGTATTTGAGTGACGAGAAAACATTTTGCACTACAACTATTTGACAAAACACCAAAACTATTTCTTAGAATTCACTCAAGTCACTGCTATTTATGTACTTAATTTGTCCATACATTGCACTGTACATAACCACAGTCAGAGTCACTTACTGTACTAACTTTACAGCTTGATAACTTTACACAGCTGACAGTGTTGGGCTAGTTTTTAGTCTATTGTAAATCTTTATAGTAGTACAATTATCTTGATCTTGACTGCATGTTCTTATTCTCCTACTGTTCTTGAAATTTGCATTGCAACACTGTAACATCCCCCACTGTGTGACAAATAAAGTTCAGCTTATCTTATAGCCTGGCTTTGTTGTAGTTGTATTCATACACTGTAAATAAAACTTGTGCTTGTCACACAAATATTAGGCCCACTGATAAAACTTAAATAGGTTAAAGTGATTTGTCTTCCATTAAAACATTTCTGTATTTAATAATTTTCGCACTTAAAAGACACGAGAGCAAAAAAGTGAAGTTCTTAATTCACTTTCATTGAAACTGATTACAATTAAATGCAACAAAGTGTGTAAACCTTATCAATTAAAATGCCTAGTATTCTTTGACTACATTACAAGGCCTAATAGAAGCCTATATCAAATTTTGTTCTCCTACAATTATTTTGAGTAGTCCTAACATGCAATGAGCATTAGCAGTCTTTTTTTTGTGTTTTCATTTAAAGGTGCACTGTGTAACTTTTTGGCTAGGGGTCCTGCTTGTTTCTATGGATATGTCATTGCTCTGCCTGGAATGTTCCACAGTGTGACATGAACCAGCTCTACCTTACATTTATTCAATTACAGGTTGTTTTATAGCTCAAAAATACCTAGAAAAAAAAAGGCATTCTGACTGTGAGCAGGGTTGCCTCTCCACAGATCTGACCTTTAACATGGCCCGGTTTGATCTCCATGAAGACTGAAGGGTTTAATGCCATACTGTGAAACATTCCAGACAAAGCAGTAACATCTCCACAGAGAAAAGCATTGATGGACCCCCCTCCAATAAAGTTACACAATGCACCTTTAGGCATTTTGGTATTTTCTGTATTGAGCTGAAATATCTTCTATAAATAAACCCTGTTGCATTACTGTGATTAAATGACATTCTCTTCTCCTCTTACCTGGGATGAGAAACTTGAATGGAAAAGTGTGGTCTCCGGGCTTCAGAGTTCCTGTGGAGACGAAGATAAGTATCAGTTAGTGGAAAGCTGGAACAATCCCTGTGTTTTTCCCAGCATGCTTTGTGTGAATGCCCCAGGAAAGAATACACAATGACCTGAAGGCTGAGAACAGGAACAGGCACATAGCAAAGTGGATCTTAAAAACTTCACCTTGTGCCATCTTGGTTTTAGGATTGTTGTATATATTGCAGTTATTCAAACGGATTAAAAATGTGTGCCAAAGTTAATAACACTTGTATAGTGCTCTTCAAGATACTCAAATACACTTTACATGAAGAGACAAACGAAGGTAAACAAACAAAATAAGAAAGTTAATGAAAGGTGGTTTTAAAAAGAAGGGTTTTCAGGGCTTTTTGTAACATGGATGAGTCTCTGATGGAGGAGTTCCAGAGGGTGAGGGAAGCAGCAGAGAAGGCCCTGTATACCCCAGATCTTATGTTTAGTCCTGTTGGTGGGAGACAGGAGGTTGGCATCAGCTGAACAGAGGGCAGGGACGGGGTTGTGGTTGTGGAGGAGCTCAGAGAGGAAGGCAGGGGCCGGGTTATGGAGGGATTTGTACACGATGGTGAGAGGTTTGAATTGGATATGCTTGGAGGGTGAACTGTAGAGCAGGCTATTGCATTAGTCAAGGCAGGTTGTGACAAAGGAGTGGACATAATAGAGTTTGGATCGACTGCAGAAGCATGTATATAGATTACAAAATTATAGATAATATTCTGAAATCTGTTTTTGAATATTGGGTATATAGCTTTAATATATTTTTTGTTAGGTTGCCACAGGATCATCAGATTACCAAATGGTGATACCCTAAACAAATATGAGTTTTATCTCTCATCCCTAGTTGAAGCTATAAATGTTGTATGTTGTATGTTGTATGTCATTTGACAGCTTAAAATAAATAGATTTACTATACAAATGCAATACTATAACGCTTTTACACAATCAACTTTTATATTATGGGATAAACAGAGGATTTGTTTAGGTAATAGAGAGAAGAGAATTACAATAACACTAGAAACCACAACCACAGATATGAAATTCTAACCACACTGTCACTATGCTACCCAAACAAATGCATAATAACTGCCTAAAAGCACATTGTACTGCATTGCCTATTTAGTTAGTGAAGTATTAGTAAAATATTGTGGGTTCAGAAAGTACTAGTGGTTTTCAGATTGTTGTTTTTAACTGATCATTTCTTTTAGTGACTAGACGATAGACTATAAATATAAATGGAGAAAGCCAACTTCCCTAAACGGTGGTTCCAATTAACTTTGTGTTGAAAAAACGTTGCCCCTTTTTGTCAGGCTTCTCATTTTGGTTCGTATTAACCCGCTCTGCTTGATCCTGGTGTTTTTATTTTACTACTTTGCCCATAAATAAATTCTTATTCCTAATATGGAGCTCCAAAATTCACCTCTAGCCTTGCTGAGCTTCATTTGACTGGCGCATATTCGACTGGGTTATGGGTGACCAAGGCAGTAAACAAGAGGGGACAAAGGGGTCTGTTCTGCCAGGCCCCAGGAATTTAGGGGCCCAGAATTGGACCCTCTTCCTATTAATTTGTACAAGAGCGGGGCCCATGTAAGGCTTTTTGCCCCAGGCCTCCAAATTACTGTCGACGGGCCTGTGGGTGGCGTCACAAAGAACTCACTCTGTTACAACAAACATTTGCATTATAACAAATTCATATCAAGTGTCCCCCGTATTAAATATTGTTAGCCTACAGAATTTTGTTATGTCATCCGAAACGCAGCAATAGCAGGCACTGTTTGTCTGGATTATGAAAATTATGTTGAAATAAATCCCCACCCACAAAAGTGTACAGATAATTTGCATATTTGAAAACTGTTGAGCCGTCTCCTCTGTGTCTGGCTGAATCTTAGACAGGTAACAAAGGAACAGGTGCGTCAGGAGAACTACAGGACTCCTGTGAAAAGAAGTGGCTGTCTGATCTCAGTGGGGTTAAACAAAAAGGTAAATATAAACAAAAAGAAATCTACCTTTGTCAGCTACAGAGACAGTAGTGTTGAAGTACTGCTCCTCATTGGTCCAGGCTGTGTCATTTACTTTAGTTGAAATTCCGCAGAAGCCGTTGCAGTTCACTTTAATAGCTGGAAAACAAAACATTGAAAAAGATGAGTCACTGTGTTTGTTATAAATGCGAGATTTTTTTATAAGATAGTGACCAGATAAGAATCAGGAAGACAATTTAGTTCTCACCACTTTGCAACAGTTGTGACGTTATACAAAGAAGAATTGCGTCTTATCCTAAATCACTTATCTTTACATCAGCTGAGAAAAAAGTCTTTGTTCTAGCCGGTATTAGGGTTATTAAAAGTACAGAAAATAAAATTAGTATCAAAACAAGATACTCATTTGAGCAAGTATCCTTAAAATCAAGTTTAAAATCTTACTGTCGTGAAAACACTAGGTTGGATACAAAATATAATAAAATTTAATTGGCCAAACTTCTATCTTACTTGTTTTCTATACATTTCAAGAGTAAGTAATAAACATCTACCATCTTAACCTTGTTGCTCTTAAAGGCTCTGTGCTATATTTTTTTTCGCAAAATTTGTCTTGGCCAGTACACATAATATTGTAATTTAATGTATATTATTTTTAAATAGGTACAGCGCCTTAATTAAAGTAAGTGCTTGATATCCAATTGAATACAATTGATTACCAGCTCATACAAAACATAACTTTTCATAAAAACAAAAATAAAGCATTTTGAGCAGATGTAAACAAACTGCTTTTACAACAAATATATGAAATAGTTAAGAAAATAATAAAGTGAATAAAAGTGTATTTAGTCTTGTTAAAGGTGCATTGTGTAACTTTTCTGGTAGGGGGTCTCTCACAAACTTGTTTCCATGGAGATATTATTGTTGTTTCACCTGTATGGCATTAAACTCATCTGTATCACATTTATTCACTTATAGGCGTCTTATTTCTCAAAAAATATTACAAAAAACTTGAGTTCACCTCTCCACAGATATGACCTGTAACTTTGCCTGGAGGCACTATGGGCTTGTCTCTATAGAAATTTAACAGCATACTGTGGGACATCTAAACAAAGCAATAACATTACCATGACGACAAGTGGACAGGCGAACCCTCCACCAAAAAATTACACAGTGCACCTTTAAAATCGTGTTTAGTGTTAACTTTATTGGCCAGCATGTTTTTCTCATGAGGAAGAAGCCCCGTCACTCATCATTTGCATTTGAAACCTAATGTGTGACTGGCAGTTGAACCCTTTGTTTGTACTATATTTGTATGTTCTGGACAGAAACTATGACTGTACAGTATCAGCTTTAGAGACAGAGTATTTATTGCTGGGAAGCTTTAGTTGTGTCTTGTCTTTGGCCAGCTCACCAGGTCTGCCTTTTTTTGTTATTAGTACATTTTTGGGCACGGGAGAAAACTAACTTAAAAATAAAACAACTTCATTTTTGTGACCCTTTTGAGTCCTGTGTCCTCTCTAATATGTTTGATTCATCAGCGCCATAACAGTGTCTTCTTCAAATTGTCTAAAACAGTTGGAGAATACAGTATACTGATCTTTGAAAATGTCTAAAAATTTTCCTTGATATTGCAAATATGGAACACATGGGTCTCATAAATACACCCAACTCAAAAAGACAACAATTTTATATGGAAGAAACGACAGAAAAATGTATGAAAAGAAATTCCAATTTGTTAAGATTAGGGAAATTGTAGCGTTTAATGTCTGCAGCGTTTAAAATGGCCTAGTAATTGCACATCAGTGTTGACACCAGTAGTTGTTATGAGAATGGTGGTTTGGTTTACTGACCCCGGATACTTGATCTTTGGCTCCTCACAATGGAAACTGACCAGTGGAAGCCAGGATCTTTAGTGTCCAATTAGAGCTAGTATGTATTATTTAGTAAGTCTGAAGAGCATTTTGCAAAGCTATCAAAACCAAATCAAATAGTGATTTTTCTGATATGCATTGGGAATACTTTTACGTTTTATGATGCACCATATGGCCAAAGCACATTCTTAATTTTGTTAACAATACAACAATAAAGCATTTTCTGATTTGGAATATGATTTAAAATGGTGTCATGTCATGTCATGTTTTACAAAATGATGATAATGTGATTGTGATTCATCTTTCTGCCCGATATTTAGGAATAAACAATGAAAACCAGATCTTAACCTGACTCTTGTGATCTTTAATGTTATAATGCTGTTACCTCATCAAAAACACGCCTGGAGTTGTGTTATGTTTCATTCACGTATGTTTAATTCTTTATTATTAGTTTGTCTACAATTTAAAATGCTCTGTTCCACCTTGTGATGTCATGTAGTGGTAGTGTAAGTTAACATCTTTTACCTTTTGTTCAGTAGAGATTGGAAAGCCCAGGGCTGCAATCATCCGATGATTCTAGTGAAGGTGTATGGAGTTTAAAAACACATTGGAGCACTTCCTGTATTACCACATGACATTACAAGGAAGAAGAGAGTATTTTCAGCTTGAGAGAAGAACTAAATATGCAGGGTTTGTGTGTTAAACATGTGTGAATGAAACAAAACACAACTCCGGGTATATGTTTTGATAAATAAACAACATCATAACATAGGAAATAGTGAAATATGGGTCGTTTAGCTTGTATGGATCACCTCAGTGTCACCAGTAATTATTTTGAGTACACAATACTTAATATATTTGCTGAGTAATTGCTTTTTACATTTTGCATTTTATACTTTACAAATTTATATACAACATTTCAAATTACTCAAAATATTCAGCCACTGCTTCACAAAATTTGCTCTTAATTTTTTATTTGCACCATTTTTGTTGTAAAAGCAGATACCGTACCCACCACATTACCTCCCACACAAAGCTGTTTATTCAATCATTTTATGCTTTCAGGGAGCCAAATTATTCTAATCGGAAAGCAAACAACCACTCCTAAATGTGTGCAAACAAGTTCATAACCAAAACGTGTCTCTACAGGCTGAAAAAGTGAAGTATTATCAAAGTTAGAATTAAAAGGCCCATATTACGTTATTTTTGATCTGTGTTATAATGTTATGTCCTCATCCAAAACACATTCAGACGTAGAACATTTGTCTTGCCCCAGTACTGATATATAAGTCAAAATAAGTCAGCTGTGGACTGTCAGAATCAAAAAGTGTTTTACTGTCAAATAATAAGGAAGTGTGTGGTTAGCATGCTGGTTGTTGTAAGCATTACTGTGATGGCAAAACTCAGCTCTGGCCTCTAACAGTCGGGAAAAGATAAACTAAACACGGTGAACAGTTAAGACGCTCAGAATGATTGTAAGTGACAAATAACTGAACTGGGCCACTGCTATTTTCCGATCTATGTCATAATGTTGTTTCCTCATCAAAAATGTACACATATTTTTTGCTGAGGTCTCTCAAACAGAAACTGCTCTCTTCCACCTTATGATCTTGTGGTAAAACAGGAAGTGCTCTACTGTGTATTGTTTTTGTTTTGCATACATCATAATTTCGATAATTTCAGCCCTGGAATTGCCAGTTTCTACTGAACAAATGTAAAAAAGTTATTGTTTACTTGAAAAATACAACTAAATGACCTCACAAAGCGGAAAAGAGCATTTTGAGCTTTGGAGATGTAGACAAACTAAAAATAAAAGATGATGTTGATTTCTTTTCTGTCTTGTAAAAAACAGTCGCAGCGGCACAGAGATCATTCAACAGTACCTTTAATAATGTTACAGCATTAATTCACAGCAGGGTGAGATGGACGCAAAAAGTATCTGAGAGGCTGTAAGCTTCTAGCAGACAGTTTGAAAGTTCAAGGGTCTGCGAGTCTAATCAAAGGTTTAGTATTGTCTATTTATACATGTTATCTGTAGCTGCTTGTTTTACCCTGGGAGACTTCCGGAGCTTCTGCAGTTTGTATCATAAAACAGTAGCAGGTAGCAAGCATCGTTCAAGGTAACTAAGCAGCACATTTTTTACTTTAACTGCAGCAAGACTTAATTTTGTGTAATATAGGACCTCTAATGATGACAGTTCTGCTTCATGTGTTTTTAAGATAGTAAAAATGTGGTACAGTGCCTTCAATGCTTATTCAACCAAACAAAGCTTTAAATAAAAGTCTCCAAAGAGCGCCTAATATGGATCATGACATTAAACTGGGTCAAGGCGAGTCTCAATTTACAAAGAACTTCCCCAATGTTGTGCGAATTGGATTTGCTTGCTCCCATCATGCCATAATAACACAAAGAGTCCACTTTAATCATCTTGGCCAACATTTGCACAGTGATACAGCCCTGGTTCTTATCTTGCGTGTTTCATAACCTGATTTAGATTGACTTAAAAGAGTGTTTCGTGGGAGGAGCTGGACTGACGCCTTTAGTTTGACCAGCTTTACCTGAAGAGGAATGTAAACAGACCGGAGAGCCCACAAGCACTTCAAATGAAAGAAACAAACTGAAGCAGAAGAAAGACACAAGCTACGTAGAGGTAAAAAAAATTCCCAGTCTCGGAAAACTATAAAGGTGCATTGTGTAACTTTTCTGGTGGAGGGTTCGTCAAATGCTTTTTTCCATTTAGATGTTATTGCTTTGTTTAGAATGTTTCACAGTTTGGCATTAAACGTTTCCAAACCAGACCAAGTTACAAGTCAGATCTGAGGAGAGGCAACCCTACTCACAATCAGAATGTCTTCATATATTAATAAATATCTTTTAAGGGACAGAATGACCAAGAAATGGGCAACTGCAATAAAAAAATTATTGTGACGGGCTAAAAACAAACAGACACTTTTTCCTCAACCTCTGCCATGACTGATTGACAGGTGGATTTAACCAATCACAGTGAAATAAGTATAAATACTTAAATACTAAATACTATAAATACTAATAGGCAGCAGGTGACTCAGACTTTCCAGAGTCCAGTTCAAAATTCAGATATTATCACGATTTACGCACACTCACGCAATCTGCATCTTGGGAATGTCCACCTTTCACTCTTATTAGTTAAAGTCCGTATGAGGTTTTGGTGATTCTCTAATTTCTACTTAATTTGGTGCTATAATACTTAAACATAAATTAGATTTTTACACCAACAGAGAAAAAGTGTGTGTAGAAAAGTTTAAAAATACAGTATGTTGAAAATGACTGAGTCTCATATTGATGACAAAAATTTAACACAGTAAAGGGATTTTCTTACAATTTTAATCATTTCTGTGTATTTCTGAGTTTTGGTCTAGTGTACAGGAAAGGAAGTAAAATTTGAAACATAAAAAAATTCCAGATTAGGAAAGAAAGAGTAAAATGTTCAGTAAAATCTGAAATATAATAATAAAATGTGTAGTCAAACCTGTCATAGGCCTTTTAAATCCAACTGTCAATGACTTGTGACAGAGGCTAACTAATATGAGGAGTGGGTGGGGAAATGCGTCTTAGCGTCATCTACATGGTTTCAATGTTTGTATCTGGCTATGAAGAAATAAATACAAAAACATAATGAAAAAAGTATTATCTCTTCACTATAAAGAGTATATACTATAACATAAACACTATAAACCAACCATTTCTTCACCTTAATTGGGTATTTCTTTGTAACATTATAAAAAGAACTGTATTTTAAATTACAATACAGATTTGAAGTATGTAAATCAATGAGTTTATTGGTAACTACTACAAATATAAACGCACACACTATTTAAATGACAAAACGATAGTTCATAAATTCAAAATCTGACAAACTCGAGATCGATAAGGGTTTTTCATGGCCGATACTGATTTTTGGAATCCATAGCAACCAATGGCCAATAAACTTTTTTCGGCCGATACGTAGGGTTATTATTGATTATTTTCCCTGAATAATGCAATTTAAATTTAGTGCAAACTCATTCACTAGCCTGATTCATCAGCCGGTTTTACTTCGTTTCACTTCGTACAAACTATCTGACCTTGCAGCCTTAGATTTCGTTCGCTCAACGGTAGGTGGGTACTTTTTATCATTTACCCAATCACTGCTATTTGGTTGTGATGCATGTAATGCGCCGCTAACGGGGCTAATTGGTATAATAAGCTTTTTCCAAATCCCGTAGGAAGAAGGGCAATAACGTCTTTCCCCTTGATAGAATTTCACCAAACATTGTCTTTGTTCCGGCTTTAAATTCTCAATCTCGGGAATCGTTGACAACACTGAATACATGACTCTTCGCTGATTGGCTGGTGCCCGAACTTGCATTTCCAGGGTTTTTGTGAACAGTCTATTGTATTTTGATTCCTGATCTAGTTGCTGGATAGAAATGAAATAGAGCGGAGGCACTAGGTGGCAACATAATATTTATGCAGCTGGACGGCTAATACTAAATATCGGCCTGTGATTGACATTTAGCGTTGAAAACTGATAACTCTGAAAAGGCCAAATATCGGCTCAATATATAGGCCAACAGATATATCCGCACACAACCTTGCCTTGAAAATATTAGGCAACAACTTTTTAATTTCACAAGAAACCAGTTATTCTCTCACAGTTACACACTTCCCTTACTGGTTTTCTCTTCACCGCAATCAACCTTAAATGCAATAAAAGTACAACCGCCAACTTTCAGCATGTAAAATTCTCTTGATTTGAGGAAAACATAAAAACACTACCTAAGGTCATTCTCTCAGCACTCCCATTCGACAAAAGCAATGACTCTTTGGCTTTGTGTTATGTGTGGCAGGTAATGGGCCAGTGAAAACATGCTTTTCAAATACTAACAAGGCAACTTCTGCTTCAAAAGCCTGCTACAAGTACAAGTATCTGCTAATTACATGGCGGGGTACATGTATTTAAAACTGAAATGAACTAAATCAATCAGGTCTAGAGTTTAAAATACATCTTTAAGAGACTCCTGACTGACCCACAAGTACAAGCTCATAAATTTCACCTTAAGAATGCCCGGGCTTGTCTGATCTCAGAAGGTAAGCCGGGTTGGGCTTGGTTAGCACTGGGATGGGAGTTGAAAGATTGATTCCCGCTCAAACCATTGCACTCTGAGTCTGTTTTCTGTCCTTAAGCAAGACACTTCAAACATCTTGCCAGCAGTGTTGGATTCACCTCCATCTCCATATGCATGAGACAACACATGGAAATCAGCCTATGGCTATCATTTCTCTCAAACAAAAAACACTGTTCCACCTTGTTATGTCATGTGATAATACAGTAAGTGCTCCACTGTGTTTTAAACCCCATACACCTTCACTAGAATAAAATGGATAATCTCAACCCTGGAATTTTTAATCTCTACTGAACTAAAGGTAAAATGTAGCTTTTAAAGAGACAGTTTGGAATTTTGGACTTAGGGCCTCATTTCCTAGTGAGCCAGAGTGTTGGAGATGTGTGGAGACACTTTTTAAAATATTCCATCCAGTCTTTTTATTTGTAGAAGTTGCTGGTGCTAGGCTAGTGCATGTCAATGGCCATCGTTAGCCTGCCACTAAAAACAGTCTTACCCACTCCACAAAACACCTGAAGCAAATCTATTATTACTACAGACTATCGATGTAAATGTCTGTGTTGACAGGATAATGTTTGAAATAAAACTAATCTTGCATCGCATGAATAGTCGCATGTTGAGGGACTATTTTCTCATATATCAGTCCGCTGCTGCTAAGCTTTCTAACAGGAAGTACAACTCACTGCTGCTGCTCAGACATAATTCCTTCAAATGCAAGGTTGGTTTTGCTTCTAAAATTATTCTATTGACAGTCTGGTGTGATAACTGTTTTGCCTTGGGTGCTTTTTGGAGTGTTTTTAGTGGTAGGCTAACTATGGCAACTGACATGCACTGGGGACTGGATGGAATATTTTAAAAAGTGTCTCCAATACGTCCCCAACATTCTATCTAATTAGGAAATGAGGTCCAATGTCCAAAATTCCGAACTGTCCCTAACCTCTTAACTTGAAAACTATCTTTTCTTGACACCACAAAGTAGAGCAGAGTATTTTAAGCTTTGAAGATGTAGAAAGACTAATAAACCAAGTTAACTCAAACATGTTTGAATGAAACAAAACACAACTCCGGGTACGTTATGTGGTGACGTCACAACATTCTAATATATGGCTAAAAGTTCAGGAGAATCCATTCGTGTAATACATGACCTTGAACATGCATTGTCAACCAAATAGGCGTACACAGACTGATCATTAATTTAGTTTATGGAATTAATTTTAAACATTCTTTTGCTATTGCACAGAAAACTGGAAATGATTTGACCTTCTCTTCTCTAAACTGGGAGTGTTATAGCAATTATCTGTATGTATTCAATTAACCAACCACGCTCACATAATGACTTGCATCTTTATGTAAGAAAACATTGGACTTTTGACTTCTGCTTACATAGTCATCCGTTACAGGACGTATGGTCAGATAAACTGCGCCTTTTGTTCCCTTCAGCAGATGGGGATCACAGAGCAAAAACAGTGAAATCTGATGCAGCATGTTACAGTAAGCTTTTCCAACGGCATTCTCTTTATCAGCCATAACAACACTGGGAATGTTACTGAAAGAAGAACCCCGCAGAGAACAATGCAATTTAAAACTTTTTACAGTCACAAATGCAAAGCGTTTATGGTAAATACAAGCCTTCACAATGTAACGCCCAAAGGTTTTTATTGCTTATGAGAAACAAAGGAGTGCAATACGGTTTGTCTTGTGGTACTTGTACTTGTTAAGTATATGCATTTTCTTTAGTCTATTTTACATTAAAGGGACCATATTATGCCATTTTCTGATCTATATTATAATGTGGTTTCCTCATCGCAAAAAACCTGGTGTTGTGTTTTGTTTCATTCACATGTTTAACACACAAATCCTGCATATTTAGGCTTGTCATGTGCTAATACAGGAAGTGCTTCACTGTGTTTTAAGTCCATACACCTTCACTAGAATCATTTGGATAATTTCAGACCTGAAATTGCCAATCTGTACTGAACTAAAGGTAAAAAGTAGCTAGTAACCTGAAAACTACCAATACATGACATTACAAGGTGGAGCTGAGCATTTTGAGCTTTGGAGATGTAAACAGACAAATAATAAAGGGTTACTCAAATGTGTGAATGAAACAAAACACAAGTCCAAGTATGTTTATATTGCTTGAGGAGGTAACAACATTCTAACATGGCTTAAAGCTCACAATAGTCAATTTTGCATAATATAAGAACTTTAATGATTCTATGATTCTAAAGGCCATATTAAAAAGTTGAGAGGTAGTCTTTATGTCAATATAGGCCAATAAAACAGTACTCTGAAGTTTGCTGTGGCCAAAAAAAAATTTTTAATTTCATATTTTATTCAAAGACAACTTATACGTTAAAATTTGTATATGTAATTGAAATTTTGGCTAAAAGAATTAGATTGGAAATCCCAGTGGAGTGCAACTTCTGCAGACAGTTGTTGCAAGCTTATAGTTTACAATAGGCTATGTACATTTATGTAAGGCTAATCCCAATAGGGTAAGACACTATAAGACTGCAATACACAAGATTCCCAAAGGCCACCATGTTTACAAGTATACACAATTTACAGCTAGCATATTTAAATTTTAATTTAGCTACTACAACATATAATAGTCATATTAATATTTGAAAACGTACGGCTACTTTATTTCAGCTAAAGCATCGTAGCTAAGTTCATATCGAGACAGGGTAATTGTGGGTCTAGTCTTCTTGCCTTTCATTAGTAACTTCCTTGTTACGAAGCGCGTACAGAACGTCAGGTGAGTTTTCTCCGCTGGAACCCTCGTGTCTTACCTTTACACGGAAGCGCCTGGGCCACTTTGATTTTCACGGTGCCGGTGATGCTCTCTCCCGGGCTGTAAACAACTTTATTCCCGTCAAAAGCGATTTCAAACTCCTGAAGCTTTCCCATGGTCGCCGTTGCTGTCCTCACCCCACAGCGACACTGCCCGAACTGAACTGAAGAGGCGAGCGGCGCTATACCTGTGCGCGCAAACAACAACACGCACCTTTACGCAGCGTGGCCCCGCCCTACGCCGTGAGCTCACCGGTTACCTAGACAACCTGGCAGATTCACGACAACAAAGAGCCTTTATTTTCCATTAGGCCTATGGCATGCAAGAGAAATGGAATTTGACATGGGGTTTTGTTTAGGAATACAGTCAATTCTCTGTGTAGGTAGCAAGTGAGATGTTGACTATTATTTTTAAATGAATGTCGGTAGAAGTTATTATTATTTCTTAATTATTAAAATGTATTTATTTATTTATTTGTAGCTCTAATGTTTAGGCCAAAATAAAATAAAATATAGCATAACATAATAATAGGATAATGTAACAGGCTACCCTCGTTCATTCTTCTGCGTAATAAATATACTCCACTTACTGTACAGCCTAGGATTTGCTAAAATGAAAATAATTTTGATGGACACCACTAGAGGGAACTCTTGAGTTTGCTGTGGAGGTGAATCAAAAGTTGGCAGTTGATTGGATTGAATTAAATCCAATCATATATTTTTTTTATTGAATAAGCAACTTACAAAAAGCAAAATATAGCCTATAAAATAAATTCTAAATGTCATATCATGTAATAAAAACACATTTTATTACGAACTGAATTAGGCTATATATATGGTAATAAGCCATCATTATTTTATACATGTTTTAATATCATTAACTTAGATTACAAGGGGAAAAGCACTCTCTATGTTAATACTTCAAACATATCAACCATATTCTGTTTAGTCAAGGTTACAGCTATAATAGGGTATATGACAATATTACTAGAACATTTCCATTAATTTTTCCTACAGACTTTTTGAAAAAAATGTCAATGTCTCGCAGAAACTAAGCAGCTGATAACTAATATCCGTAGTATAGCATTATAGACTCATTTATTGATATGTTGCAGCTAATGTCATCAACATTCCCTGGGGGTTTGATGCTTGGACACAGTAGCTCACACATCACAATATAGTACGTATTTAGTACAGATTTAATTGATGTTGTATTTAACTGACCTCCATTCACTATCGGCTATTCTATGGTGCTGGTTTCTGGAGATCTATGGTGCATGTTTTTTGGGTTACTTGGGTATTACTTGGGTGATTGTAATAACAAAGAGAAAACATATATAAATGGTAATAATACATTCTAAATAAGTACCAAAAATAGCAAGAGACTGGTGTCAAATAACTATAGAAATGTATATGTGCAAGTCAAAATAAACTCAAATATTCACAGGACATATAGTTTTAGCTATGACATAAGGGTGAGCTGTTGTATAGTTGTATGGCATATGATATGGATGTAGTTCTGAATCTCTCACTGAGCAGAGTTGTAGGAGCCTGCTGGAGAATGAGCTCCTTTGGCCCTCTATAATCTGGTGCAGTGGATGAGTTGTTGTACAGTTGTAGGGAGTATTATTTGTCCCGCTAGACTCTGATGGAGTGGGTCAGCAGGAGTATCCATGATGGAGAGCAGTTTGTCCAATGTCCTCCCAGTCATGTGACCATCTTTACGGATTGGTTTCTCAATCCGTTTTATGTCCAATTCTCACCTTTTTGTTGAAAATTAAACACCTAAATAGGACCATGAATGTTCGTATTGATCACAGGCTCCTGAAAAAGTGCTGTTTAAATCCATTTTGCATTTTTTCTTGAGTATTCAGACATAATCTTAAACATTTGCTAATCTGTGCATTGTGCCACCATGGTAACTCCTAAACATTCCACCATTAGAGATGCATGTATGCATGCAACACCCCCCAGCACTATGTCACCACAAAGCATCAGCTTTTATCTGGCTTTCATTCCAGCTGATTTGCAGTAGTTTCCGAATCATTTCTTCCTTGCGACTCTGCTTGGTTCATCTTTAAAAACCTGAAAGCATTTCTAAAACTGTGCGATCCAAAACAGTACAGCAAAGGGTCCAGGCATCCGTTGACCCCCGCGAAAATCCAGGAAGCATAGTAGGCCATCTGGACGGCTTGGAGCATGGAACATCTTTGAGGATAGTGCTTTATCAGTATAACCCCTGTTGTCCGGATCACATTCATGGGCAAAAAGCAAATACCAAAAATGAGCAAACACATTCGTATCATTCTCTGCGATTTCAGTTTCACTTTGAGACCTTTTTGGGTGCTGGTGTTGAGGCGTGTTAGAGTGTTGGCGAGGCCGAAGTAGCAGCCAGCAGAGATGCTAAGAGGAAGCAGAAATCCAACTGTAAACAAGACAAAGTTAATAGCGTAGTAGATGTTGGAAAGTTTCTTCTGGCTGAAATTGAAACATTGGCGACGCTTTCCTTCTTTCGTTGTCGGGAGAATCAAGGAGTAAACTAAAGATTGCAGAAAAAGTAGTAGCCACACCCCAGCACATATTTTTTTGATGAAGTCTTTGTTTTTCATTCTAGAGCTTTTGTTGAAATTCACCACCGCCGTGTATCTGTGAACGCTGATCAGAGTGAGGAAGATAGTGCTGCCGTAAAAGTGTGAACTCAACAAGGCGATTTTGGCTTGGCACAGGAACTGACCAAAAATCCATTCGTTACCCATGGCGAAGTACACGGCCATGAGTGGAGTGACGGGAGTGGCCAGAGCGTCACTTAGAGCCAGATTGAACTGAAGGACTGTCCCAGAGCTCCACGACGACATACGGAAGAAGAAAACCCAAAGGCTGAACATATTTAACAAGAAACCCACGAAGAAGACCAAGCACATGAGCACGGAGATGGAGATGTGGCCCGTCGCTGGTAAACAGGTCCCGTTGGTGTTGTTCATGTTGGCAAAGTTTTCAAATCTAGAGAGAGAGAGAAATTAAATATTTATAAAGGTTCTATATTACGCAAAATTGGTTCTTGTGATCTTTTAAGTCATGTTATAATGTTACTTCCTCAAGAGCATACCTGGAGTTGTGCTTTGTTTCATTCACACATGTTTAAAGAATCCTTTATTATTAGTCTGTCCACATCTCCAACGCTCAAAATGCTCTATTCCACTTCAAGTTAACTACTCCTTTTACCTTTTTGTTCAGTAGAGATGCTCAGTGGCAATTCCATGGTTGAAATTATCCAAATAATACTAGTGCAGGGGTATGGAGTTTAAAAACACAGTGGAGCACTTCCTGTATTACCACATGACATCACAAGGTGGAACAGAGCATTTTGTCACCCTTACATCTGTCTTGCCCTATAAAAACTATATAATGTTGAATATAAGAGCCTGTTAAAATGAGAACGCTTGCAGGTAAAAACGACTAAATATTTTATCAGAAGTGCCTTTCGTTTACAGTGACGGCATTTTTGGGGCTTAAAAACGCAAAAATCTGAAACCACCCTCCAGAGTGGAAAAGTTCAATACACACAACCGTAGCATTTCTGTCTACACTGCCCTTGATATTCGAAAAGTTCTATAACAATATATTTCCCATTTAAATCAACTCTACAGCCCAACATATACTTTACTTTTCATAATTAAAATATAGATTGTTGCTTAGATTAGATAATTGAGATGAGATTTCAACTGTGTTTTTTGACTACAAACACCTCTTCTAATGCACGGCCCCAGTTTACCTACATGTTTACCAGAGGGGAAATTTCTGATTGTGTTGGTGCAGATTACTTCTCTTTATTAGGAAGGAAGTGAAAATATGTTGTATACCTAGAATTGAACTTTAAATATGTAAATATAGGCATCAGTTCCTTAGTGTTGATTTGTGGTGTAGATTGCCAAGGTTGTTCATACTTAGACACATAATATTGTCATTATAACTCACACATCACATTATACTGCAGAGCAAGAGTAAAAAATACTGTTAACATTCAATATCTTTATATTATTTATTTATTTATTTATTGTCACATATTTTTCAAATATATCATTTTTTATTATTATTATTTTTTTTTAACATGTGTCAAACATGTGTCTGGTCAGGGACACAGGTGGTCACATCATTTGGAACATTTCTCATCAGTTCTCACAGGCTCTTGACATGTGACATAGCTCTCATTCACAAACATATATCATAAAATCACCATGTTTTTTCAGTACAACAGGTGTGTTCACATGTGGTAAAGGACAGTGGCTTAATCTCTGTTGCTCTCAATACTCAAGCATAATAGCATAATTCAGCAATTTGTGAGCACCAAAAATTGTCAAAAAAAAGAAAGGATTTCATGCATGACTTAAACAGGGAGAAAGGTCCCAGCAGTGAGTTCAAACTGTACAGACTACACACAGATATACACAGATACACACTGTGAAATGTATAAATGTCTTGTTCACACCTGTTATAGTACACACTCAGTGTTGATGTATTTGCTTTTCTAACATTTTACACTTTTCTTGAACATAAATATTTTGGCTCAAATACTGCAAAATGTACTTTGCAACAGGTAATGTGTACATTTATATTTTACATAATACACAGACAGGTTTTAGACAAAAAAGCAAAGCTTTTCCTGTCCAAAATTGTGCGAGTCCCTATGACAGACTGCACTAAACCAGTGATTCTCTTTGGTCTCTGAGAACTGCTCTGTGAAATGAATGAAACAGCTCATAATACACATGACCAGTCTGAGAGTTTGGATGGTAAAAACTGACTTTTGGGAGACAATTGATCAGCTTTGAATGTAAAACTGTATTTTGCTGGGATATATATTTTTCTGTAACATGTTATAGTCTGTGTACATAAATACTGCACACTCTTAGCACAACCAATAGACCAAGGATAAAACTGAAAACACATGAACCACAATATGAAGAGATTTTATAGACAGATACAGAAGCACTAGAACAACGTAAAAGACTTCTGTAGTGAAAACCTATGTGAACCAGGTTTTCATTTAGACACTTGGAGGTCTAAGTTGGACACAGCTCAAATACCAACTGTGAAAAAGCACAGGTTTGAAGTTCTTATTTAGAAACACACAGGATAATTCAACAATTTTCAATACTACAGGCCTGTTCAGATGTGGTAAAGGGTTTTTCCCAAACACATTCACTTACAATAGAAACTCAAACATGACAGAAAAGAATACAATTTGTGAGCACCCACATGAATCAGTCGAAAAAGTAGTGTTGATGTATGCAATTCTAACATCTTTCAGTTTTCTTTGCATATATACAAAATCTAGTTTGCAATTGGTAATGTGTACATTTATTTTAAAATTATGTTTGTGTTTTAGACACACCTAGATTCTGTGTAAAGTGTGAACCACAATGTCAACTGCACTAGCCCAGTGAATCTCTGTGGTCACAGAGAGCAGGGCAAAGACTTCTGAGCTGCTCTGTAAGTTTAAAAAAAATGTAAAAATTAAAAAGAAATGTAAAAACTGTTATGTGTGCCAGCAGTCAGCCACAAGAGTGTTTCAATTTATGTAATATATTTTTCAGATCTGTATTTTTATGTAAATATAATGAAAAAACAAAAGTACATATTACAAGTTGCAGATTACGTTAAATTATAAATATTTATGCAGAATAAAACTGAAAGATGTTGGAATTGTAAATACATCAACACTACTTTTACGATATGTAACGTGTTCTTAGAAATCAGACACTTCATTGGATATTGTGTACAGTATGTAGTGTAGTGTAGTGTAGGTGTCTATTCATACACTCTGTGTTCCATGTTTGATTTATTTGTGAAAATCTTTTGGTGTTAGATTTTAAGTGTTTGAATTTCTACCTTGAAAGTGAAAGTGTTAGGGACAAAACCTTTTACCATGGGTGAATAGACCTGTACTACTGAAAAAAAAAATCACACATCATAATGTATGTTTCTGAATGTCAAGAGTTCTGAGAAAGAGCTTGCCAACTGATGAGAAATGTTTTAAATTATGTGACTACCTGTACCCATGTTCAGATACATGAACCAAATGATCAAACAAACCCAAAATTTCAAAAAACATGCCAAAACAACTGCAAAAAGTTCTCCCCCCCCCACCCCAAGTCTAAATAAATGAGGATTTCAAAACTTACTTGCGAGTCTTGATGGAGTTCGTAGTTGTTAGAAGTATGGAGAACTATGTACATTTTCACACTAATATTACAGACACCCAGAGGAGGGGTTTACTGATAGCCACACCAGCCCAATTTCTATTCTATTTTTACATAAGGGAGATGCTGCTGCTTTTTTGACTTCTTCCTTCCTCAACATGCTCCTAAGATTCACTGTCTTCACAAACAGAAAGTTATTTGTGGTAAACGTGGCAAGCAAGCTCTACACCAGACACCAGTTTTCAGGTAAAGATTCTGTCGACAGTGTCTTGAAATCTTTATAATATCAAGAGTTTAGAAAATCAGATACCAATCGATACTAAAATTAGGACTGAAACTAGATATTCATTTGAGATACTAAAAAGGCACATTCACAGGACAAAAATAAACCTTTTCTGAACAGCATTATAATGATTTTCAGCAGTATCACAACAAGTATAAGAGCACATATAGCATACATCTATATATAGCACATAGTATACACCCATGGACCACTGTACGACAAAAGGATTACACAGATATATGGCGTCATGGTAATATAAATGAAAGTACTATGATTTAATGCTGAAAATCACATTCTATTGTTCATTTTTTGTCTTTTTTTTGTTATGACATCAGAATTATACAGGTGTTGAGTACTGAGGCTATTCCTTAGTACTGAAATTTTAGTATGGTGATAACCCTACTTTGAGATTATCATGCACATGAACGCTTTTCAACACTTGACTTTTACTTGCCATTGACTTTTACTTGATGCTTTACTTTAACTTTTACTTACGAAATGACTTACAGCATAAAAAGCACACTCAAATTTGGGGGCCAATTTATGTTATTTTAACTTTTCTTCTACCAGTGGTGAATTATCTTGTGGCACTTGATGACTGGTGGCTTCTCATCAGTTGTGCAAACAGGAAACTGTTTGAAATTTTGAAGTGAGTTTTGTCACCCATACATCTTTTATCAGATGGCTGTGCATAAGTGAGAAAAAGGAAATTTTGTCTCTGTAATTTGCGTTGACAGCATTCATGAACACAACACATGACTCCATTTGTGATTACATTTAATAGATATACAATCAACACCACAATTTTCAACCACTTGTTTTTTATGTTGTTTTTAGATACATTGTGCGAGTAAAGAATTTTTAAAAATTCATTGTTGTCGTAACTACATAGCAGAGCATTGCTTCCCAAAGACTGAGTCGCGACTCTCAGGTGGGTTGCAAGAGATTTTTTTTTTTGGGTTGCCTTGTCACGATCTGCATGTAGGTCTGCAATATACAGTTCTGACACATGAGAGAGTGAGTGACTATTTTGTTCCAATACTGCTGGTTTAATAGAATTTTGAAAAGAAAAAGAAATGAGCTACATTTAATGCCCATAAGGCGACTTATGGGTCCTTTTATTGCTGCTTCAATGACTGTTTTTCATTGTTTAAAACTTGAGTAATACCAATTGTTCAGAAAGACACAATCACTCAGTCAACAATAAAAATATCTTCATTAATGTTCAATAATGGTCAAATCCACCTTTATTTGTGATTTATGAATAATGTTTATTGATTTGGGTGGCAAAGGTTTGTGACTTTTAAAATATGGGTCCCCAGAACAAAAGTTCGTAAAACACTGCTTTAAAGGTACACTATATACATTTTCTGGTGTGAGGGGGCTCCCCATTAATGTCCAAGACATTTACCTTGTAGGTGTTTTTACTGCACAAAAACACAATTTATTCAGTGTGTGGAGTGTCTTCTCCACAGATCTGACACAGATCATGGAGATCAACTTTAAGATAAGCAAATATTTTTTCTTTATCATATATCTATTTTTCCAACTTGAAATAGGACAGTTTTATTTTATCAGCACATTTTACTGTTGTGTGAGTGTAACTGCAAAGTAGCTAACTGTGACAGGAAGGACACTTGGTGTAAATATATGGCAGTACATTATATCGTTCTCAGTCATCAGAATTCTAAAATGTCAATATTACTTTTTAGAATAAAATAATAAACATAAAAAAGTATTACAAGACAAGACTAGTGATGGCCTAAACGAGCCCAATTGTTATGTTCACATGGAAAAAGTAATATCTTGCACTTAGTTATGCAAACTCATTACAATGTGTTTCTTTTGTAGTATAGTTGCAGTACATTTTTTAAACCACTAGATGGAACCCATACACCCACCAACACAGCGTGATACAGTCTCGACACACAAGGGGAAAAGTGATTCACCCACTGAGGTATCATCTACCCATCACTAGACAAGACTAACCAATGTCATCAAGTATACAAGTTACTAGTTAAGCACTTCAGTATTTGACATTGGACAGGCATAACTTAATTCAGCTTAAAAGTGCACTATTCAACTTTTCTGGAGACAAGCAAGTTGCGGACTCCTCACCTAAAAAGTTATGATAAGTGAGAAAAAAAATATTATCTTTATTATCTATCTGTTATTTCCACTTGAATCGGATAAAAAAGCTCTCTCGTTAGCTCTCTCGCGTGGCGGCGGTCTGCGCATGTAAACACTGCCGAACAACTGAAGAAAGTGATGGATCGGTGACGGCCGCGCGCAGTGGTACGTATGCACAACACTGATGACGGGGATGCCATACAGATTTATGTCAAAAAATCCGAACTATCCCTTTAAGGCGCCTCTAAAGTTTTCAGATCCAAAAAAGTAAAGCAGTGGGTCCAGGCAGCAGTTCACACCAGCAAGAATCCAGGAGACATAGTACGCAGTCTGTACATAATGAAGTAATTTGCACTGTTCTGGATAGTACTTATTCAGCACTACTCCTATAGTCCGGATCACGTTCATGGGCAGGAAGCAAATCCCAAATATGATGAGGCACATTCGGATCATGCGCTGGGATTTGAGTTTCACTTTTAGACCTTTGGAGGAGCTGGTGTTTAAGTGAATGAGTGCGTTTGTGACACGGAAATAAGAAATTGCTGAGATAATAAAGGGAAGGAGGAAGCCGACGGTGAATAGGACACAGCTGATGATGAAGAGGGAGTCTTTCAGGGTCCTCTGGATGAACGTGAGGCAGTACTGGACTTTCGTTGTGGGAATTGTAAAACCATAGATGAGACATTGCGCTAAAAGAAGCAGCCACACTCCAGCGCACAGTTTTCTGATAAAGCTTTTGTTTTTCATCCTGGAGCTCTTGTTGAAGTGCACCACAGCCGTGTATCTGTGAACGCTGATCAGGGTGAGAAAAATTGTGCTGCCGTAGAACTGGGAGCTCAGGAGGGCCATGATGACTTTGCAGAACACCTGACCAAAGGGCCAGTCATTCCCCATGGCAAAGTATGTAGCTATGAGTGGGATCGAGGGGGCTGCCAGGGCGTCGCTCAGAGCCAGGCTGAACTGGAGGGTGGTCCCAGCGCTCCACGACGACATACGGCAGCAGAAGACCCCCAGACAGAAGACGTTCAACAGAAAACCCATGAAGAAGACCAGACACAGAAGCACTATGATGGAGAAGTGTTGGGTCGAGACTGAGCAGGTAGCACTGGAGTTGTTCATCTTGTTGTCTTGAAATCTGGAAAAGTTGTGTTGTTGGGCTTCAGCTAAATTTATTATTGCTGAAATACAAAAGTATGCTGTAATACAGTGAGTTATTGAGTTTTGTTGAAAATACAATACACTGAAAATACAAGGTTCAAGATTTGTGACTTTACCTTTTGGATATTGCATAGTAAAGTACAATATAATCAATAAGGAAATGTGACTCTCAGAAGGTGGGCAAAAGCCAGATTTCCCTATTGATAGCATTGCACTTTACCATGAAATATTCAAACGGTAAAAGCTCTCTGAAGTTGATCTCTTGTTTTTTTTTTACGTGCACAACTGACACATAGCTTTTGATTATGGTTTGATATAATGTACAAAAAAATGAAATAAAAATATTGTTATGAAAAAATATAAATGCACAAATGTTGAAGCTAATCATGTCTATTATTGACTAGACCCAAGAACTCTTTCTCCTTAATTATTGTGTTTACAGGACAGACTGCTATTGTCTCCTTACCACTGCTTTTTTTCCCCTCTCAGTGCACTGATCTTTCTTTTTCAGTTCAAATACCTTGGCTTTAAGTATTTAAGTATATGCCAATATCCGATATAAACCAAAAATGGCACTCATTTCCTTAAAACACAGTTAACTTATTACATAAGCAATCCAGTTGTGTTATGTCATTTATTTATACTTATTAGTTGCTATTGTACTGCTTCCTATGAATTCAAACATTGATACATTCTAGGCCTAAATCAGCATGTAAATAGTCTCATTACATCCAATTAAAGTTCAACCATTAACCAATAACCACAATGAGAAGTTATCATTCAGTTTAGATTTTTAATGCTTGTCTGTGTATTAAAACCAGAAAAATAATATTAAAACAGTATTTAAACAGCTTACTATGAAAGTAACTATTACTTCCTGTTTCTTATTTTATTTATATGCATTTTAATGTATGTATTGTGTTGATATAATTATGACAAAATGTCATTTTGGTAAGATTTCAAATTTGATAAAATTGTACAAATGAAGTTGGTTTAAAAAACTGTTGATGTAAAAGAGATCTTACCTCTGCTGATACTCTGGTCATTAAAGAGGTCTGTGTTGGCAATGCCACTTCCTCAAGTGGTAGAGAAATCAGATTAGAAAAAAGGAAATGTACAATGATGCATCATCAAGGTATTAGTCATTTCATCCATATCCTCCAGCAGTTAGCTCTCCAGTTCCCTGGAGAAACATTAGTGCCACTAAAACAACCACTACCTGTTCAGCAATAAAATGAGTCTGGTTTGATCTAATTATTGGTGAAGTTAGACCTGTAAGGCCTATTCATGTCAGGTTGTTATAGGCCTAGAAACAGTGAATTTTAGATTCACAATGTGAAATTATACAAATGTATGCCTAACTGATATCTTCTTAATACATCTGTGCATTAGAGGTATTAATCTGAGCTGAAGAGTTATTTAGTTTAGATACTGCTGGTAGCTGGTGCATGTCAAGGGTGTCACAATTCTGAACTGTCAGAGGAACCTGACTAAAGGTCCAGCCTCAAAGTTAGAGTGTTTGGTTGTGGAACACGGTCCAGTAGTTCACCCAACCAGCCCACATGTGCTTTTATCTGGCCTTTGGGGGGGTGCTCTTTGGATATACTGTCCAGAGCTCTCTGTTATCTATCACAGTATGAAGGGTAGAGAAGGATAGAGTGCATGTGGACTGTATTTAATTTTACAGGGATGATGTACAGGAGCATTAATCAAAGAAATGTTGAAGAGATGTGTTGTACCAGACTATAGCTCTTTGAGCTAATCTGCAGTAAGATGAGTGGAGAAACTCAGGCAGTGTGGTAGTATGAAGTGATACTATAACAGATCAGATGGTTGTGCTGACAGGGTAGAACTTGAAGTAGAGTCACTGCTGTGAAATGGATGTATAGAAGGATTAAAGTATAAGATTTAAGGAACATTGTTATGTTCTGTGCAGAGAGTGTTTCATTACATTACATTTGCAAACTCTGTTTATCATTGTGTTTTCGCTTCTGCAAAAACAGTTTAGTTTTAATCTGAGTGTTAAGGCTTGAAAATGGAGATAAGGTCATGTTAACGTGACAGGGGTATTCAGCTACTTCAGATGGCTGAAAAAAACTAATAATTCCTTTTTATAAATTCTGGAATAATCAAGATAAAAATACATACACTACATAAGTTCAATTGGGACTTTTACTAGACCAGTAATCCTAAAGTTAAAACTCAAAGCACCTCACAAACAACTGACATTAACTAGATTCTGTTATTTAAAATATTTTATAATATAATTGGAGTGATTACAGAAGTGTAGGCTAGATAGAATAGAAATATCCTTGTTATGTACATACTCAAAATTGTTTGGCAAAAAGTCTTGGAAAAGTAAAACTCTGGCTAGTGACTTAAAATTTGCTGTTCTTTCAGATTCACACCTTTGCTGATTTTCAGTTTAACCTTTCCTCAAAGATGTAAATGTGTCTCTAAAGTTCCGTGATCCAAAACAGTAGAGCAGAGGATCCAAGCAGCAGTTCAGTTCAGCTATGAGTACACAGTCTGCACACAAAGCAGTCTCGCAATGTTGAGGAAAGTACTTCGTGAGTACTGCTAGTAACATGAGTAACGTTCATGGACAGGAAGCAAATCACAAAAATGATCAGGCACATTCGGATCATGCGCTGGGATTTTAGTTTCAGGCCTTTGGAGGAGCTGGTGTTCAAGCTAGTGAGAGCATTTGTGAGCTGGAAAAAAGAAATGGCAGAGATACTGAGAGGAAACAGGAAACTGAACAAAAACAGAACAAATTATAAAGAGGGAGTTTGACAGGGTAGTTTGACTGAAGCTCAGACATTGCACACGATATCCCACTTTAGTTGGGGGCAGTGTTGGGAAGGTTACTTTTAAAATGTATTCCCCTACAGATTACAGATTACACACCCCAAAATGTAGTTTGTAACGTAATCCATTAAATTACTTAAAATGAGTAACGTAATCTGATTACTTTGGATTACTTGATATTGTCATGTTTTTTTAAACGACATGAATGTAGCAACCACATCCTGAAAATTATAGTTTGTTGTCTTCAAATTGTCTGAGCCCACGTCTCCATGAATAAGCAACTGTTTGCTGTAGAGAAACAAAGACCACGATATCTTAATATAAGAGGTTTTGTCTGTTAAAAGACAGTAACAAGATAAGACTTTCCTTAATATTAAAAAATATTATTGATAGAGAAATAATTTTTTATATGATATCACCTTAAATTATGTCAACCTACTGTTAGGTGTCATGTTGTTTAGACCTGGTTTAGTCCTGGTTTAGTCCTGGTTTACTCCTGATTTTAGACCTGGTTTAGACCGGGTCTAGACCAGGTCTTTAGTTCTGGTTTAGTTCTGGTTTAGTCATGGTTTAGTCCTAGTTTAGACCTGATTCAGTCCTGCTTTAGTCCTAGTTTAGTCCTGGTTTAGTCCTGGTTTAGTCCTGGGTTAGTCCTGGTTTAGTCCTGATTTTAGTCCTGATTTAGTCCTGATTTTAGACCAGGTCTAGACCAGGTCTTTAGTTCTGGTTTAGTTCTGGTTTAGTCGTGGTTTAGTCCTGGTTTTAGACCTGGTTTAGTCCTGAGTTTAGACCTGGTTTAGTCCTAGTTTAGATCTGGTTCAGTCCTGGTTTAAGTCCTGGTGTTAGTTCTGGTTTAGAGGCGCACAGGAGGAGGTTTACGCGAGAAAACACGGTCCACACGCGGCGCACGAGACGGCGGTGTCCGCACAGTAACTACGGAAGGAGACGTGGTCCGCGGGTTCTCAGGTTAATTACAATGATGAAGGTGTGTGTTTGTGTGTATTTGTGTGTGTTGTGTTGTGTGTGTTTGTGTTTGTGTGTGTTTGTGTGTGTTTGTGTGCGTGTCCCCTCATGTCGCAGGTCATTATAGGACAGTAGTGCAGATATTATGAGTCTATGCAGGTTGTTTTCACCAGTGCCAGTAGCTCCTGTTTCACATTTAAGTTGTAGGCGATTTTTATATATTCTATATATATTCTATTCTATATATATTCTATATATAATCTATATATAATCTATCTCACGTCGGGAGAAGAATTTCCAAGACACAAATGCGTTTTTACCAATGCACTGCTGCTTCCACTGTGTGACTGACACCGCCAACTTTAACATGACGTTTACATCGCTCTTACTGTCGCGTTCTGTTTGGGTTTCCGGCAATGAGTGGAATTACCGAAATAAAAAAATAAATAAATGGGATGTAGCATAAAATGTGAAAACAGGAAAATACCGCCTTGTAATCCACTTATTTCAGCAAAGTAACTGTAATCCAATTACCACTCATTGAAACAGTAACTGTAACGGAATACAGTTACTCATAATTTGTACTCTGATTACGTAACGGCGGTACATGTAATCCGTTACTCCCCAACACTGGTTGGGGGAACAGCAAAACAACAAACCAGAGATTTCTCTAAAAGAAGTAGCCACACTCCGATGCACAGTTTTTTAATTAAGCTTTTGTTTTTCATTCTGGAGGTCTTGTTAAAATGCACTACAACTGTGTATCCATGAACGCTGATCAGAGTGAGAAAAATGGTGCTGCCGTAAAAATGGGAGGCCATGAGAGTGATTTTGACTTGGCAGAGGAATTGTCCGAAAGTCCAGCTGTTGCTCATGAGGAAGTACCTATCTGTGACTGGAGTGACAGGGGCAGAAAGGGTGTCGCTCAGGGCCAGGCAGAACTGGAGGATGGTCCCAGCGCTCCATGACAACATACAGCAGCAGAAGACCCACAGACTGAAGATGTTAAGCAGGAAACCCATGAAGTAGACCAAGCACATGAGCAAAGGGATAGACATGTGCTGGGCAATGGGCAGGCAGGTCTCACTGCTGTTGTTCATGTTTATAGTTTTCAAGCCTAAAGACAAGCAAAACATGGGCGTTTATAGGTACTATATTAAGCAAAATGGACTCTTGTGGGCTTTAAGCTATGTTATAATGCTGTAACCACCAGAAACATACCTGGAGTTGTGTTTTGTTTCATTCACAAATGGGTAATACTTTATTATTAGTCTGTCTACGTAACCAAAGCTCAAAATGCTCTGGTCCACCTTGTGATGTTATGTAGTAGTTTGCTAGTTAACAGCAATTGCTATTATGTTTAGACTGGCAGTTCCAGGATGGAAATGATACAGATGATTCTAGTGAAGGTGAATGGTATGGAAGCCCATTTCCTCCAGTAAATAAAAAATAAAAGCCTCACAGGAAGACATAATTTGAAGTTTAAAAGTCATAATTAGGAGTTTTCAAAGCTGATTCTAAACCTACTCTTGCTATGCCAGCACGTGGGCTGGTGCAACCATTTTCTTGGAGAAGCCATGTATAAATCCACTACAGAAAAATGAATACTTATTTTACTAATTCACTTCACACTGCGTCCAAATGATCTGCCCCGAGCCCATGTTTTCATCACTGAGTGACCCAAAGTGGCCAGTGTTATTTTGATAGATCCATGCCTGTGCCAAGTACCCAGTGAAGCTCATCAATTCCCAGCCAGGGTCAGGAGACCGGGTGCACTGCAGAGCCAAAAGTGCTTCATTCCCCACTACTATGAACAGGGTAACATACTTTCACATTGCACATAGTCATTTATATGGGATCTGTGTGGATATCTCTCTCCCTCTCTCTCTTTAGTCTTTTTACAACATTCACAAGTTAACAAGCAAATGGAGCTATGTGGAGTTCTCCTGACCCCCTCGAGGATGGCTTCTCCCGGAAAATGCCTTCATGCTTGCATGGTAAGCTTTGGGCGCTAATTATGACTTTTAAATCTTTGACTTTAAATCTGATAATTATGACTTTAAAACACATGACTTTTAAACTCATAATTATGACTTCCTGTGAGGCTTTTATTAGGCCTGAGCGCCATGGGTGGCGAAGGGCCTATTGTTATTGTTCAGCAGTGCACGCAAACAGAGCGCGAAGCGCTCTCCCCTTTCCAAACACACACTCACACGTCAGTGACTGGTGCCCGCTGACATGGCACGGTGGCATTGCCCGTGGGCCACGACAGCGGCCTAATTGTTATTGTTCACCCCAAAACGTAGGGCGCACTTGACATGTCAAGCACAAAGGATAAGGGGAGTGGCATTGAGTGTTTGATAATGCCACTCAATAGTGACACTCATGGCATCCAGTAGTACAGACTGGCATTGCCCATTGCCACGTCAGCGGCATAATTGTAATTGTTAAATCTTGGATATGTGAGCAATCGAAGAGGTCAATGACGAGCACAACGCTGTTGCGCCATTTTTTTTTTAGTTTTTTGATGTGGAGTATTTGTAAATTCCTATTTTGGCGATGTTGAATTTCTTGCAAAATTTTGTGAGTTTCGTTAGCAGGAAGTGTGTGAACTGTGGTCAGGGGGTGAGGAAAATAATAATAATAATAAATATAGCCGCAAGCGGTGATGATCGGCCCTCGCTCGAGCCTGTGCCGCACCCATGCCATGCCGCACCCCAACCACGCTGACCTCTGCATATTTCGTGCCCCACAAACGCACCTTACCCCTTGATCTGATGTGTTCTACTTGAAGGCCACGCCCATGCTCTGTTTTAATTAAGCCCTGATGAAGACCAGTTAAGGTCGAAACATGTTGGCTTTGGCCACTCAAATAAAGGCCTTTTAACTATATTTTTCCTCGGGCGATGTGTTAACTTTTTCTACTTGTTTGGAGTGCCTGGAATCTGTTGTGTTTGAATATTATTGCTTTGTTTAGGATGTTCCACAGTATTATTAAACCAAAAATATCACAAGGGAGACAAGCTGGTTACAGCACTATGCTACATTACAATTCTTAGATGTAGACTTTAGATCTGTGGATAGTTTCCTCTATTCATAGAAGGAATGATTGTATTTTTTAGTAATAGAAACTTCCCTAATGAAGAAATGCTAGATGAATATGTTAAAAGTCATACAAGTCAGATAGCAGACCCTCTACCAGAAAAGTTACACAATGCACCTTTAACTAACAGCCTAAATAAAGTCTCATAATGCTTATCTTAACATAAACTGCTGAGTTAAACTTAATTTCCCCCTGTTTGTGTGTGCTGTGTAGGTAAAGGGATCTCAGGTTATGCAGGTGTTCCTGGTGGAGCAGCTAAAAGTCTGGAGGAGTGTCTCCAACAGGCTGTGCGGAACATCCCCAAGAACAGACACAGTAAAACCCCTCTGTACCTGGGGGCCACGGCGGGCATGAGGCTGCTGGAGTGAGTACTTAATCATTCTAAACATGTGCTAACAAAAGAAGAGGTTCACTGATGCTGTGCATAAGAAAGGTAGTAGTAAACTTGTGAACATTATTGGTCCCCTAAAGGAATAACTTGCACTCTGTAGTTCAGTAAATACAAAAAAGTTAAAGAAGACATATTATTGGTATGCTTTTTCTGGTCCTTAGTAATAAACTATATTTAGGCTCTTACAGTTCTTACGGAAGTACTTTAAAGTTCATACACCTTCACTAGAATCATTTGGATAATTTTAGCCCTGCAGTTGACAATCTCTACTGAATTAAAGGTAAAAGGTAGCTGTTAACTAAAGCTACATGACATCACAAGGTGGAACAGAGCATTTTGAGCTTTGGAGATGTACACACACTAAACAAAATATACAAAACTCTTCCTCATCCTCTGGGGTCCTCTACCAGAGCCCAAAGAGCTTGAAGGTTCTGCACAGTTCCTAGTTACAAGGTTATCTACTGTATAAATTATGTTCTTGATGTTACATGTCAGATCAGTGGTGAGGTGACCACACTTATGCACATAACCCCGTGAATAAATGAAAGAGAAATTAGTCAAATGCCATTCTGTAGAGCATTTCAGGCAAAGCAATAGCATTTGCACAAAGACAAGCCAGTGGCATAACCTTGTCATAAAAACTGCAGGGTCCTCCAAAACCCTATCATAATTTTGTGCACCTAAACTAATGCGGTCCAGGGACTTTTGTTTACACATCAGCCCAAAATGTCTTATGGTTAATGTCCACGCTTTATCATCTACAGGGAAAAAAATGCCTCCGAGTCCCACCGTGTTTTAAAAGAGGTGGGCACCAAATTGAAGTCGTACCCATTCAACTTTAAAGGATCCACTATTCTGAGCGGGCAGGACGAGGGGGCTTTTGGCTGGGTCACTGTCAACTACCTACTAGAGAACTTTGCAAAGGTACAATCAGTCTACTGACCAAATGTCTAGAACAGGTTTTCTGAAATTCCTAATATCCAGGCCTTATATTGCACTTAGTCTTCAGTGTCTGGAAGTAACTAAATTGTAGCCTGCTGAAAATGTATTCAGAATTTTAATTTTCAGTAGGTTTGAAACAGTCTAAATTAAAAAGGTGTTTAAAAGAAATGTTAAATATGATATGCTAAAAAAAGTATGAGATTGTAGAGTAACTGTCCTTTTGTGTTCATTAATAAGTATTTAATATTGTGCATGTCACTTAAATAAGTTTTTTTGTGTGATGTGAGAAGGGAGCAGATATTACAAGTCTATACTTCTTTCTGCTCCTTATCATTCACATTCAAACATAATTATTTTATATTCATCTTACATGAATGAAACAAATAAAAAAAATGATTTTTGAAATGTATTATATAGTAACTCTTTCATTTGCCTTGTCTTACCATACAGGCTCTGCAAAGGTAGATACATGATGCCATGCTCTTATATTGTCTATGGAAACTGCTTACTCATAACATTTTGACCACTTTTACAATAAGTAAAACTCACTGAAATCCTTCCTCTTTTAGTATTACAGCTCAGCTGCAACAGAAAAAAATATACTGACATATATAATGGACAAAAATAGAAACTCAAACACCTTGCACTATGAGTAATGGAATTTTGTGTTAGTTATTTGATAATAACTGAGTCATCTTTAAAGGTGCATTGTGCAACCTTTCTGGTGGAGGGTCCATCAAGATTTTATTGCTTTATTGCTTTGTCTGGAATGTCTCCCAGTATGCTTTTAAACCTTTCTATCTTCATGGAGATCAAACCAAGAGACAGAGACAGACCAAGTTACAGGTCTAGCTTTCTAGGTATTTTTGAGCTATAAAACCACCTGTAATTTAAAAAAATGTAAGGTAGACCTGTTTAATGTCATACTGTGGAACATTCCAGGCAGAGCAATGATAGTTCTGTAGAAACGAGCTACACTGTGTGGTGGTACAATACATGGGACTGACTGATGGACATGATGTTATCATTCTGCATCAGTATCTCCTCCCTCCTTGCCTGGCTAATCCAGAATAATATCCCTGTGAATGTTTAATACAGAGGGATATTAGTCTAATCACACTCTGCTGCGCCTCTAGCCAGGCTCAAACACACCCATGCAGTCAGATTGGTTTATTTCAGTGTGAGAAATAAAGGAGCTCATTGATCGTCTTTCATTTTAGAACATAATTTCATTTTACAGTTTATTGCTTTGCTCACTAATTCTGCAAAGATATTCACTGTTTTTAGCCCCCTTTGATATTTATTATTTATGTATTTTTTCTAAATTTTTTCCCCCTAACTAGCCATTTTTGTTTTGATAAGAACTGACCGTGCATGTCTTTTGACTACTTGACTACTTGATTGACTACTTCACCTTGTCAGTCATTCCAATCTCACATCTTTGTAACGTATTGGAAAAGTGTGTCTTCCAGATCCCGGGCAAATTCCAATCACTAAAATTGTGTGTTGAGTGCTTCATCCATCACCGCCGAAGACCCAACAATGTCATGCTATTTGCTAAACCATGTACCAATACCAGTGATACTATTGTCGTCTTCTGGTGAGCGTGCCTCCCTCCAGCTCCACCCCCTCCACACCACACTGAAGAGTTCAGAGTTCATACTCAGTGTTGAGGAGTAACAGATTGATTACGTAACTCCACTACATGTAGAGTACATGTTATGAGTAACTGTGTTCGGTTAGTTACGGTTTCAGTGAGTGGTATTCGGATTACAGTTACTTTGTTGAAATAAATGGATTACACTACGGGATTTTCCTCTTTTCACATTCTGGGCTATATCCCCCCCTCTTTTTTTTTTTTGGCAATTCCACTCAGTTCTGGAAACTAAACCAGGACTAAAAGCAGGACTAAAAGCGATCTAAAACAGATCTACACCAGGTGTAAACCAGGTCTAAAACCATGACTAAACCAGGACTAAAACATGCTGGGCGAACGTGTCTCCTCTTCTATCAATAATATTTAATACGTTTAAGTAAAGTCTGGGCTTTTTATTTTCTTTTAGAAGACAAAACATCTTATGTTACGATATCCTGGTCTTTGTTTCTCTACAGCAAATCAAGTAATCCAAAGTATTCAGATTACATTACTCACTTTAGGTAATTTAATGATTACGTTACAAACTACATTTTGGGACATGTAATCTGTAATCTGTAGGGGAATACATTTTAAAAGTAACCTTCCCACCACTGTTCATACTTGCTGTTATTTGGGCCTAAATTTAGCAAATTTTTGTCTTGACGTGCACTTGGATTGGTTCTGTTTGGTCCAGGTCTAGTCTAATGCAGTGTCAATGTGGTGAAAGTGCAAGTGTAAATGCAGCCTAAAAGCATGAATTGAATCTCCTGGTGTGACGCATGAATTAAAGTATTTTTGAACATCTATATAAGGATAACAAGGACATGTGGTTTGTTGGCATTTGAGAAAGTAACTTCCTTTTCTGTATGAAAGAAGAAGTGGGTATCCAAATTCATACGTAGCAGAGAGGGGGCTTCAAAAGGGGCTCCCCCACTTCTATTTATTTACAACACAGGTAAGTCTAGCTAAAACACAGAACAAAGGCATTAAGTGGAAAAATATATGGTCCTTTATTCTAGTTAATATTGAAAGAGTTCATTTTACACATTTGTCTTAAAGAGACACACAACCGACACAATTTGGGAACTAAAACCAAATTACAAAAAAACTAATAGTGCAACAAAGAAAAAACTTTATCAAACCAAACAGTTGTATCCCAGGTTTCAGGAACCAAAGTGCTAGTGCAAATCTATTTATACATTTAAAAAAAAAAAGGTGCTATGGTCTTTTTTTAGATGCAAAGTGCTAGGTGCGAACCAACAAAACACAGACCACAGATGAACAAAGTAAGTAAACCAAATAAAATTATTTAAATTTTTTTCAAAATGAACTTCCTATTGAAACTGTTATTGTACTTGTACAAGGTGATGTGGCATTAAGGAGGACTTTATACCAGATGCCCTCCCTGTTACTTTACTGTGTTTAGAGGAAGAAAAGCAGCACATGGTGAGTTTTGTTTCTGCAGATACAGTTCTAATGTTCTTGTGATTCTGTTCTGGTCCATTATTGTAGTAATAATTGCTATAAGTGTATTTAAACATGTACAACAGAGTAGATCATCAGAATGTGATCATCATGTGTTATTCCTGTGTCCACAGGCAGAGACCAGAGCTTCACTGGAATAAATCTTCACACTGTCCAGCTCCAAACTGTGTATCTCTGTCCCTGTGCTCTCTTTGTGTTTGATTCTGTTTAAGACAATACAGAACTGTGGAAAACTAAAGACTGTTTTTGTATTCTTTTACAGAATTAGATCAATTAAATTAAATTATACATACTTATACATTTCATGATAAGGTACCATAAGATAAATATGCATATTCAGCATGATTTGTTCAAATTTCATCAACATGAAAAAGCGATGTTCATGTTCCGGGAAAAATATGTGTAGAGGGGTTCGAAAAAAGTTTCAAAGCCTAAACATAATTTTATTGCGTGCAACCGCTGTCCATAACTTTTTTACGCAAATCCAGCAACCTTTTTTTTTTCAAGTTGCATAGTTCAAAACACCCGGTTACACATAAAGCACTAATTGGATCCTATTTTATCCAGCTTTATTAAATAAATGCATAAAATATACACAAATAATAATATGCATTTTGTCATATTTTTATATTTAGTTAATATATTTTGAAATATTTCAAAATTATTTGTTTGGAACTTTAGAGTAACTTAGCATGTCTCTAATATTGGAATCAGAATGTATTACTTTGATAATAATGACTTTTTCTAAACTTCAGTATAAATTAAATAAAGTATAAATTGGTGTCCTTTAACATCATAAAATGCCTTCCAAAGGAGGAGTTTCCAATTACACCAAAAATAAGTCAAGTATCAATCAGCAGTATATATTTATTGGAAACATAATTTGTATTTCCTGACTTATACATTAATATTATCTGAAAAGATATTTTCAAGTAACCTAAAAATCACCTGAAAATTTAATATTTTAAAATATTTGTACATGTGTAAATATTCATGTGTCATCATCAAAGATGTGCAGAAAGAACCCTTCTCAGAATTGGTCAACAGTCAAGTCATTCTAGGCTAGACTATGGATAAAAGTATGAAATGTAAAAAAATGGTCAACCACTTGCTTGTCTTCATGAACAGGTTATTGCTTTGCCTGGAATGTTCCAAAGTATAGCATTAAACCGATCTTGCATTAGTTACTGTTTTTCTTTATGATCCAAAACCTTAAAAGACAAAGATTACCTTTCCATAGATCTGACTTGTATGTTGTAACACGGCTTGGCGGTCATACTGTGAAACCTTTCAGAGAAACATCTCCTTGGAGACAAGCATGCAACAGACATTCCACCAGAAAAGTAATTAAGTGCACTTCCAATTCAGTAGTAAGAAAAAATATGCAATGTTAACACAATGAGGTACAGGAATGTCTCACACTGCAGTTATTTTTTCTGCATTTGGTGTCATTTCTGTATCACTTTGCTGAGGCTCTGTTGACTTGATGTGGAAAGAAGGAAATGCATCTCTAAAGTTCTGTGACCCAAAACAGTAGAGCAGAGGGTCCAGGAAGCAGTTCAGTCCAGCTATAATCCATGAGGCATAGTACGCAGTCTGTAACTGATGGAGCGTGTGGCAATGTTCAGGGTAGAACTTCATCATAACTGTTGCTGTAATGCCAATAATGTTCGCAGGCAGGAAGCAGATGGTAAATATAATGAGGCACATTTGAATCATTCTCTGGGATTTGAGTTTGACTTTGAGACTTTTGGCTGTAATATTTAGACAAGTGAGAGCGTTTTTGACTCGGAAATAACATGTGGCAGAGATACTAAGAGGAAGCAGGAAGCCAATTGAGACGAGAACACAGCTGATGATGAAGAAAGAGTTGGTCAGTGACACCTGGCTGAAGCTGAGACAATGTGTAACTTCTCCTTCTTTAGTGGCAGGAACACCAAATCCATAAACCAGAGAGTGTGTTATCAGGAAGAGCCACACTCCAGCACACAGCTTCTTGATGAAGCTTTTGTCTTTCATTCTGGAGCTCTTGTTGAAGTGCACCACGGCTTTATACCTGTGAAAGCTGATCAGAGTGAGGAAAATAGTGCTGCCGTAGAACTGAGAGCTCACAAATACAATAGTGACAGTGCACAGCACCTTTCCAAACAGCCATTTGTTACCCATGGCAAAATAAACAGCTATGAGTGGAGTGACAGGAGCACCCAGGGCATCACTCAAAGCCAGGCAGAACTGGAGGATGGTCCCAGCGCTCCATGATGACATACGGCAGCAGAAGACCCACAGACTGAAGACATTAAGGAGGAAACCCATGAAGTAGACCAGACACATGAGCACAGGGATGGACATGTGCTGAGGAGTGGACAGGCAGATCCCAGAGTCACTGCTGTTGTTCATACTGAAGGATAGAATACTCCAACCTGGAGAGAGAAGTAGTGATAAATATATTTGTGTAATTTAGTGTTACAACTCTTATACAAACAGTGCAAGAGTACATGAGACAAGCAATGAGACAAACTTAACATGATGAGGGGATTTCAAATGTTGTGTTCCCTTTTGTCTCCACACTTTGCTTGAAATCATTTTACAGGACTTTAAAAGTCATTTGTTTATTTAAATATTTAGTCTGTAGGTTGTGTTGTTGATGTCCCTTGACAGAACTTCATTGAAAAAGAGATCTTTCAATCTCAATGGGATTTTCCTGTTTAAATAAAGGCTAAAAAATAGTGACTATTAGAAGAGTTGTTTTAAAATCCAAATGCCAATTTCTATTGTGATGAGAGTAAGTCTTAAGCAAAGGGTTGTGGAGGAATATTTTTAAGGATAAAATATATATTTTCCAGGATGTTTGGTCCATCCATCCATTTTCTTCCACTTTATCTGATGCCACATCATGCCTCATTCTTTCTTCAATTTTAAACAATTTAGTATTAGTTCTTTTTGTCAGACATTAGCTTTTGTTAACCTGCTATACATGTTTATTTGTTGTAGCCTTCCTCAGAAGCTTCACGTGATGGTGTTTGCATTGAATACTTTCAAATGTTGAATGAAATGATGAATCTGTGGAAGATGGAAAACAACATCTGCACCAACCATTAGAAACGGGCTGAAGGAAATAGCCTGTATTTGTAGTTTGTATCTTTTGTTTTTATATTCTGTGTCACATCTAATGGGCATGCACTTCTCTCTTCTCGTTTGTCTGGGTGAGAGTTGCTTTGTATAAGGTTTCTATGTTTGTGTGTGTCTGTGTTTGGGCCGAGTGTATGTTGACACAAAACACAAGTGAGGTTTAGTTAAAAAATTCATTCAATAAACATCAATGCATCTACAAATGAAAAGTATCTTTATGTGTCAACATTAATGAATTATCAGCCTAACTAAATTGATAACAGATGATTCACTTAGCCTTCATTATTCACATGTTTTTGAACTTGAACATTACTTGGTGGAGCTCTTGAGGATGTGGATCACTCTAAAGTGGTTCGAGGATTCTGGCAACTACGAAACATCCCATTTTAGCAGAGTACAAGACACGTCATGTGACGCTTCTGAGGAAGTAGCTGAAACATTTAAATCAGGTAAACAGGGTTCATTGTGAGTTGGAACACAAATAATTTTATCTGCTTTCTGCAGATATTGTTTCTTGTTGGTTTAATCAGGCCAGATTAAATGACTTTGTAACACTGGGTTTTTTGTTTGGATATGCGTGTAACAAAAAGAGCACTTTAAATAGTAGTACCTGTATTAACACTACTTCTGCTTGCCACTAACATCCACTTGAGAGTTCAACATTGTGGAGAAGAACTAGCCTTAAAACACAGGTTGTGCCCAGAGCAGGTTACATTTGCTATGATGGCACAACACGTTTAACCCTCATCTCACTCTGGGGACGGTTCGTATCCTTTGGCATTTTCAGCATTTACATTTTTATGACATTTTGTTTAACTGATGTTAATCAAACTGTCCTCATCCTAATGATTCATTTTCATGTAGTAGTAGAAAAAAATGAATGAATGTTTATGAATGTGAGTGTTTTTATGGCTGTACAAAGTAAAGGACACAAAGTTTTTAAAGGGTGAACCAAGGGCATTCCACAATATATTCTACATAGTACGCACTGTCTGAACACTGTAAATGTCAATAAACCCAAATAAGCCACACATTTATACCCATAATGGCCCATATTTTTAAAAGTTTGATTATTTTCTATTTGGACAGAAAAATGCTGGCAAAAGATTTGACGTGACCTAAAATGTTGAGGTGTCATCGGTTTAAACATGTCACACTAACCTAGATACAACTAACAATCTTTATAAATAATACCTTTTCTGCCATTTGTAAAAGCATTAAAACCCATAAAGACTTACCTGTGTTGATTTGCTCTGAGGTGTCAAACTGGAACTATTAACTGTTAGAGCTGTTAGTTAACTGTTAGAGAAAGGAGAACACACAATTATATATAAATTACATACAAAAGAAAACAAAAGAGGAAGTTCACAAATCTGTTATCGCTCTAAACATTTATGATACATGATGGATGAAATGAGTCAGTTTAGTATTACTGAATTATTTATTTACAAGCATTTTCCATGGACACTGCTAAAATGTCACACAGTGAAAACCAATCCATATCTGTACAATGCAAATGTAACAGTAGAACTTTAAGATCAGCAGACCATCAGTATACATTGGCTTTTAACACAAATCAAGCAAGACATTTGTATTGTGTTATGTTTTTGTATGTTTAGTTGTAAAATATCACACATTATTTTCCCTTTGTATAGAACTTTGGGGAGCTGTGGATGTTAAATGCACTTCATAAATAAACTTGACTTGAATTAATTGTGCAAAACATACATTCATAAAGTGAGTGGGGTTGCCTCTGCACATATCTGACTTGTGCCTTGACTTTGTGAACTGTGAAACTTTTCAGACATACCTCCATGAAGACAACCATGTGACAGACTCCCCACCAGAAAAGCTGAGATTAATCTGGCTGCAGACCTCCACCCAGATGACCCTCACTTATCTCCATCAGGTAGGTCCCTAAACGTAAACAAACACCAGCCACGCCAAAAGAACATCAAGGTTGTGCCTAATCTTAAAAAGAGTAGAGCAGATGCAACAACTGGTAAAAAGTGTAATTAAATCATTCTTAAAGTAAACTATGAAAAACACTGAGGGACATTTTGGTGGGTGACTCTGAAGTGTAGGGTCTTCTGGGTGGACATCTGTAACCAGACTCTTCAATTCAGTAATAACATAGAAAATATACAATATACAACAGAATGAGGTACAGGAATGTCTCACACTGCAGTTATTTTGTTTCTGCATTTGGTGTCATTTCTGTATCACTTTGCTGAGGCTCTGTTGGCTTGATGTGGAAAGAAGGAAATGCATCTCTAAAGTTCTGTGACGCAAAACAGTAGAGCAGAGGGTCCAGGAAGCAGTTCAGTCCAGCTATAATCCATGAGACATAGTACGCAGTCTGTAACTGATGGAGCACATGACAATGCTCAGGATAGAACTTCATCATAAAAATTGCTGTAGTGCGGATAACGTTCATAGGCAGAAAGCAAATGATGAATATAATGAGGCACATTTGGATCATTCTCTGGGATTTGATTTTGACTTTGAGACTTTTGACTGTGATGTTGTTTAGACAAGTGAGAGCGTTTTTGACTCGGAAATAACATGTGGCAGAGATGCTGAGAGGAACCAGGAAGCCAACTGAGACAAGAACACAACCGATTATGAAGAAAGAGTTGGTCAGAGACACCTGGCTGAAGCTGAAGCAATGTGTAACTTCTCCTTCTTTAGTGGCAGGAACACCAAATCCATAAACCAGAGAGTGTGTTATCAGGAAGAGCCACACTCCAGCACACAGCTTCTTGATGAAGCTTTTGTCTTTCATTCTGGAGCTCTTGTTGAAGTGCACCACGGCTTTATACCTGTGAAAGCTGATCAGAGTGAGGAAAATAGTACTGCCGTAGAACTGAGAGCTCGCAAATACAATAGTGAAAGTGCACAGCACTTTTCCAAAGGGCCAGTCATTCCCCATGGCAAAGTAAACAGCAAGAAGTGGAGTGACAGGAGCACCCAGGGCGTCGCTCAGAGCCAGGCAGAACTGGAGGATGGTCCCAGCGCTCCATGATGACATACGGCAGCAGAAGACCCACAGACTGAAGATGTTAAGGAGGAAACCCATGAAGAAGACCAGACACATGAGCACAGGGATGGACATGGGCCCAGCAGAGGGCAGGCAGATCCCAGAGTCACTGCTGTTGTTCATATTGAATGAGACAATACTCCAACCTGGAGAGAGATGGGTATTTAAAAATATAATTGTGTAATTTTGTTTTAAAACTATTTATTTTTAACAGTGCAAGAGTACATCAGGTAAGTGATGAGACAAACTTAACATGATGAGGTGATTTTGAATGTTGTGCTCTCGGGTTTGGCGGTATCCAAATTTTGATACCGTTAAACTGTCTCAGGATATTACCGGGGTATACGGTATTACCGTATTACCAGAATGTTTTAGTCTGACTTTGGTAAGCTACGAAGCCGCAGAAATACGAATATTTTTAGGGGGGACCAAGTCCCTTGCAGCCGGACTTGCTGTCTTGTCTTGGTCTCCCTTATGAGCGGCACATGACAGCGGAACGAAACTAATCGAACGTCATTTCCCCAAGCAACATTATAGACACTATTAATTTTGAATCGTGATAGCATTAAATTGAAAATACAACCACACAATAATTTGTGCTGAGTAAACAAATTTAGATATCAATCACTTATAATATTATATTAGGTCCTTATGCGCTGCAGATTTTTTTGAATGACGGTTCACTAGCTAGGACCACGCTAACAACAACATAGTGCGAAGAAGTTTCTTGGTAATGTACGAAGCGAGGCAGAGATGGCTGGGTTGAGACTATGGGTGGGGGCTCCATCTCAATCTGCAATTGGCCCAGCCGGAATGGGACCCCACCTTGTAGGGGTCTTATGACTGAATGAAAAAATAGGGGATGGGAGAGTGGGGTCGAGTTAGCCGAGACAAACTGGAATGATGGGAAAGGCTGCTACGTATAGGCTTCTGGGAAATTAGAGGTGTGGTCGATGTGAGTTGTGGTTCGCTGGTGAGAGGAGAGGGCGGCTGAGGCGTGGTCCTGCTCCTGAATCTCACTTAATCATATTAAGTACATTAATGAAACTGATACCATTGCTGTTTTTTGATACCACAGTATACCGTAATAATGTATTACTGTATTACTGCCCAACCCTTTTGTGTTCTTTTTTCTTTGGTAAGTTTCCACACTTTGCTTGAAATAATTTTACAGGACTTTTTGAACATGTTACTCCTTATAAGGATAACAAGGACATGTGGTTTGTTGGCATTTGAAAAAGTTACTTCCTTTCCTGTACGAAAGAAGAAGTGGGAATCCAGATTCATATAAAGCACAAATTGGATCCTATATTTTATCCAGATTTATTAAATAAATGCACAAAAAATACACAATAAATAATAATATACATTTTTGTACCTTTTTATATTTACTTAATATATTTTAAAATATTGCAAAATTATTAGTTTGGAACTTTAGAGTAACTTAGCAAGTCTCTAACATTGGAATCAGAGTGTATTATGTACAGTACTTTGATAATAATGATTTAATAATACCTCTTTCTAAATGCCAGTATGCATACATAAATTGGTGTCCTCTAACATTATAATTTTTAAATAGTATTAATAATATTTTAAGTGCTCTTACCTGTGTGGATGTGTGTGGTCTCTCCTGTCTGGATCTGAAAGAGCTATTGGTTTTTGATGCTTTCATGTTTCATAAAATGCCTTCCAAAGGAGGAGTTTCCAATTACACCAAAAATAAGTCAAGTATCAATCAGCAGTATATATTTATTGGAAACATAATTTGTATTTCCTGACTTATACATTAATATTATCTGAAAAGATATTTTCAAGTAACCTAAAAATCACCTGAAAATTGTAATATTTTTAAAATATTTGTACATGTGTAAAATATTCATGTGTCATCATCAAAGATGTGCAGAAAGAACCCTTCTCAGAGTTGGTCAACAGTCAAGTCATTCTAGGCTAGACTATGGATAAAAGTATGAAATGTAAAAAAATGGTCAACCACTTGCTTGTCTTCATGAACAGGTTATTGCTTTGCCTGGAATGTTCCAAAGTATAGCATTAAACCGATCTTGCATTAGTTACTGTTTTTCTTTATGATCCAAAACCTTAAAAGACAAAGATTACCTTTCCATAGATCTGACTTGTATGTTGTAACACGGCTTGGCGGTCATACTGTGAAACCTTTCAGAGAAACATCTCCTTGGAGACAAGCATGCAACAGACATTCCACCAGAAAAATAACAAAGTGCACTTCCAATTCAGTAATAAGAAAAAATATGCAATGTTAACACAATGAGGTACAGGAATGTCTCACACTGCAGTTATTTTGTTTCTGCATTTGGTGTCATTTCTGTATCACTTTGCTGAGGCTCTGGTGGCTTAATGTGGAAAGAAGGAAATGCATCTCTAAAGTTCTGTGACCCAAAACAGTAGAGCAGAGGGTCCAGGAAGCAGTTCAGTCCAGCTATAATCCATGAGGCATAATACGCAGTCTGTAACTGATGAAGCGTGTGGCAATGTTCAGGATAGAACTTCATCATAAAAATTGCTGTAGTGCGGATAACGTTCATAGGCAGAAAGCAGATGGCAAATATGATGAGGCACATTCGGATCATTCTCTGGGATTTGAGTTTGACTTTGAGACTTTTGGCTGTGATGTTGTTTAGACAAGTGAGAGCGTTTTTGACTCGGAAATAACACGTTGTAGAGATACTGAAAGGAAGCAGGAAGCCAACTGAGACAAGAACACAACCGATGATGAAGAAAGAGTTGGTCAGAGACACCTGGCTGAAGCTGTGACATTGTGTGACGTTTCCTACTTTAGTGGCAGGAACACCAAATCCATAAACCAGAGAGTGTGCTATCAGGAAGAGCCACACTCCAGCACACAGCTTCTTGATGAAGCTTTTGTCTTTCATTCTGGAGCTCTTGTTGAAGTGCACCACGGCTTTATACCTGTGAAAGCTGATCAGAGTGAGGAAAATAGTGCTGCCGTAGAACTGAGAGCTCACAAATACAATAGTGACAGTGCACAGCATCTTTCCAAAGGGCCAGTCATTCCCCATGGCAAAGTAAACAGCTATGAGTGGAGTGACAGGAGCACCCAGGGCGTCGCTCAGAGCCAGGCAGAACTGGAGGATGGTCCCAGCGCTCCATGACGACATACGGCAGCAGAAGACCCACAGACTGAAGATGTTAAGGAGGAAACCCATGAAGAAGACCAGGCACATGAGCACAGGGATGGACATGGGCTGAGGAGAGGGCAGGCAGATCCCAGAGTCACTGCTGTTGTTCATATTGACAGAGACAATAATCCAACCTGGAGAGAGATGGGTATTTAAAAATATAATTGTGTAATTTTGTTTTAAAACTATTTATTTTCAACAGTGCAAGAGTACATCACACAAGTGATGAGACAAACTTCACATGATGAGGTGATTTCAAATGTTGTGTTCCCTTTTGTCTTTGGTAAGTCTCCACACTTTGCTTGAAATAATTTTACAGAACTTTAAAAGTAATGTGTTTATTTAAATATTTAGTCTGTAGGTTGTGGTGTTGATGTCCCTTGACAGAACTTCATTGAAAAAGAGATCTTTCAATCTCAATGGGATTTTCCTGGTTAAAAAAGGCAAAAATAATGAGTATTAGAAGAGTTGTTTCAAAATCCAATTGCTAATTTCTATTGTGATGACAGTAAGTCTCTATTACTTGTCCAATAATGACACAAAGGGGAATGGGGGGACATTTTTAAGGACAAAATATATATTTTCCAGGACTTTTGGTCCATCCATACATTTTTTTCCAGTTTATCTGATGCCACATCATGCCTCATTCTCTCTTCAATTTTAAACGATTTAGTATTAGTTCTTTTTGTTAGACACGAGTGTTTGTTAACCTGCTATACATGTTTATTTGTTGTACCCTTCCTCAGAAGCATCACATGTTGGTGTTCGCATTGAATACTTTCAAATGTTAAAGCTGAAGATGTGGAAGATTGAAAACAACATCTGCACCAACCTTTAGAAACGGGCTGAAGGAAATGGCCTGTATTATAGTTTGTATCTTTTGTTTTTATATTCTGTGTCACATCTAATGGGCATGCACTTCTCTCTTCTCGTTTGTCTGGGTGAGAGTTGCTTTGTATAAGGTTCTATGGCTGTGTTTGGGTGGCTGAGTGGGTGTTGAGACAAAACAGAAGTGAGGCTCAGATCAAAAGTGATAAACTTAGAGATGTCAGATGAAGAAAAGCGGTAGCGCGCTTCTCTGGGTCATAAAAAAAAATTAAAATAAATAGCAGCACAGGTGCTCAACAAGGATTAAACTTGTAATCTTGACAGAATGTAGCCCTTACCGAAAAATGTAAAAGTGGGCTAGGATACAAACCCAGCACTCTATGTGAATATATTTTAGGTCTTTCATTGCATGGAGGGACACCAACACATTTCGACCAGCAAGATGGTCTTCAACAGGGCATTATGCCTTTTATTCCCTGACGAAGTTTGTTCCTATAGCCCACTTTAACATTTTTCAGTAAGGGCTACATTCTGTCAAGGTGATCAAAGTTAGTTTCAATAAACATCAATGCATCTACAAATGAAAAGTATCTTTATGTGTCAACATTAATGAATGATCAGACTAAATAACTTGATAACAGATGATTCACTTAGCCTTCATTATTCACATGTTTTTGGTGGAGCTCTGAGGATGTGGATCACTCTAAAGTGGTTCAGAAGCTGAGGATTCTGACAATTGGGAAACATCCCATTTTAGCAGCGTACGAGACACGTCATGTGACGCTTCTGAGGAAGTAGCTGAAACATGTAAATCAGGTAAACAGGGTTCATTGTGAGTTGGAACACAAATTCTTTTGTCTGCTTTGTGCAGATACTGTTTCCTGTTGGTTTAATCAGGCCAGATTAAATGACTTTGTAACACTGGGTTTTCTGTTTGGACATGCGTGTAACAAAAATAGCACTTTATTAAATAGTAGTACCTGTATTAACACTACTTCTGCTTGCCACTAACATCCACTTGAGAGTTCAACATAATGTTCAATATGTTCTACAATCTGAACATTGTGGAGAAGAACTACCCTTAAAACACATGTTGTGCTCAGAGCAGGTTTTACAGTTGCCATGGTGATAGCACGACATGTTTAACCCTCATCTCACTTTGGGGACATTTTGTAACCTTTGGCATTTTCAGCATTTTCATTTTTATGACATTTTGTTTTTTTATGACACTTGTTTAATTGATGTTAATCAAAATGACCTTAAAAAAAATGAATGAATGTTTACAAATGGTGTAAAGGTGAACGGCAGAGGGACAACTGTAATGCTGTGTACAAGAAGGGCATGAGTAGACTGTACTTCCTGACAAAGCTCAAGTCTTTCAATGTGTGCAGCAAGTTAGTGGAGATCTTCTACCAGTCTGTGGTGGCCAGTGTCCTGTACTTGGCTGTGGTCTACTGGGGGAGCAGCACCAGTAAAAGGGCGTATTGACAAACATCCGTAAAGCTGGTCACTTGATCGGCTGTGAGCTGAAGACATTTGTCATAGTGAGGGACAGGAGGACACTGGACAAACTACTCTCCATCATGGACACTCCTGCTCACCCACTGTGCCAGACTATAGAGGCACAGATAATACTCCTTACAATTGTACAACAACTCACCCTTATGTAACAGATAAAACTCCCCACAACTGTACAACAACTCACCTTATGTAACAGATAAAACTCCCCACAACTGTACAACAACTCACCTTATGTAACAGATAATACTCCCCACAACTGTACAACAACTCACCTTATGTAACAGATAATACTCCCCACAACTGTACAACAACTCACCTTATGTAACAGATAAAACTCCCCACAACTGTACAACAACTCACCTTATGTAACAGATAATACTCCCCACAACTGTACAACAACTCACCTTATGTAACAGATAATACTCCCCACAACTGTACAACAACTCACCTTATGTAACAGATAAAACTCCCCACAACTGTACAACAACTCACCTTATGTAACAGATAATACTCCCCACAACTGTACAACAACTCACCTTATGTAACAGATAATACTCCCCACAACTGTACAACACCTCACCTTATGTAACAGATAATACTCCCCACAACTGTACAACAACTCACCTTATGTAACAGATAATACTCCCCACAACTGTACAACAACTCACCTTATGTAACAGATAACCCTCTGTCCTGTCAATCACTATATCATTGTTGCACTGTCTTCTTATTACCTCTTGTATAAAGCTGAAATTGTATATTTTATTACTTTTGTTTCCATTTTATTTTGACTTGTACATTTACATTTATATAATGATGTCTTATTTGACACATATCTCTGGCTATCTTTTATGCTACTTATTTAGAATTTATTATTACCATTTTTTGTTATTAAATTTATTGTGATGTGTGAGCTACTGTGCTCAAATAATTTCCCTTGTGCATCAATAAAGTTTGTCTAAGTGTGAGTCTCAGAATGTGTAGTGTTTTTGTGGGTGTTCAAAGTAAAGAACACAACATTTTTAAAGGGTGAACCACGGATTAAAACATTCTACAATATATTCTACATAGTATGCACTGTCTGAGCACTGTAAATGTCAATCAACCCAAATAATCCACACATTTACTCCCATAATGGTCCATATTTTAAAAAGTTTGATTATTTTCTCTATTTGGACAGAAAAAAAGCTGGGAAAAGATTTGACGTGACCTAAAATATTGAGGTGTCATAGGTTTAAAAACCTGGATACTGTAAAATTCACAATCTTTATAAATAATTCCTTTTCTGCCATTTGTAAAAGGATTAAAACCCATAAAGACTTACTTGTGTTGATTTGCTCTGAGGTGTCAAACTGGAACTGTCAGTATTGAATGGTTTCACATGTTAAGGAGGAAACCCATGAAGAAGACCAGGCACATGAGCACAGGGATGGACATGTGCTCAGCAGAGGGCAGGCAGATCCCAGAGTCACTGCTGTTGTTCATACTGAAGAAGACAATAATCCAACCTGGAGAGAGATGGGTATTTATAAATATAATTGTGTAATTTATGGAGTTTGAAGGTTAGGGAGTTTGAAGAAATTTTGTACAAAATAGGTATAAGTTGCTGTTTTTTTTCTTCAAAATCCAATAAATTTTTTCATTGTGATGACAGTAATGGTCTCTGTTACTATTTAATTCAGCAAAGGGAGAGAGATTTTCAAGGACCAAATATGTATTTTCCAAGACTTTTGGCCTTTTTCAAATTTTCCAGGATTTCCAGGATATGTGGGAATCTTTACTACAGGCTCATTCTATCTTCAGTTTTGAACTGATAAGTATCAGTTCTTTTTGTCAGACTTTTTAATCTGCTTTACATGTTTACTTCATGTAGTCTTCCTGAAGCTTCATGCGATGGCATTCGTGTAGTAGTATTGGGTTTATTGGTCTTTCGAAACAATAGACTGGATAAAAAAAGATGACTAAGGGCGAACGTATTCATACGAATATTTTAATACCAAAATGACGAGTCTACAGTCTACACTTTATGCTCCAAAGCCTCCTATAAAAAGAGTGCTATGCAGTATGTTTATCTCTTATCCCTGTATGCAGTATGTTTATCTCTTATCCCTGCTTATTATGTCACTATAGTTTATTGCGTGTCCCCTTAGAGAACAAAATGTTTTGTGTTGCGTTGTATGTTCTATCCTCAATGTCTTGAGGGACTATAACTGCAAGGCACAATGTTGACTCCTGTAAGGTCTTATAATAACCCTCTGGGTCCAGGAAGCAGTTCAGTCCAGCTAGGAGGATGGTCCCAGTGCTCCATGATGACATACGGCTGTGAATCCGTATATTTGTGTAATTGATTTAACGATTTACATTCAGCTACTAATATGATTTTTTATTACCACAGTAAATAGGACATCAATAATACACCAAAATGTATGTTGCTGCAAATGATTGACATGTGCAACAATAACATCAAGTTGAAATTGACAGACTTGAAAGTATTGCATAGTTTGTTTTTAGCACTACAAATTGGTACAAACGTGACCTAAAATATTGAGGTGTCTGAGGATAACAAGTAGTAGATCAAACAAGTGTTTTTATACAATAAATGCTGCTGTTTGTAAAAGTCCATAAAGACCTACCTGTGCTGATTCACTCTGAGGTGTCTGGAACTGGAACTGGAGTGTATGATTTCAGATGTTGAAGCTAAAGCTAATACAGGGGGTGTTACCAGTAAAAGGAGAACACACAATTATATACAAAATACACAGAAAAGAAGACAAAAGAAGAAGTTCACACATCTGTGATATCTCTCTAAACATTTATAGAATTATTTATTTAAAAGCATTTCCCATGATGACACTGGCAAAATGTGACACAGTGAAAAACAAACCATATTTGGACAATGTAAATGTAACAGCAGAACTTTGAGATCAGCAGACCATCAATATTCACTGGCTTTTAACACAAGCCAAGCAGTAAATTTGTGTTGTGATGTGTTTTTGTGTATTTAGTTTTAGAAGATTGCACATTATTACTATTACAGCACTTTGGGGAGCTGTGGTTTTTATGAAATGTGCTTTATAAATACATTTGACTTGACTTGATTGTGCAAAACATACATTGGTAAGGTGAGTGGGATTGCCTCTCCACAGATCTGACCTGTGACTTGACTGTGTGACCACTGTGAAACTTTTCAGACATACCTCCATGAAGATAACCATGTGACAGACTCCCCACCAGAAAAGCTGAGATTGATCTGGCTGCAGACCTCCACCCAGATGACCCTCACTTACCTCCATCAGGTAGGTCCCTAAACGTAAACAAACACCAGCCACGCCAAAAGAACATCAAGATTGTGCCTAATCTTAAAAAGAGTAGAGCAGATGCAACATGAAGCCAGTTAATTTCAATCTAGAAATGTATTCAGAGTGCTTCTTATCAATCTGAAATGAACTTTATCACCTTTAATGACCTTTAAGATAATGAAGAAAGGCAACAGCTGATAGAAAGTGTAATTATGTAATTCTTAAAATAAACTATGAAAAATGGGGAGGGACGTGTTCGGGGAGATGCATCCTGGTAGAGGTGGGCGTCTTCTGGGTGGAGATCAGCAGCCAGACTCTCATGGAAAAGTTAAAAGTGCTTTAATTCAGTAATAACATACAATGTCTCACACTGCAGTTATTTTGTTCCTACATTTGGTGTCATTTCTGTATCACTTTGCTGAGGCTCTGTTGGCTTGATGTGGAAAGAAGGAAATGCATCTCTAAAGTTCTGTGACCCAAAACAGTAGAGCAGAGGGTCCAGGAAGCAGTTCAGTCCAGCTATAATCCATGAGACATAGTACGCAGTCTGTAACTGATGGAGCACGTGACAATGCTCAGGATAGAACTTCATCATAAAAATTGCTGTAGTGCGGATAACGTTCATAGGCAGAAAGCAGATGATGAATATAATGAGGCACATTTGGATCATTCTCTGGGATTTGAGTTTGACTTTGAGACTTTTGGCTGTGATGTTGTTTAGACAAGTGAGAGCGTTTTTGACTCGGAAATAACATGTGGCAGAGATACTAAGAGGAATCAGGAAGCCAACTGAGACAAGAACACAACCGATGATGAAGAAAGAGTTTTTCAGAGACACTTGGCTGAAGCTGAAGCAATGTGTAACTTCTCCTTCTTTAGTGGCAGGAACACCAAATCCATAAACCAGAGAGTGTGTTATCAGGAAGAGCCACACTCCAGCACACAGCTTCTTGATGAAGCTTTTGTCTTTCATTCTGGAGCTCTTGTTGAAGTGCACCACGACTTTATACCTGTGAAAGCTGATCAGAGTGAGGAAAATAGTGCTGCCGTAGAACTGGGAGCTCAGGAGAGCAATCTTAACAGTACACAGCACCTTTCCAAAAGGCCAGTCATTCCCCATGGCAAAGTAAACAGCTATGAGTGGAGTGACAGGAGCACCCAGGGCATCGCTCAGAGCCAGGCAGAACTGGAGGATGGTCCCAGTGCTCCATGATGACATACGGCAGCAGAAGACCCACAGACTGAAGACATTAAGGAGGAAACCCATGAAGAAGACCAGGCACATGAGCACAGGGATGGACATGTGCTCAGCAGAGGGCAGGCAGATCCCAGAGTCACTGCTGTTGTTCATACTGATGGAGACAATATTCCAACCTGGAGAGAGAAGTAGTCATAAATATAGTTGTGTAATTTAGTTAAGTATAACAGTGCATCAGACAAATGGTAAGACAAATTTAACATGATGAGGTGATTTTGACTGTTGTGTTCTCTCTGTCTTTGGTTAGTTTCCACAGTTCGCTTGAAATACTCTTACAGGACTTTTACAAGTCATTTGTGTAATAAAATATTTAGTCTGTAGATTGTGTTGTTGATACCCCTTGACAGAACTCCATTGAAAAAGAGATCTTTGAATCTCAGTGGGACTTTCCTGGTTAAATAGAGGCTTAAAAAGTAGTGAATAGAAGAGTTGTTTCAAAATCCAGTTGCTAATATGTATTGTGATGTCAGTAATTCTCTATTACTTGTCCAGTAATGAAGCAAAGGGGGGTGGGGGGGACATTTTTAAGGACACAATATATATTTTCTAGGACTTTTGGCCCACCCATTCCTTTTCTCCCATTTTATCTGATGGAGGCATGGAGGCAGCAGTCTGAGCAGGGAAGCCCAGACGTCCCTCTCCACACACACACTTCCTCCAGCTCTTTTGGGGATATTCTGAGGCATTTCCAGACCAGCCAAGAATCACTCCAGTGTGTCCTGGGTCTCCCCAGGGAAGAAGATCAGATGCCCAAGCCTCAGCTGGCTCCTTTCGACATGGAGGAGCAGCAGCTCTACTCTGAGTTTCTCCCCTAAACTGAGCTCCTCACCCTATCTCTAAGGGATCGCCCAGGCACCCTGCATAGGAAACTAATTTCAACTGCTTGTATCCACGATCTTGTCTTTTCAGTCATTACCCAATCTCATGACTATAGGTGAGGGTAGGAACATAGACTGACAGGTAAATCGAGAGCTTTGCCTTTCGACTCAGCTCTTTCTTCATCACAGCAACTGCATCACTGCAGATGCTGCACCAATTCGCTGTTCAATCCACATTTAGACAATGCAAAAGATATGCAAATGTAACAGTAGAACTTTGAGATCAGCTGACCATCAGTATACACTAGTTTTTAACAGAAGCCAAGCAGGACATTTGTATTGCCTTGTGTTTTTGTGTATTTAGATTGTACATTATTATTATTACAGCACTTTGGGGAGCTGTGGTTTTTATTAAATATGCTTCATGAATAAATTTGACTTGACTTGATTGTGTAAAACATGCATTGGTAAAATGAGTGGGATTGCCTCTCCACAGATCTGACCTGTGACTTGACTTTGACCACTATGAAACTTTTCAGACATACCTCCATGAAGACAATCATGTGACAGACTCCCCACCAGAAAAGCTGAGATTAATCTGGCTGCAGACCTCCACCCAGATGACCCTCACTTACCTCCATCTGGTAGGTCCCTAAAAGTAAACAAACACCAGCCATGCCAAAAGAACATCAAGGTTGTGCCTAATCTTAAAAAGAGTAGAGCAGAGGCAACATGAAGCCAGTTAATTTCAATCTAGAAATGAAATCTATGGATGAGTAAATGTATTCAGAGTGCTTCTAAACAATCTGCAATGAACTTTATCACCTTTAATGACCTTTAAGATAATGAACAGAGGCAACAACTGATAGAAAGTGTAATTAAGTAATTCTTAAAGTAAACTAGGAAAAACGTTGAGGGACATTTTGGTGGGTGACTCTGAAGTGTAGGGTCTTCTGGGTGGACATCTGCAGCCAGACTCTCTTCAATTCAGTAATAACAAAGAAAATATACAATATACAACAGAATGAGGTACAGGAATGTCTCACACTGCAGTTATTTTGTTTCTACATTTGGTGTCATTTCTGTATCACTTTGCTGAGGCTCTGTTGGCTTGATGTGAAAAGAAGGAAATGCATCTCTAAAGTTCTGTGACCCAAAACAGTAGAGCAGAGGGTCCAGGAAGCAGTTCAGTCCAGCTATAATCCATGAGGCATAGTACGCAGTCTGTAACTGATGGAGCGTGTGGCAATGCTCAGGATAGAACTTCATCATAACTGTTGCTGCAATGCAAATAATCTTCGCAGGCAGGAAGCAGACGACAAATATGATGAGGTACATTTGGATCATTCTCTGGGATTTGAGTTTGACTCTGAGACTTTTGGCTGTGATGTTGTTTAGACAAGTGAGAGCGTTTTTTGACTCGGAAATAACATGTGGCAGAGATACTAAGAGGAAGCAGGAAACCAACTGAGACAAGAACACAACCGATGATGAAGAAAGAGTTGGTCAGAGACACCTGGCTGAAGCTGAGGCAATGTGTAACTTCTCCTTCTTTAGTGGCAGGAACACCAAATCCATAAACCAGAGAGTGTGTTATCAGGAAGAGCCACACTCCAGCACACAGCTTCTTGATGAAGCTTTTGTCTTTCATTCTGGAGCTGAGAGAGACATAGTCCTCAAGCGTGTCCTGGATCTTCCCCGGGGCCTCCTTCTGGTGGGACATGCCCTGAACACCTCCCAGGGAGGCACCCAGGAGGCATCCAAAACAGGTGCCCGAGCCATGGCTCTACTCCGAGCTCATCCTTTGTAACTGAGCTCCTCACCCTATCTCTAAGGGAGCGCCCAGCAATCCTGCGGAGGAAATTCATTTCGACCACTAGCCAGAGCTCATGACCATGAGGGTGGGAGCAAAGACTGAGCGGCAAATCGAAAGCTTTGCCTTTCGGTGCAGCTTCCTCTTCACCACAAAGGCCTGCCTGTCAATCTCACGCTCCATCCATTGTCAGAGTAAAAAAAAGAGAGAGAGACAGGTGAGAATCAGATCCAGATGATTGAACGCAGGTCAGAGTGCTGAAAGTTCAATGTAGGGATAATATTTAAAAAATACAGTCTGACCCACAAATAAATTCAACTATTTTTTTTTTTTTTTATTATTATTTTTCATCTGAAAAAAAAAAAGTATTGAATTATTTTCATTCAGAATTTCAATTGGTGATTTTTAAGCACACAGTTTTTATGTGTTTGAAATTTTAAAATAAAATCACCTTTTCAATTTGCAGCAAAGATTTAAGATGCCATCGATTGTGTCTGACTGAGGAGAACAGAAGCGGCTTTTTTCTGTTGTCTTTTTCTCTTCTGTGGATGGAATTACAGTTAAGGGATTAGTGCTATAAATCTGATCAAAAATGAAAAGTGGAGAATTTTGATGCTGTGGTGATTTTACCAAATGAATATAATAAATGTATTTGGAGTTTAATTAACACATATCAGTTCAATCATGCAGCATACAGAGTTGTTACTTCCTCCACAGACAGTGCAGGTCACAGCATTTCCTGGTTGTTTTTAACTTCGATCATCTCAAAAAATGGAGCATAATTAAAAAGGCTGAATTTAATCATTATGGTGAAATACGATTGTTTGTGTTTCTATTTCTAAGAATAAACTGAAATGGTCAAACTTCAGACTTTTTTTTTTTATATATATTTTGCATATTTTGTGTTTTTAGCCATATCTAGAGGACAAGTGGACAAAAGATTTAAACCATTTATTGTAGTGAATAAAAGTAGAGCAATTGTATTTTATAGATGTAATGGGAACTGTTTATGACACAAAAGCTACAAATACAACTTTTTTTGTAAACTGTTCATTTCTTTCTTTATTTATTTGAGAGAGGGCACAATTTTTGCATTTACCTTAACAGGAGAGATGCATTGTACATCAGGTTGTAGCATCAGTGCTAATTTCCACCTGTGATCCCTGGACAGGTTCATTGATTGATCGTATTTAACTGACCTTGACTATCAGCTGTTCAGGAGACCTATGTAGCATGTTATAGGGTTGATGGGGAAAACCGGACCCATCCAGACACGGGGAGAAACATGCAAACTCCACACAGAAAGGCCCGGGGATTGAATCTGGAACCTTCTTGCTATGAGGCATGAGTGCTAGCCACTCAGCCACCGTGTGAACTCAGTACACAGTAATGCTCCAAAATCTATGTTGTTGCAAATGATTGACATATGCAATAAAAACAAACTTGAAAAGTATTGCATATTTTGTTTTTACCACTACAAACTGGTACAAACGTGACCTAAAATATTGGGGTGTCTGAGTAATAATAATAATAATAATAATAATAATAATAATAATAATAATAATAATAATAATAAAGCACATCATACTGAGGTAGTAGATCAAATGAGTGTTTTTATACAATAAATGCTGCTGTTTGTAAAACTATTTAAATCCATAAAGACCTACCTGTGTTGATTTGCTGTGAGGTGTGAAACTGGAAATGTCAGCATTGAATGATTTCAAATGTTAAAGCTAAAACTGATAAAGGAGGCGTTACCACTGAAAAGTGTTTGCCACACTTTCCGTCTGTAATTTATTTCATAGTTGATACACATCAGAAGAGGTTTCATATGGTTAGATGTGCTATGAACATTTTTAAAGGTATGGAATAAGTGAGTTTAGTATTTTAAAATGATTTATTTACAAGTATTTTTGAAAATGACACTGCCAAACTGTCATACAGTAAACCAAATGATATGATCAGATCCATTACAGTAAAGCAAATGTAACAGTAAAGAAAATGCAGTTGGATCAAACAGTGTTCAGTGGGGCACATTTTCTCTGAAATCAAAATAAAGCAGGAGCACAGTCTTCTGGAATACTCACTATTATAATACAAGATGAACCAAATTGGCTCCAACCTTAAAAATATATCAAACATAAAGAAACACTTTTGGATCCACAGTGAACACAGAATAGACATTAACAAAATATCAAGCTATATGTGCCAGAAGAATATAGGCTTACAGTTCAAAATAGACATGGAGGAGATTTTTATGTTGAAATCTGCTTTAAAACAAAAATCTAAATGCACATGTCCAGTCATAGTTTATGGTAATGTCTCTTTCCACATGAAACTAAGGATTTCAAGGAAGCTACTATGTTTGTATTGGTCATATGGTCTTTTGATGAGAAAGAGACTAAAAGAAATTTCACAAATGTTGAAACCTCTGGGTATTAGAAAGGCCTTATGATTTTTAAATCTTTGTTGTTCATCAAACTCATCATGTAGTAATAATGTATACAATATGCAACACAATGAGGTACAGGAATGTCTCACACTGCAGTTATTTTGTTTCTACATTTAGTGTCATTTCTGTATCACTTTGCTGAAGTTCTGCTGGCTTAATGTGGAAAGAAGGAAATGCATCTCTAAAGTTCTGTGACCCAAAACAGTAGAGCAGAGGGTCCAGGAAGCAGTTCAGTCCAGCTAGGAGGATGGTCCCAGTGCTCCATGACGACATACGGCCGTGAATCCGTATATTTGTGTAATTGATTTAACGATTTACATTCAGCTACTAATATGATTTTTTATTACCACAGTAAATAGGACATCAATAATACACCAAAATGTATGTTGCTGCAAATGATTGACATGTGCAACAATAACATCAAGTTGAAATTGACAGACTTGAAAGTATTGCATAGTTTGTTTTTAGCACTACAAATTGGTACAAACGTGACCTAAAATATTGAGGTGTCTGAGGATAACAAGTAGTAGATCAAACAAGTGTTTTTATACAATAAATGCTGCTGTTTGTAAAAGTCCATAAAGACCTACCTGTGCTGATTCACTCTGAGGTGTCTGGAACTGGAACTGGAGTGTATGATTTCAGATGTTGAAGCTAAAGCTAATACAGGGGGTGTTACCAGTGAAAAGGAGAAACACACAATTATATACAAAATACACAGAAAAGAAGACAAAAGAAGAAGTTCACACATCTGTGATATCTCTCTAAACATTTATAGAATTATTTATTTAAAAGCATTTCCCATGATGACACTGGCAAAATGTGACACAGTGAAAAACAAACCATATTTGGACAATGTAAATGTAACAGCAGAACTTTGAGATCAGCAGACCATCAATATTCACTGGCTTTTAACACAAGCCAAGCAGTAAATTTGTGTTGTGATGTGTTTTTGTGTATTTAGTTTTAGAAGATTGCACATTATTACTATTACAGCACTTTGGGGAGCTGTGTTTTTTATGAAATGTGCTTTATAAATACATTTGACTTGACTTGATTGTGCAAAACATACATTGGTAAGGTGAGTGGGATTGCCTCTCCACAGATCTGACCTGTGACTTGACTGTGTGACCACTGTGAAACTTTTCAGACATACCTCCATGAAGATAACCATGTGACAGACTCCCCACCAGAAAAGCTGAGATTGATCTGGCTGCAGACCTCCACCCAGATGACCCTCACTTACCTCCATCTGGTAGGTCCCTAAACGTAAACAAACACCAGCCACGCCAAAAGAACATCAAGATTGTGCCTAATCTTAAAAAGAGTAGAGCAGATGCAACATGAAGCCAGTTAATTTCAATCTAGAAATGTATTCAGAGTGCTTCTTATCAATCTGAAATGAACTTTATCACCTTTAATGACCTTTAAGATAATGAAGAAAGGCAACAGCTGATAGAAAGTGTAATTATGTAATTCTTAAAATAAACTATGAAAAATGGGGAGGGACGTGTTGGGGGAGATGCATCCTGGTAGAGGTGGGCGTCTTCTGGGTGGAGATCAGCAGCCAGACTCTCATGGAAAAGTTAAAAGTGCTTTAATTCAGTAATAACATACAATGTCTCACACTGCAGTTATTTTGTTCCTACATTTGGTGTCATTTCTGTATCACTTTGCTGAGGCTCTGTTGGCTTGATGTGGAAAGAAGGAAATGCATCTCTAAAGTTCTGTGACCCAAAACAGTAGAGCAGAGGGTCCAGGAAGCAGTTCAGTCCAGCTATAATCCATGAGACATAGTACGCAGTCTGTAACTGATGGAGCACGTGACAATGCTCAGGATAGAACTTCATCATAAAAATTGCTGTAGTGCGGATAACGTTCATAGGCAGAAAGCAGATGATGAATATAATGAGGCACATTTGGATCATTCTCTGGGATTTGAGTTTGACTTTGAGACTTTTGACTGTGATGTTGTTTAGACAAGTGAGAGCGTTTTTGACTCGGAAATAACATGTGGCAGAGATGCTAAGAGGAACCAGGAAGCCAACTGAGACAAGAACACAACCGATGATGAAGAAAGAGTTTTTCAGAGACACTTGGCTGAAGCTGAAGCAATGTGTAACTTCTCCTTCTTTAGTGGAGGGAACACCAAATCCATAAACCAGAGAGTGTGTTATCAGGAAGAGCCACACTCCAGCACACAGCTTCTTGATGAAGCTTTTATCTTTCATTCTGGAGCTCTTGTTGAAGTGCACCACGGCTTTATACCTGTGAAAGCTGATCAGAGTGAGGAAAATAGTGCTGCCGTAGAACTGGGAGCTCAGGAGAGCAATCTTAACAGTACACAGCACCTTTCCAAAAGGCCAGTCATTCCCCATGGCAACGTAAACAGCTATGAGTGGAGTGACAGGAGCACCCAGGGCGTCGCTCAGAGCCAGGCAGAACTGGAGGATGGTCCCAGCGCTCCATGATGACATACGGCAGCAGAAGACCCACAGACTGAAGACATTAAGGAGGAAACCCATGAAGAAGACCAGGCACATGAGCACAGGGATGGACATGTGCTGAGGAGTGGACAGGCAGATCCCAGAGTCACTGCTGTTGTTCATACTGATGGAGACAATATTCCAACCTGGAGAGAGAAGTAGTCATAAATATAGTTGTGTAATTTAGTTAAGTATAACAGTGCATCAGACAAATGCTAAGACAAATTTAACATGATGAGGTGATTTTGACTGTTGTGTTCTCTCTGTCTTTGTTTAGTTTCCACAATTCGCTTGAAATACTCTTACAGGACTTTTACAAGTCATTTGTGTAATAAAATATTTAGTCTGTAGATTGTGTTGTTGATACCCCTTGACAGAACTCCATTGAAAAAGAGATCTTTGAATCTCAGTGGGACTTTCCTGGTTAAATAGAGGCTTAAAAAGTAGTGAATAGAAGAGTTGTTTCAAAATCCAATTGCTAATATGTATTGTGATGTCAGTAATTCTCTATTACTTGTCCAGTAATGAAGCAAAGGGGGGTGGGGGGTACATTTTTAAGGACACAATATATATTTTCTAGGACTTTTGGCCCACCCATTCCTTTTCTGGAGGCATGGAGGCAGCAGTCTGAGCAGGGAAGCCCAGACGTCCCTCTCCACACACACACTTCCTCCAGCTCTTTTGGGGATATTCTGAGGCATTTCCAGACCAGCCAAGAGTCACTCCAGTGTGTCCTGGGTCTCCCCAGGGAAGAAGATCAGATGCCCAAGCCTCAGCTGGCTCCTTTCAACATGGAGGAGCAGCAGCTCTACTCTGAGTTTCTCCCCTAAACTGAGCTCCTCACCCTATCTCTAAAGGATCGCCCAGGCACCCTGCATAGGAAACTAATTTCAACTGCTTGTATCCACGATCTTGTCTTTTCAGTCATTACCCAATCTCATGACTATAGGTGAGGGTAGGAACATAGACTGACAGCTAAATCGAGAGCTTTTCCTTTCGACTCAGCTCTTTCTTCATCACAGCAACTGCATCACTGCAGATGCTGCACCAATTCGCTGTTCAATCTCACACTGCATCCTTCCCTCACTCGTGAACAAGACCTGAGATACTTGACTCTGGAGAGGGCAAGCTACCTTTTGCTGGTTGATAACCATGACCTTTGGAGGAGCTGATCTTCATTCCATTAGGACAACATTATCTTCAAACAGCAGAGATACTGTGGTCCCCAAACTGGGAATCCTTTAACCACTGACTGTGCAATGAGCAGAACCGGTGACAAAAGGCAGCCCTGGTGGAGTCCAACATGCTCAGCTCCACAACACAGCTCCTTCTCTGGTCATACAGGGACTGGACAGCACTTAGCAAAGGGCCCCGGACCCCCTGAGCACTCCCCAAAGAACACCACAAGGGACACGGTCGAATGCCTTTTCCAGATCAACAAAGCTAATGTGGCCCGGCTCGGCAAACTCCCATGAACCCTCGAGCGCCCAATGGAAAGTATAGAGGTGGTACAGTGTCTGATCCCCCTTCTTAAACAGGGGGGACCACCACCCTGATCTTTCAAGTCCAAAGGTACTGTCCCTGACCGTTATGCGATGCTTCCAGAGACATGTTAGCCAAGACACATTCAGAGACTTAAGAGACTTAAGATACTCAAGGTGAATCTCATCCACCCCCGGAACCTTGCCACCAAGGAGCTTACCGAGCACCTCAGAGACTTCAACCAGAGTGATGGGTGAAACCACTTCTGAGTCCCCAGCCTCTGCTCCTTGGAAAAAAGTGACAGTGGGATTGAGGAGAAGTATTCCTTCCACCACTCAACAACATCTCGAATTGCTGTCAGCAGCTCCCCACCTGCACTGTAAACAGTGTTGGTGAAGCACTGCTTCCCCCTCCTGAGATGTCGGGCGATTTGCCAGGATTCTTTGAGGCCAACAGATAGTCCTCATCCATGGCCTCTCCGAACTCCTCCCAAACAAAAGTTTGTCTCTCTCCAGCTGCACAAGGTGTTGCACGCTTGACCAGTTTCAAGCCAACAAGGCTCAATAGGACTCCCTCTTCTCCCTCGACACCACAGACAACTGCAGCTACAAGCAGCTTCAACAACAATAGAGGCCGTGAACATGGTCCACTCGGACTCCATGTCCCAAGTCCTCCCCAAGATCTCCCCAGGCTCTAGGAAAAGCTGTCCTGGAGGTGTGAGTTGAAGGTCCTTCTGACAGAGGGCTTTGCCAGAAGTTCCCAACAGACCCTCACAAAACGTTTGAGTCGGCCAGGTCTCTCTGCCTTCATCCTATGCCAGTGGGTACAACTCACCACCAGGTGGTTATGGACAAACTGTGACTAGCACAGAAGTCCAATAACAAAACACTACTCGAGTTCAGATAAGGGAGGCTGTGCCTTCCAATCATCCCTCTCCATAAGTCACTGGCATCGCCCAGGTGGGGGCTAAAGTCCTCCAGCAGAACAACAGTCCCCGGTCGATACACTGTCTAGTACCCCTCCCAGGGACTCTAAGAATGCTGGGTACTCTGTACTGCTGTTTGGCCTGTAGGTGACACCATAGTGAGCTGTGGGGGCAATGAGCAAGCCCACACCAACCCACTGGTGCTCCCAGTGGGCAACGCCAGAGAAATAAAGAGTACAACCCCTTTCAAGGAGTTGGTTTCCAGAGCCCAAGCTGCGTGTGGGGGTGACCCTGACTATAACTTGTCGGTAATGCTCAACCTCCTGCACAAGCTCAGGCTCCTTCCCCCTAGCAAGGTGATGTTCTATGTCACCACAGCCAGGTTCCGTGTCTGCGGACTGGGTTGTCGAAGCACATGTTCCTTTACACACCCAACCCCTATGAATTATTGTACAGGTGGTAAACCCATAGGAGGGTGGACCTCTGTCGTCAGTTCTGGCTGAACCCGGCCATGCCCTGTGGGAAAAGGCCCGATTACCAGCTGCTTGCATTTGAGCCTGAACTCCAGGCCTGGGGCCCTGGCTGCGCTATACCAGGCAACATCCCAGTCCTTGATTTAAAACTATTCTTAAGCGTGTGTTGAATTGTGCGTGGTCTGACCCATCACCTAGGACCTGTTTGCTAAAGGAAAAGAACATGTATGTCCACTGTTTCCTGGATGCTGTTTTTATGATGACATTACAAAACTTGACATTGTTCTATGATAAAGATAAGCGCAAACCTTACCTAACCTTAATCATTCCAGGTCTGTGCCTAATATTTAAAAGAGTAGAGCAGAGACAACATGAAGCCAGTTAATTTCAATCCAGAAATGAAATCTATTGGCTATATAGGCAAGAGCGTTTGTTAACTTGCTTTACATGTCTGCATGTCCTGTAGCTTTCCTCAGAAGCTTCACATGATGTTATTTGCATTGAATACTTTCACATGTTAAAGCTGAAGCTGTGGAAAATGGAAAACAACATCTGCACCAACCTTTAGAAACGGGCTGAAGGAAGTAGCAGTATTATAGTTTGTATCTTTTTTATGTTCTGTGTTACATCTGATGGGCATGCACCGCTTTCTTCTAGTTTGTCTGGGTGAGAGTGGATTTGTATAAGGTTGTGTGGGTGTTGATATAACACGGTGAGTCTCAGATCAAAAGTGATAAAACTTAATTTCTTCAGCCTAAATAACTTGATAACAGATGATTCACTTAGCCTTCATTATTCACATGTTTTTGGTGGAGCTCTGAGGATGTGGATCACTCTAAAGTGGTTCGGAAATCGAGGATTCTGGCAACTAGGAAACATCCCATTTTAGCAGCGCACAAGACACGTCATGTGACGCTTCTGAGGAAGTAGCTGAAACATGTAAATCAGGTAAACAGGGTTCATTGTGAGTTGGAACACAAATTCTTTTATTTGCTTTGTGCAGATACTGTTTCCTGTTGGTTGAATCAGGCCAGATTAAATGACTTTGTAACACTGGGTTTTCTGTTTGGACATGCGTGTAACAAAAAGAGCACTTTATTAAATAGTAGTACCTGTATTAACACTACTTCTGCTTGCCACTAACATCCACTTGAGAGTTCAACATAATGTTCAATATGTTCTACAATCTGAACATTGTGGAGAAGAACTACCCTTAAAACACAGGTTGTGCTCAGAGCAGTTTAGGGTTGATATGGTGATGGCACAACTCATCTCACTCTAGGGACTTGTTTTTTGCATTTTCAGCATTTTCATTTTTATGACATTTTGTTCAAATGATGTTAATCAAACTGTCCTCATCCTAATGATTCATTTTCAAGTAGTAGTAGAAAAAAATTAATGGATGTTTATGAATGTGTCGTGTTTTTATGGCTGTACAAAGTAAAGGACGTAAAGTTTTTAAAGGGTGAATCAAGAATTAAAACATTCAACAATATATTCTACATATTATGCACTGTCTGATGCACTGTAAATGTCAATCAACCCAAATAATCCACACATTTATACCCATAATGGGCCATATCAAAAAAGTTTGATTATTTTCTCTATTTGGACAGAAAAAAGCTGACAAAAGATTTAACGTGACCTAAAATATTGAGGTGTCATAGGTTTAAACATGTCACACTAACCTAGATGCTGTAAAACTCAGTGTTTTTTAAATAATATCTTTTCTGCCATTTGTAAAAGCATTAAAACCCATACAGACTTACCTGTGTTGATTTGCTCTGAGGTGTCAAACTGGAACTGTCAGCATTGAATAATTACACATGTTAAAATAAAGCTGATACAAGAGGCGTTTCCAGAGAAAGGACACATTTATATATAACACACACAATTATACATACATTACACTCAAAAGAAAACAAAAGAGGAAGTTCTCAAATCTGTGATATCTCTCCAAACATTTATGTTACATGATGGATGAAATGAGTCAGTTTAATATTACTGAATTATTTATTTACAAGCAGTTTACATGTTGACACACACTGCCAAAATGTTACACAGTGAAAACCAATCCACATTTAGACAATGCAAAAGATATGCAAATGTGACAGTAGAACTTTGAGATCAGCTGACCATCAGTATACACTAGTTTTTAACAGAAGCCAAGCAGGACATTTGTATTGCCTTGTGTTTTTGTGTATTTAGATTGTACATTATTATTATTACAGCACTTTGGGGAGCTGTGGTTTTTATTAAATATGCTTCATGAATAAATTTGACTTGACTTGATTGTGTAAAACATGCATTGGTAAAGTGAGTGGGATTGCCTCTCCACAGATCTGACCTGTGACTTGACTTTGACCACTATGAAACTTTTCAGACATACCTCCATGAAGACAATCATGTGACAGACTCCCCACCAGAAAAGCTGAGATTAATCTGGCTGCAGACCTCCACCCAGATGACCCTCACTTACCTCCATCTGGTAGGTCCCTAAAAGTAAACAAACACCAGCCTAATCTTAAAAAGAGTAGAGCAGAGGCAACATGAAGCCAGTTAATTTCAATCTAGAAATGAAATCTATGGATGAGTAAATGTATTCAGAGTGCTTCTAAACAATCTGCAATGAACTTTATCACCTTTAATGACCTTTAAGATAATGAACAGAGGCAACAACTGATAGAAAGTGTAATTAAGTAATTCTTAAAGTAAACTAGGAAAAACGTTGAGGGACATTTTGGTGGGTGACTCTGAAGTGTAGGGTCTTCTGGGTGGACATCTGCAGCCAGACTCTCTTCAATTCAGTAATAACAAAGAAAATATACAATATACAACAGAATGAGGTACAGGAATGTCTCACACTGCAGTTATTTTGTTTCTACATTTGGTGTCATTTCTGTATCACTTTGCTGAGGCTCTGTTGGGCTTGATGTGAAAAGAAGGAAATGCATCTCTAAAGTTCTGTGACCCAAAACAGTAGAGCAGAGGGTCCAGGAAGCAGTTCAGTCCAGCTATAATCCATGAGGCATAGTACGCAGTCTGTAACTGATGGAGCGTGTGGCAATGCTCAGGATAGAACTTCATCATAACTGTTGCTGCAATGCCAATAATGTTCGCAGGCAGGAAGCAGACGACAAATATGATGAGGCACATTCGGATCATTCTCTGGGATTTGAGTTTGACTTTGAGACTTTTGACTGTGATGTTGTTTAGACAAGTGAGAGCGTTTTTGACTCGGAAATAACATGTGGCAGAGATACTACCACCTTTTTAAACTTTTGTAATTCAGTACACAGCAATGCTCCAAAATCTATGTTGTTGCAAATGATTGACATATGTACGTAATAACATCAACTCAAAATCTACCACAGACATGAAAATATTGCATATTTTGTTTTTAGCACTACAAACTGGTACAAACGGGACCTAAAATATTGGGGTGTCTGAGGATAAAACACGTCATACTGAGGTAGTAGATCAAACTAGTGTTTTTATTCAATAAATGCTGCTGTTTGTAAAAGTATTTAAGTCCATAAAGTCCTACCAGTGTTGATTTGCTGTGAGGTGTGAAACTGGAAATGTCAGCATTGAATGAGTTCAAATGTTAAAGCTCAAGCTGACGCAGGATAAATTACCACTGAAAAATGCTTGCCACACTTTCCGTGTGTAATCTATTTCATAGTTGATACACATCAGAAGAGGTTTCATATGGTTAGATGTACTATGGACATTTTTAAAGCTATGAAATGGGTGAATTTAGTATTTTAAAATGATTTATTTACAAGTATTTCAAAAATGACACTGCCAAAATGTCACACAAACCAAATAATATCAACAGATCCATTACAGTAATGCAAGTGTAACAGTAAAGAAAATGCAGTTGGACCAAACAGTGTTCAGTGGGGCACATTGTCTCTGAAATCAAAGTAAAGCAGGGGCACTGTCTTCTGGAATACTCACTATACTCACTATTATAATACAAGATGAACCAAATTGGCTCCAACCTTAAAAAATATATCAAACATTAAGAAACACTTTTGGATTCATTGTGAACACAGAATAGACATTAACAAAATATTAAACTATATGTATGAATATAGGTTTACATTTCAAAATAGACATGGAGGAGATTTTTATGTTGAAATCTGCTTTAAAACTAAAATCTAAATGCGCATGTCTAGTCATATTTTATGGTAATGTCTCTTTCCACATGAAACTAAGGATTTCAAGATTGTATGGTCTGTTGATAAGAAATATCCAAAAGCAAAATCCACACATGTTGAACCCTAACCATACAAGGTCCAAAATAACCACATAATTGACAAACTTGGGCCCTGTACAAACTTCCCTTTTGGATGAAAGTGGAGGTGGAGGGGGTTAGAACAATTTTCCAACAGTCATATGGCCATGGAATTTTTATTTTGTATTTGAAAAACAGTTGTTTTAATTCAAATTTTTGTATTCAATAAAGGAAGGGAAAAAACTTACAGTAGTTTCAATAGACGCCTGTATAGAATATTGTGACAGTCTCTGAAACCCAATATTCAACATGTCTCCCTCATTAGGTCATTTAGGACAGTTTAAGACATTTTATAAAATGGTGCCCTGTTTTTTCTGGCCACATCTGTTGGCATCTGACACAGTCCAGTATTTCAAATCCTGTCTACAATGCCAGCTTCCTGCTCCAAGTAAAAGGTTTGATCAGGCACCTCTCATTTCAGTGCCAGTCGTAGACACTCATACATTGCGATGGACATTGTAGGACCACGTGAGAGAATATTGCATCTGCCTCATTCAAATGTTCTGACATCTGAGTCTGGGTTCCCCATCAGCAACACGTCACAGACACTAACTCCATGATCCCATCTAAGCTGATGCCTGTTGTGAAGTAGGAGATGGAGGACATGCTGGCTCTTGGAGTCATTAAACCATCAAAAGGTGAGTGGGGCACTCCTCTTGTTTTAGTCTCAAAGACCCCTGTCAAAGATTCTGTGTTAATTTTTTCAAAGCTAACTACAGTTTCTGTCTATAATGCATATCCAGCAATGGCCAGAGTTAGAGGAGTTAACTGAATGCTTTGGTAATGCTAAATTTTTCTTTATGCAAAGGCAGAGGCAATAAGGCAAGTTCTATTAACTTAAACTTGTAAGGACTTAACTTCAGAGTCCTGAGTGTGCTGTATTGCTTCTGGACCATGTCTTTGGGCCCCAGACCACAAAATAAAAAGGAAAATCTAGTCGTAACAAAGTCAAATGGATCCTTGACCCCGTGTGAAGCTGCATTTTATGACCTTAAAAACTGCACAATGAGCCTGGGCTGCAGTGTCCAGATTTCTCTCGTCCTTTCATTGTGCAGACAGATGCATCTGGAGTTAAACTTGGAACTGTGTAGGGTCAAGAACAAGACCAAAATCCAGTGCAGTTCAAAAGCCACAAGCTCTTTCCCAGGGAAACAAGACCTTCTACTGTTGAGATGAAAACCTTAGGAGTAAAATGGGCTCTGTGGGACAGACGGTCACTGTTGAGTTACATTAGTCATTATAATTGAAAGCCATAGCCTCGATTGGCTACATTTGGCTGGAGCTGAATGCTAAGGGTGTCATCACACTCCCTTAGTCCATTTCGTTATACAAACTATGTATATAATGTTAAATCAACGATTTCCAGGAATGGTTCACACTGCAGTTATTTTGTGTCTACATGAGATTCGTGCTCATTTGTGTATCACTTTGTTGAGGCTCTGCTGGCTTGATGCGGATAGAAGGAAATGCATCTCTAAAGTTCTGTGACCCAAAACAGTAGAGCAGAGGGTCCAGGAAGCAGTTCAGTCCAGCTATAATCCATGAGGCATAGTACGCAGTCTGTAACTGATGGATCACATAGCAGTGCACGTGATAAAACTTTACCATAACCATTACTGTAGTGCGGATAACATTCATAGGCAGGAAGCAGACGATGAATATGATGAGGCACATTCGGATCATTCTCTGGGATTTGAGTTTGACTTTGAGACTTTTGGCTGTGATGTTGTTTAGACAAGTGAGAGCGTTTTTGACTCGGAAATAACACATGGCAGAGATACTGAGAGGAAGCAGGAAGCCAACTGAGACAAGAGCACAACCGATGATGAAGAAAGAGTTGGTCAGAGACACCTGGCTGAAGCTGTGACATTGTGTAACTTCTCCCACTTTAGTGGAGGGAACACCAAATCCATAAACCAGAGAGTGTGCTATCAGGAAGAGCCACACTCCAGCACACAGCTTCTTGATGAAGCTTTTGTCTTTCATTCTGGAGCTCTTGTTGAAGTGCACCACGGCTTTATACCTGTGAAAGCTGATCAGAGTGAGGAAAATAGTGCTGCCGTAGAACTGGGAGCTCAGGAGAGCAATAGTGACAGTGCACAGCACCTTTCCAAACAGCCATTTGTTACCCATGGCAAAGTAAACAGCTATGAGTGGAGTGACAGGAGCACCCAGGGCGTCGCTCAGAGCCAGGCAGAACTGGAGGATGGTCCCAGCGCTCCATGATGACATACGGCAGCAGAAGACCCACAGACTGAAGATGTTAAGGAGGAAACCCATGAAGAAGACCAGGCACATGAGCACAGGGATGGACATGTGCTCAGCAGAGGGCAGGCAGATCCCAGAGTCACTGCTGTTGTTCATACTGAAGAAGACAATAATCCAACCTGGAGAGAGATGGGTATTTATAAATATAATTGTGTAATTTATGGAGTTTGAAGGTTAGGGAGTTTAAAGAAATTTTGTACAAAATAGGTATAAGTTGCCGTTTTTTTTTCTTCAAAATCCAATAAATTTTTTCATTGTGATGACAGTAATGGTCTCTGTTACTATTTAATTCAGCAAAGGGAGAGAGATTTTCAAGGACCAAATATGTATTTTCCAAGACTTTTGGCCTTTTTCAAATTTTCCAGGATTTCCAGGATATGTGGGAATCTTTACTACAGGCTCATTCTATCTTCAGTTTTAAACTGATAAGTATCAGTTCTTTTTGTCAGACTTTTTAATCTGCTTTACATGTTTACTTCATGTAGTCTTCCTGAAGCTTCATGCGATGGCATTCGTGTAGTAGTATTTGGTTTATTGGTCTTTCGAAACAATAGACTGGATAAAAAAAGATGACTAAGGGCGAACGTATTCATACGAATATTTTAATACCAAAATGACGAGTCTACAGTCTACACTTTATGCTCCAAAGCCTCCTATAAAAAGAGTGCTATGCAGTATGTTTATCTCTTATCCCTGCTTATTCATATTATGTCACTATAGTTTATTGCGTGTCCCCTTAGAGAACAAAATGTATTGTGTTGTGTGGTATGTTCTATCCTCAACGTCTTGAGGGACTATAACTGCAAGGCACAATGTTGACTCCTGTAAGGTCTTATAATAACCTCAAGTAAATGGAGCCACATGACTGGATAATGGCCAATCAAAATATTCACATTAGACAGGATGGCTTGAGGATTGGTTTCTGTTAGTTTTATGACATTTGCCAGCATATGTGACGATAGCCTAATATGGATCATACACTCAGAGAAGCTCAATATTCTGTAACTTCTCTTGAAATTGATCTTTGGTAAGTTTAGATGCTTGGATGTGCTATGAAATTTTTTACAGAGAGTAAATGGTATTTTGACCTTTTACACAGTAGATGAAGCTTAAGCCCCCTACTCTCTGACACCTTCTCCGGGACTGCATCCCATATGTGTGATAAGGTATAGGCTCCTTCAGCCATCGAGATCCACAAACTTGGTCTGAGGAGCATACATCAAGATGAGGGAGCATATATGAGTCCAGCAGGGCACCTCTGGTCAATGATCAGATTTCAGAGCTGTCAGCCAGCCATCCATTGTGTGTGGCCCACAGCGTCTCATAACTGCTTTGTGCAGTTGCTGTTTTCCTGTTGGTTTTATCAGGCCAGACACTGGATTTTCTGTTTAGATATGTGTTTAAAAATAGTTCCTAAAATAGTACCTGTATCTCCACAACATGAACACTGTGGAAAAGACAGTTCTAGCCTTGAAAAACAGGTAGCGTTAGAGCCGTTTAGTCCCTGTGGCGATGGCACAACATGCTTAACATACAAACTCATGTCCTACAGGCTCTGTGCACAATAGTGCCCGCAACCTCACTGTTAGCATCACTACTTCCTGTTTTCCTTTTATCTGTGTGGTTTTTGCTGGGTTTTACTAAAATGAATGTTTAAAAATAAGGCAGTGAACAGGAAGCTGCGGGTGGATGTCACTGACAACATGCTAAAAAGTACACAAATAAAATTAATAGTTCAGAGAAGGACACGACTGTGTTTAGAAACAGATGTTTGTGTCTCAGTGCTAACACTAATGTTACTGCTAATTATGTTAAGACATAATAAATATTTTAAAAACTACACAAGCTGAAGTATTACACATATAAAATTTCAAAAATTATTTATATTTAACAATTATACATATATATAATTTATATAATCAAATAAATAACACACATTGGACATTTCTGTCACATTCATAACAAATTAATAGCAAGTTTCAAAATATTTGAACCCTTTCTTGAGCAACGCTGCCCTACAAAGAACGCACAAACTGCACTGACAGTTAAACTGAAAAAAATGTCTTAACATTTAACATTTATAACATTTATATGATATATATATATATGATATATCATATATATCTATATATATATATATCTATATATATATATATATACACACACATATACATATATATATACATATATATATACATATATACATACATACACACATATATATATATATATATATGACAGTGTATTTATGTGAGACTGTATGATGAGTTAGTATTTATCAGTCACAACCACCACCACTTTGACCTTTGACCTCTGAATGTACAGTTAAGTACAAAAATGAGGTCTGAGAAAACATATTTGTGAAAGTTAAGTCTTTTTGTCCCATTGCAGAATTAGAGAACTAAGTATGTTGCAGTATGAGTTGTTTGTTAGTTACAACATTTTGAGCTGCAGTTACTGAATCACTGAAGAAGCTGTCATTAATGCAAATTTCACACCAAGATTTCTTAAAAACAAGACAGAGGTGAGTTATAAATACATAAATACATAAAACAGGTGTTTTGATGGTGCTCTTTGGCCTAAATTCAATTTTGACAAAGTATGCAGTTTTTCCTTAGCAGGGCAGTATATGCAGCCAAAACTTCATTATTTCGCTTTAGATCAATCGCTAATGCTATCATCATTTTTTAAAATACATTTCAAATTGACTGAGCATTTATATTTTTATTAGTCCTAGAGGTGGGTCAAAGATTGGCAGTAACATTGATTTTCACAGTATGGTAGTTTTTCTGTAGTGGCAGATTAAAAAAAGGGCGCCATTTACCCTATTATAATACATATACTTATATTTTTACATTTTACCATTTTTGTCAGTGGTATTTCCAATATAAACAGTAGGTTTCTGGTCTGCTTCAATGTTTGAGTTAAAGTGCAATGAAAAAGGTTCAAAAGGTTTTTCTTGTGGAAATCTTATCAAAGTTCTTAAATATAAAACAGCGCTAAGAGATTTTAAAAACAATTCTTTCATGTTTTGGCCCCGGATATTATCGTCTGTGACAGAAAGGGTGATCCCTCATATCCCCCATGTGCTTTTTCTTACACTTAAACCCAAATCAAACCCTGAAAATTACGGACGGGACAACTTATTATTTACATTAAAAGTCAAAAAGTTGTAAAAATGCCATTAAAAAAAAAAGTTTAATACGTCACATTAACCATACAATGTCACACTAACCATACAACTCAAAATCTTTATAAACTAATACTGCCATTTGTAAAAGCATGCAAGTCCATAAAGACCTACCTGTGTTGCTCTGAGGTGTCAAACTGGAACTGTCTGCATTGAATGATGTCACGTTAAAGTTAAAGCTGTCACAGGAAGCGTTTTCAGAGAAAGAAGATCACACAATTGTCATATAGTGATCACTTCTGTTGACACAAAATAAAACAGCAGATTCACTAATCTGTGATTTCTCTCTAAACATTACTTGCATATGGTTAGATGTGCTATGGGCATTTTTAAAAGGTATGAAATCAGTCAGTTTAGTATTACTAAATTATTTATTTACAAGTATTTCAAAAATGACACTGCCAAAATGTCACACAGTAAACCAAATAATATGAACAGATCCATTACAGTAATGCAAATGTAACAGTAAAGAAACTGCAGTTGGATCAAACAGTGTTCAGTGGGGCACATTTTCTCTGAAATCAAAGTAAAGCAGGGGGCAGTGTCTTCTGGAATACTCACTATTATAATACAAGATGAACCAAATTGGCAGACACTCCAACCTTAAGAAAAAAATAAAATAAAATCAAACATAAAGGCCACTTTTGGATCAAGGGTGAACATAGAACAGACATTACCAAAATATGAAGCTATATGTATCAGATGAATATAGGCTTACAATTCAAAATAGACAGATGGATTTTTACGCTTTAAAACAAAAGTCTAAATGTACATGTCCAGTCACAGTTTATGGTAATGTCTCTTTCCACATGAAACTAAGGATTTCAAGTAAGCCAGTGTTCTTGAATTCATTGTAGGAAAGGAGAATCTATGTTGAACTCTAATCATATATATTAAACTGGAAAAAGTAAATCCATTTGAATGTCCCTTACACTTCAGTGCGGTGTGGAGGGGGTGGAGCTGGAGGGAGGCACGCTCACTGGGTGCAGCCCCAGGTCTAAAGACGGCGGCTCATCGGCTGCAGGTGGGCTCTCTTCTTCTGGGCTTCGAGTTTCTCCGTCAGCTGGGCGTACAACTCCTTCACCGGTTCACTGCACTGTGGAATGTCAGAAGTTTTGATTTTGCCACCCAATTTTTTATTTTGTTTTAACTTTATTTTATTTTAAAGGTGCACTGTGTAACTTTTCATTTGGAGATCTGCCCTTCTGGTTTCTATGGATATGTCATTGCTCTGCTTAGGGTGTTCCACAATATGGCATTAAACAGATCTACCTTACATTTATTCAATTACAGGTGGTATTATGGCTCAAAAATATCTGTGAGCGGGGTTGCCTCTCCACAGATCTGATCTAACTTGTTCTGGTGTGGTCTCCATGAAGATAAAAAGGTTTAATGCCATACTCTGAAACATGCCAGACGAAGCAACAACATCTTCATGAAGAAAAGCATTTGACGGACCCTCCACCAGAAAAGTTACATAATACACCTTTAAGTCAACTACATTACCAGTGAAAAGTTTGGACAAACCTTCTCATTCATAGTTTTTTTTTCCTTTATGTTTACTCCTCTCTACACTTTATATACATACTGAAGACATCAAATGTATGATGTAGCAAAGAAAATAACTCAACAAAACATTTTTTTAATATTTTTTATTCAAATCCTCAAAATAGCCATCCTTTGCTTTGTTGACAGCACTGCCAACCCTTGACTTCTCTCTGGCTGAAGTCTCACTCTTCGCACTTCATAGATGAGCCTTGTCAAGGGTCAAGAAATGCCAGGTTTCAGTGCGAAGGGTGTCTATTTTTTAATTTTTTTTAACAATTTATTTTTTGTTTGCTACAGTCCCCATGTGTCCATTCATTGTTTTCATGCCATCTACAATGCAAGAACCGGTAATAATGGAACTAAAGGAGAAAAATAAATGAAAAACTTTTGACTGGTAGTGCAGATATCATACCTAGAAGTCTATTAAATTTTTTTTTTTATTATTTCAAAAGATACTACGACACCACAAACACAAACACTGTTCCTTTGATGTTAAGTTTATCTGTAGTCAGGTTTAGGTGTTTTATGTTTGAAGAGGAATACATTTAAATATATTAATGCATAAAGGAGAAGTGTTCAAGACCCATAGGAGATCTTACAGTCATTTCTGTTAGGCAATCTGAAATGTCTGAGTCAGTTTGTGAAGTTCGGCATCATTGCGTGAAAGCATGCTTTTAGTGTGTTCAGGTCAAAGATCAGGACAGTTTATTTAGAGCCAACCTGTTTAGGGGGCTCCAGTGTCTTCATGAGGGTCTCCATGTAAGAAGGCAGGACTTTGTGGTGAAGGTGAACCAGCATTCGAAGAGTGTGTCTGTGGACATTCTCTTTACTGTAACAGAGGAGACAGCAATTAAATAATGATAATAAAGGCTAAAATTAAATGCACAAATTAAAATTAGTGGTTCATAGACGTTACACATAACCTTGCACTATCTTAACCTTGCATAGCGCTAAGAATCCATCTTGGTGTATGTATGTAGGTAAGAGCTTTATGCATTCATGGACAGGGAAGATGTCTGTGCAAACAAAAGTTATATTGTTTAGCTTGTTCTGCTGTTGTGAGGCTTTAACAAATCAGATTCAAATAGTCATCATGGCACTCTGCTTTTTCCACAATCAGTTTCAGTGAGAGCCATTTCAGACTGATAAATTGTAGAACTCAATTCAGAGTGCTACATGTATGGGTAGGGTAGTACGACTGAGATTATTTGGAACTACCATACCTGGCCAACTACCATAACTACCCACGGTCTAAATTTGGTTTTAAAAAAAAATAAAAAAATTAAACGATTGTTAAAATAGTTTTGAATACAATCTTATATTTTACAATGACGGTTATAAAAATCTAATGAAAAATTACCTTGTGGGACATTTATAGAAATGCTAATTAATGTACAGAAATCAAATAAATGGTACTTCTCTGGTATTGAGAAAAAAATAGAAATAACTGAAATAAAACATTGTGTTTAACTACTATACTTCTAGGCATTAAATTACTCAGCCCTAGTTCTAAATGAGTGGTAAAGCGGAACTAGCAGACCAAGTATAACACTATTGTTTCAATTTTCACATTTATGGAAAAAAGTGTCAATAAGAAAGTGTGTATATATGTATATGTATGTATGTATGTATGTATGTATGTATGTATGTATGTATATGTATGTATATGTATATATATATATATATATATATATATATATATATATATATATATATATATATATATATATATATACACACACACACACACACACACACACACATACACATATATATATAAAATTGAGGTCACCTTGAAAATGATGTGAGTAAAAATCCATCAAAGACAACAGAACAGAAGTCTTCTGTCCCAAACTCATCTGAGAGGAGGGTGAGGTGCCCGGTCAACAAGTGTAGGAAGATGTCCCCAAACGCCATGTCATTGTATGTCTCCACTGGAATAAAACACACAACTTTGTATAAGAGAGATGAAGCTTACAAAATAAAAATACCTTCTGAGAGTCTTGACTGTATCAGATTTTTTTCTTTGTAGCTGAGCAAAATTGGTTTTACCCTAGAACAGATATGTATAAGCAGCTGTAAAGGTAGAAATGAGCCTGTTTTGTACTGGCTGCATCTATTTATAACACGTTTTATTCGCATAGAATCCAAAAATGCTCTGAAAAATTGTGAAACATGCTTATATGATAAGATTGAATTTTGAATTAAAACAATTAATTTTTCAATTAGTTTTTGTGGTTTAAATTCTGCTCTTGGGTTTTTGTGTCAGTGGTATAAATTAAGTTTTAATATTATCATTACTTCAGCAATATATCACATTTCAAAATTTGTTATCATGATGGGCTTAGCTCAGAACACACATGGTAAATGAGGAATAACTTTGGACCACTGTAAACTGTTTAAAAAGGTTTTTTCATGCTTTTGAGACTGTAAAAATCTGGTACAGCTGTATAGTAATGTACAGTAATGTACTACTATATAGTACTATACATTACTAGAGCCCGACCGATATGGATTTTGCTGTGGCCGATATGAAACCAATATAATGGAAGTTGGAGCTGCCGATAGCCGATATAATCACCGATATATTTAGTGATGTAAAAATTCACTGTAAATGTTGAATTGTTTAAAAAACTTAGGTTTGGCTCTGGTGGATTTTAAATTGGGTTTATTTAGGCAACATTTATTGTTATTCTGCCTCTTTACATCATATTTACAGACAGTAGGTTGGCTTAATGGCATTTTTGCATCACATTCTAGACACTAGTGATGGGTATTCCAGTTCTTTTTAGAGAACCGGCTCTTTTGGCTCGGCTCACTAAAAGCTGCTGGTTCTTTTGGCTCCCAAGTGGCTCTTCAGATTGTTTTGTTGCAAGCAGGACTAAAGCACGTCTAAAGCAGGACTGAATCAGGACTGAACCAGGTCTAAACCAGGACTGAAAAAGGACTAAACCGGGACTTATTTATTTTATGCTAAACTACAGTCAAATATGCTCGTTTTTTTTAATTTTTATTTTTTTTAATCCTACGTACACGCAAATTTCTCAAAGTTTCGTTTTTAGCCGCTGCCGCTGTCAAACCACGAATCTGCACGCGGCGTGAAGAGAAAAAAAGTGAGAGAAAACACGGCTCTCAATAAGGATCAGGCTCCCGTCGTTCCCTTCAAAGAGCCGGTTCTAAGAGTCATTTCGTTCGCGACGGACCCATAACTAGTAAAGAAACTAGCGCTATTAGCCTTTAGCCGTAAATACGTGCGCGCCGCGGTAATTAATTATATGCTACTGGATCAGTGCAGATCCAGTAGCAAATATACGGCCAATATAGTCACTTTAGAACAGACCAATAGAAAACAGTCTGTTTATGTGCGGGAGCTACAGCAGCTAACCCATAACAAATGACAAAAACTAGCTTCAGAGTCGACATATTTCCAACACTCACCGCTCATACAGGCTCCTCCTCACATCACAAATCTGCACTAATAAATGTCCTTTTAATCCAGACTCAAACCGATTGTCCGTAAAAAGAATATAATCTCAGTGTTTGGATCTGTGTCTGCAGGTGTAAACAAACACACGTGAGTGACGCGACTCTGTGGTGTGTTCAGGGACAGTACGGACACACACAAATGACTCCGTAAATACTGATGTGGAGCCACATATTAGGACATTTATCTGTCTGTAAATTGGATTAAATGAACAGAATGTAGAGAGTCTAAGCTTTATAACGAGGTATAACATGCCCACGTGAAATATCGGCCCCTATCAGCAAGCATATCGGCCGATAGCCGATATGCCTAAAGTTGTCCATATCAGCCGATAATATCGGCCAACCGATATATCGGTCGGGCTCTATACATTACTATACAGCTGTATAGTAATGCAGTAAGTAGAACTAGTGCAAATTACTCCTCCCCCCTTGCTGGCTGCACTTCCTCCTTGCTTCCTTCTTGGGGAGACTGGACACTGACTGGAAAAAGTCAGTGTCCAGTCTCCCCAATTTAAACAGCCATTGCAGATACAGAGCTGTTTGTGTTGAGCCTCTCCTGCTCCCCAGCACCCCCTCAGCTTCTCATCCTGTCATCGTCCCCTTCACTCTCCTCATCCTGTCATTGTCCCCTTTACTTTTCCACGTCCTATGTCCAGGCTCCTAAACCTAACCGGCCACACCCTTCATTGCAATGTCTTCTACTGGGGTCTGCTACTGGGTTCAATAAAGCTTATTTATACTTTGTGTCTGTCTGAGTCTCTCCAGGTTGAATTGTAGTATGAAGCTAAAACTAAGGGAAAGAGCTGAACTGACCTAAAGAAGGCAGGAGTCTCTGCAGAGCGTTCTTGTTTCGTAGTTTGGCGATGTGCAGTACATAGTAAAGTCCCATCTCACATGCCACTCTGTTGTCCTGCAGGTACCTAAAAACAACATGAGCTATTCAAAATGTACTTTGCACTTTGTACTATACACATTTTTCCTCTTGTAGATCATGTGTGATCATTGAAATTGTGTCACTCATTCTGTTCATGTTTATGTTACTTGGTTTTAAGAATTAAGTACCAAAAGCTTGTGCAAGTTTCTGTGAATACCACTGCCCTGTCACAAAAACTGTACCAGTAAGATTTAAGCTGTAGGGTCATGTTGATAATTTGCAGTGCCGGGGGTTTTCTACCTGTATGCCTATGGCGCAATGTTCAGCAGTTAACATCGATAACACTATGCCCATATTAGCAATAACTACCAAAAAAGGCTTAAAGATTGTCTGGAAAAAAAAAAAAAAGAAAAGAAAGATTTTAACGCATTTTCAGGAGTCTGATCATTATTGTATACATGGTGCCATTCAGGTGTTTGATTTACAACAAAGAGGTGAGAGTGACTAACTGAAAAAACTCCTAATACTAACTAACTTGACTAAGTTATCTGAGAGAGATTTGTTTAACAGGAGAAAGCAGCTCACGTGTTGTAGTTTCAACTAAGTCAGTTCTTTATGGTCAGATTGTGTTAAACAAAACTCAGATTAGTCCAGTTTGAGTAACAAAGCTTCAGAGAGAGCAATTCCTACATTAGCATCACAATTATTACATTTAGAAAAGGGTTTACTGGGATTACCCTTCCTAAAAGTGGCATGGTTACTAATTGAGATATTTTTGGTATCTGAAGTAAAAGTTTGTTATCTTGACAGGCTTGATTGTCATTGATAAATAACCACCGACACTAAATGACATGTTTTTAATTTGTACTCACAGATACTATATGGAGTTGTCCATATTCATTTATTTTTCATTAATTTTGTTAATTTTTCTCTTGTGTCATTTTGCAGTAGTATTAAGATGCAAAACACAGAACCTGATAACAATCAAGTCACTTTTGAAAAACAGTGGCATTTTGTGGCTTGTATTTTTTTCACACCTCTATGCAGTTCAGACAGAGGAAGTGACATGGCCAAGGTGTTGAAGTTCTTTGCACGATACCTGATAAAAGCGTCTGGTAATGCAGTGGGATATGTCAGCGAGCTCTTCTCTTCACTGGGCAGCTTCTGTTCGACAACGTGAATATGGTCGTCCACAACTACAGACATCATGGCCGGCAGGAAACGTGTCACTACCTCCAAATCCTAATCACAGAGACACAGGGAATATCAGGGGAATAATGTTTTAATAATAATATGCTCATTTTGACATAGCTAGTCACCAGTTTAACTTATTATAGATTGTGTTTTGACTAAACAAGAGCAAAACCTGGACTAAAATTGAAGAATAGACAAGGTAGGACTAGGGTTGTCAAAAGTATCTGGACCACATAGTAATATTAAAGAAAGTAATAGGATTTAATGTTGAAAATATCATTCTGTTGTCTAATTAAAGAGTTTTTAAAAGAAAAAATATTATCATAGTGGTATAGAGATCGGTAGAGAGTATCAAGCCTATACCTTACTATGGAAATCAAGTTATAGTTTTAGAAATTTCAGTATGACAACTACAGGTAAGATACAACATAAGTCCAAACTGTAAATTGGATAAATGAAAACCTTTGAGGAAAAACACATTAGATTTAGATAGACTGGTATAAACTCTAAAACAGGATCAACCCAGGACAAAGCTAGCACTAAAGCCAACATAATTGCAGAACTTAAGCAAAATAACTAAGAGGGACATGAAATGAAACGAGGTGACTGACCAGACGAGGCTCTTTGAAGACTTGGCTGTCAATCATATCCCACGCTCCTTGACCTAAAGACAACATCCTCAAGAGAAGCATCAAATCGGAACTGTCCTGTTAAAGTAGCAAAAGCAACAATCAATCCTTTCAGTTAAAATAGGGCATGACAAATCGGTAGATCATACTATATTATATTCACTATTACAATTGAATTAAATTTAAAAGGAAAGAGAAATCATAAATATAAGTGCATATGACAGGTTTTCATGCTTTTGTAAATATTACTTAATTTGGTGGGATAGTACTTGTGGTAAATATGTAAATATGCAAATATGTGTCAGTTTTGTGGGGAACAAAGTTGAGAAGAAAAGTACAAAAATACAGGAAGTATCAAACACCTCCCCCTGTATCATTAACACCAAAAATCTAAAACGGGGGACAAATTATGCACAAGGAAGGTGTAATTCAACCAAACAAAGATGCTGCCAGATAACAGTTATGCAATTGCTAGGAAGTATTAAAAAAAAAAAAAAAAAAAAAAAAAAAAAGAAAAGTCAGTTTTTCAACAGTGTAATAAGTTGGTGCATCTGTGAATCTATTTTATACACATTTTATAGTTTTTATGCTTTAACTATAACTCACCCTGGGTAGTGCATCCTGACTGAGCAGCTCCTGTATGTTCTTAATGATACTCAGCACCAGAGTGTTACAGGCAAAAGGGTCACACAAGATCATGGACAGATCTCTGATGAAAATAAAATGATATATGTTTAGTTTAGATAAATTCATGTTTTTCATTTTGTCCATAAAAATAACTGACTTACCCGAGGACCTGCTCCTGTCCTTTCTTCACTCCGTCCAAAAAGCCCTGGAGTTCTCGGGCTCTTTTGCCATCAACAAATTTCTCCCTAATACAGGCGTCGAGGCACCAAGTGAACTGTAAGAACAGAATCCCACCACAAAACATCACAGATATGTTCTTTCAGGCATTGAACAATCATAAAGAAGCCACCTGGCCCTTCCTTCAAAGCTCCTGCAATCTAAACCTGTATACATCTCATTGCACATCTATTCCTGGATTTCAGATGACACCACAACCATCTATAGGCCAGTTATATTTAAAGGTGCACTGTGTCACTTTTCTGTGGAGGGTCCGTCAAATGCTTTTCTCCATGGAAATGTCATTACTTTGTCTGGAATGTTTCACAGTATGGTATTAAATCTTTCTATCTTCGTGGAAACCAAACCAGACCAAGATACAGGTCAGATCTGTGGAGAAGCACAATCAGAGAGCCAGCCAGTATTTCTAGATATTTTTGAGCAATAAAACTGCAGTAAATGAATAAATGTTAGGTACAGTTCTTTTAATGTCATACTGTGAAATATTCCAGGGAGATCAATGACATTTGCAGTTTTTTATTGTAATACAGTGAGTACATGGGTCTAGTCAGTAATAGAAATGATCAGGTTCAACATTTGTGACTTGATCTTTTGGCTAGTTCATATCAAAGCACAATATTATCAATGGGAAACACTGGTTCTTGCCCCCCAGCTGGCAGTAAGACATCATCCATTATAGAATCTGAACTCAAAAAATATGGTCGTCTTGACTATTGATTTCATTTTCTATCTGCTTACTTTATGGCAGGGATCCACAGTGCAGATCTCGCTGATGTCCAGGTCGTGGAGGGACATGAGCAGTTCAGCTCGGAGCGTGCAGTAGTGAACGTTTCGAGTTCTTAGAAAAAGAGTCCGGAGAAACTGCAGCACCATGTCATAAAGCTTCACGTTCTTTCCGATCATCTGGGTCAGCTTTAGCACCACCACCTACATGAAGAGAACATTTGAAACAATGCAGCAAATCAGACAGTTGGACCTCTGACAAAAAAAATGTTAGATAATGTTGTCATATTTTGTAAATTGCTGGCTATCATCTCGTCACTTGTTATTAAATAGTGGGCATTATACTTCTATGGGGTATTGATTGCAAACACATAACATATTTAGATCACCATGTTACCTTTTATTGTTTAAAAAAATGCTATATTCGTTGAAAATAGCATATTAAAAATAATTAGTCCCTATCTCCTCAGAGCGCAAGCACATTTACAATCAACGCTCATTCTGCTAATGAAACTGCTGCATATCACATCAGGTTTGTGAAGTTGTGATGCACTGTTTTGTATTCTGCTTTTGTATATTTATGGAGAATTGCGGTGCAGGAACATGGGTCATTTCTATATTTTCTGATCTGAGAGAGAAAAACATTCAAATCTTAGAAGAAAAAGCTGTTTGACTCTTACCTCTCCTTGTCGTCTAGTTTTAGGTGATGGGCTGAAAAAGTTGTGGAGGATGGAGAGGTCACTGCTGAACAGGGCTGACTCCTTCTCCACGATGTACTGCTTGAGAAGAGGTGACACCTCATCTCCAAACAGTGCCTGGTTGTCCTGCCAGATCTGTCTCTTCACTTCCACCGCACACACTTTATACAGCTCTTTGTCTGCCATTACCATCTTTAGCTTTTTCTCTGGCACCTATACAATCAGAAAATGTGTTACTTAAAACATGATTGCATATTTGCATTGAAAACATTATTTTATTTACAACATTTAGCTCAATAGTTTTTTAATAAATATTATCTGTTTAAGTGCATCATTTTTATGTCAACTTAAAGCTACAATATGTAACTTTCCGGAGGTGGTACATCACCAGCATGTTCCTAGAAATAGAAAGTTAAAATCATACCTTGTGTAGCTAGATTTTATGAAGTTTTATTCCATACTGTAAATGATTAAAGGCAAAGGAACAACATTTCTATGAAAAAAGCAGGAAGAGGCCCTCCCCCAGCAAACCTGGAGTAATAAATTATGGATGTTTTAATTTAAGTGCAATAAACAATGAAGAAAATAAAGCTTTTATTTTAATATAATTTTGGTAAAAGCTTTACATACATACGATGGTTTTAATATAATATTAACTATTTTAAAAATCAAATACGTCACAGTTTGGATGTTATGTTTAACTGAAAAGTACTGTAAGTATTTAGAAAATATTTTATTAAAAGTTTCGCTGTTACAATCTTTGATAGTTAATTTTTTATACCTTTGGAAGATGTTTGAGCACTTGCATCACCACTGGCTGAATAGAAGGCATTTTCACCAAAGGAAAGCTCTTCTCCAACAACTCCTCCAGTTTGGAATATCTGAAAACACACAAACAAAAAAATAGCTTTCCAGTGTCTCATCATTTGTAAAATCTGACCTCCATAGTCAACATTACCGGTCCTCCTCTTTTCCCTCTGCGATAATGGCCACTCGCTCCATAAGGTTTTCACGCAGCTCGTCAAACACAGACTGGTGAAACTCCAGCCGTGGTATCCCATGAAGGTCCAGAAATGGGAGAGCAGACTGCAGAGTGGGCAGCAGGATGCCATTTTCCATCTGTCAGGAAAGGAAAACAAACGTGAATCAGTGTAAATTAACACAGTGGGTCTAATCAAAAGTAGCTGCAGTAACAGACTGCAATTTGTAAATATGAAAAATTATTCAGTTAGTAGATAATTGCGATTTTTCTAGTTATAAAAATTATAGTAATAAATATAACAATGAGAATCTTTGGAAGCAGAAATAAGTAATGTATTTTTTTAATGTTGGCTTTTTATGTCACCATATAATGACATATTTTTCAAGTCAGAAAGTATGATATGGACCGTGGGCAGTGTGAAGTGTTGAAATCATTATAGTTTACTTTATTTATTTGACTTGGTTCCTTAATCCTCTGTTCTTCCAGGTATGTTACCACTAACGTGTGACAATGTCTTTTGATTTACTGAATTGAATGACGGTAATGCTAACACGCTAACAATACAAATAAAAAAAATAGTCATTTAATCTAAAGTTATACAAATGGAATACCATAAAAAACATGTTAAGTATAAAATTATTTATCAGTAAGTATTTATCAAGTGATCAAACCTGAAACTGGTCGATAGCTTTGAGTGGCTCCGTGCAGTTGGTGAGAGTTTCCTTTAAATCCTCTCCGTTGGAAATCCCGAGCTCCGGCAGCCCCGCAAACATGTTGCCCGATAATTATTCACCCAAATAACAACTTATGCATTCGTTATATGACTTATGCCGTGGTGAACTGCAAGTTAAAGTGGTTGTGAATACTCAGTTTTGCATCTTTCCTGTCATTGGAAACCATGAACATCCCGCGTTACAACTTTGTAAAAAGTCCCCGAGAAACAATTATCAGCTCGATAGTTCCGCTTATGTGATGAAGGTAGGGTTTTGCTGCCCTCTAAAGCAGTACCTTGAAATACATCAATTCTTTCAGTAAGCTGGGTACGACAATGTTATGATATTGTTAAATGTTAAACCTAACGTTTAATATTTAACAATATTATAACATTCTGTGGTTAAGCCACTATGTAAATGACCAGGTTTAACATTAGTGAATTTACGTAGTAAATATTTCTTATGAAAATACCATGTAATTAATAGGGAAAACTGTCTCTAGTCCCCCATCTAGGAGTATGACATCATACTTCAGTACTGCATATACTGTACTGTATACTGGACTGAATTGTATTCAATTTAGAGTGTAACCACTAGGGGGCGCTGCTCCACAATAATTAATTTGGACCAAAGGGGCACCGTCTTCTGGAATACTCAATATACTCACTTTACTCTATACTCACTATTATAATACAAGATGAACCAAACTGGCTCCAACCTTAAAAAATATATCAAACATAAAGAAACACTTTTGGATCCAGAGTGAACACAGAATAAAAAAATTCAAAATAGGCATGGAGGAGATTTTTCAGTTGAAAACTGCTTTAAAAAAAACAACAAAACAAAACAAAAAAAAACTTAACAATAGTTTCAATAGACACCTACATAGAATGTGACAGCCTCTGAAACCCAGTATGTCCCCCTCATTAGGTCATTTAGGACACTTTAAAACATTTTATAAAATGGTGCCCTATTCTTACTGGCCACACCTGTTGACATCTGACACAGTCCAGTATTCTAAATCCTGTCCACAATGCCAACCACCTGCCCCAAGTAAAAGATTTGATCGGGCACCTCTCATTTCAGTGCCAGTCACAGACACTCCCACATTGTGATGGACACTGTAGGGCCACGTGAGAGAAGCAGTGCAGGCCACAAATAAATTTTATTGCCACTAAATATCCTGAGGTGATTTCCTTCAGAAAAGGAAAAATAGTTCTGTCTTTGATGCATCTCCAGCAATGCCCAGAGTAGAGAAGTTAACTGAATGTTTTGGTTACATTTTTCACTACTCTTGATTTATGCAAAGGCTATTGGCAAATGCCATTAACTTGAACTTGTAAGGACTTAACTTCAGACCATGCCTTTGGACTCCACACCACAAAATAAAAACGAAAATCTAGTCCTAACAAAGTCAAATGGATCCTTGTGAAGCTGCATTTTAGACCTTAAAGACTTGTACAATGAGCCTGGGCTGCAATGTCCAAATTTCTCTCATCTTTTCATTGTGCAGACAGATGCATCTGGGGTTAGATTTGGAGCTGTGTAGGGTCAAGGACAAGACCAAAGTCCGGTGCAGTTCAATAGCCGCAAGCTCTTTCCCAGGGAAACAGAGACTTCAACTGTTGAGATGAAAACCTTAGGAGTAAAATGGGCTCTGTGGGACGGACGGTCACTGTTGAGTTACATTACTCATTATAACTGAAAGCCATAGCCTCGATTGGCTTAATTTGGCTGGAGCCAAATGCTATGGGTGTCGTCACACTCCCTTAGTCCATTTCTTTATACAGTCTATGTATATAATGTTAACTCAGTGACTTCTAGGACTGCAGTTATTTTGTGTCAACATGAGATTCGTGGTCATTTCTGTATCACTTTGCTGAGGCTCTGCTGGCTTGACCTGGAAAGAAGGAAATGCATTTCTAAAGTTCTGTGACCCAAAACAGTAGAGCAGAGGGTCCAGGAAGCAGTTCAGTCCAGCTATAATCCATGAGGCATAGTACGCTGTCTGTAACTGATGGATCACATAGCAGTGCACGTGATAAAACTTTACCATAACTATTGCTGTAGTGCGGATAACATTCATAGGCAGGAAGCAGAGGACGAATATGATGAGGCACATTCGGATCATTCTCTGGGATTTGAGTTTGACTTTGAGACTTTTGGCTGTGATGTTGTTTAGACAAGTGAGAGCGTTTTTGACTCGGAAATAACACATGGCAGAGATACTGAGAGGAAGCAGGAAGCCAACTGAGACAAGAACACAACCGATGATGAAGAAAGAGTTGGTCAGAGACACCTGGCTGAAGCTGTGACATTGTGTGACTTTTCCTACTTTAGTTGCAGGAACACCAAATCCATAAACCAGAGAGTGTGCTATCAGGAAGAGCCACACTCCAGCGCACAGCTTCATGATGAAGCTTTTGTCTTTCATTCTGGAGCTCTTGTTGAAGTGCACCACGGCTTTATACCTGTGAAAGCTGATCAGAGTGAGGAAAATAGTGCTGCCGTAGAACTGGGAGCTCAGGAGAGCAATAGTGACAGTGCACAGCATCTGTCCAAACAGCCAGTCATTCCCCATGGCAAAGTAAACAGCAAGAAGTGGAGTGACAGGAGCACCCAGGGCGTCGCTCAGAGCCAGGCAGAACTGGAGGATGGTCCCAGCGCTCCATGATGACATATGGCAGCAGAAGACCCACACACTGAAGATGTTAAGGAGGAAACCCATGAAGAAGACCAGGCACATGAGCACAGGGATGGACATGTGCTCAGCAGAGGGCAGGCAGATCCCAGAGTCACTGCTGTTGTTCATACTGAAGAAGACAATAATCCAACCTGGAGAGAGACGGGTATTTATAAATATAATTGTGTAATTTATGGAGTTTGAAGATTATGGAGTTTGAAGAAATTTTGTACAAAATAGGTGTAATTTCTAGAATTTTAGTCGGTTTTAGAAGTTTCTTTAATTTTTTTTCCAAAATCCAATAAATTTTTTCATTGTGATGACAGTAACAGTCTCTATTACTATTTCATTCAGCAAAGAGGGAGATATTTTCAGGGACAAAATATGTATTTTCCAAGACATTTGGCCTTTTTCAAATTTCCAGGATTTCCAGGATATGTGGAAACCTTTACTCAAGGTTCATTTTGTCTTCAGTTTTAAACTGATAAGTATCAGTTCTTTTTGTCAGACTTTTTAATCTGCTTTACATGTTTACTTCATGTAGTCTTCCTGAAGCTTCATGCGATGGCATTCGTGTAGTAGTATTTGGTTTATTGGTCTTTCGAAAAAATAGACTGGATAAAAAAGATGACTTAATGGCGAACATATTAATACGAATATTTTAATACCAAAATGACAATGCTCCAAAGCCTCCTATAAAAAGAGTGCTATGCAGTATGTTTATCTCTTATCCCTGCTTATTCATATTATGTCACTATAGTTTATTGCGTGTCCCCTTAGAGAACAAAATGTATTGTGTTGTGTGGTATGTTCTATCCTCAACGTCTTGAGGGACTATAACTGCAAGGCACAATGTTGACTCCTGTAAGGTCTTATAATAACCTCAAGTAAACGGAGCCACATGACTGGATAATGGCCAATCAAAATATTCACATTAGACAGGATGGCTTTGAGGATTGGTTTCTGTTAGTTTTATGACATCTGCCAGCATATGTGACGATAGCCTAAAATGGATCATACACTCAGAGAAGCTCAATATTCTGTAACTTCTAAATTGATCTTTGGTAAGTTTAGATGCTTGGATGTGCTATGAAATTTTTTACAGAGAGTAAATGGTATTTTGACCTTCTATTTTTAAACAGTAGATGAAGCTTAAGCCCCCTACTCTCTGACACCTTCTCCGGGACTGCATCCCATATGTGTGATAAGGTATAGGCTCCTTCAGCCATCGAGATCCACAAACTTGGTCTGAGGAGCATACATCAAGATGAGGAAGCATATATGAGTCCAGCAGGGCACCTCTGGTCAATGATCAGATTTCAGAGCTGTCAGCCAGCCATCCATTGTGTGTGACCCACAGCGTCTCATATCTGCTTTGTGCAGTTGCTGTTTTCCTGTTGGTTTTATCAGGCCAGACACTGGATTTTCTGTTTAGATATGTGTTTAAAAATAGTTCCTAAAATAGTACCTGTATCTCCACAACATGAACACTGTGGAAAAGACAGTTCTAGCCTTGAAAAACAGGTAGCGTTAGAGCCGTTTAGTCCCTGTGGTGATGGCACAACATGCTTAACATACAAACTCATGTCCTACAGGCTCTGTGTACAATAGTGCCCGCAACCTCACTGTTAGCATCACTACTTCCTGTTTTCCTTTTATCTGTGTGGTTTTTGCTGGGTTTTACTAAAATGAATAACTAAAGATAAGGCGGTGAACAGGAAGATGTCAATGACAACATGTTAAGAAGTACACAAATAAAAAGAATAGTTAAGCGAAGGACACTACTGTGTTTAGAAAGAGATGTTTGTGTCTCAATGCTAACACTAATGTTACTGCTAATTATGTTAAGACATAATAAATATTTTTTAAAACGACACAAGCTGAAGTATTCCACATACAAGCATTCAAAAATGTTTCATTTTTATATTTATACATATAAAAACTCACACATTGGACATTTCTGTCACATTTTCACAATTTAAAAAATATTTTAACCCTTCCTTGACCAATGCTGCCCTACAAAGAACGCACAAACTGCCCTGACAGTTAAACTGAGAAAAATGTCCTTAAATATATGACATTTATGTGATATATATGACAGTGTGTTTATGTGAGACTGTATGAGTTAGTATTTATCAATCACAACCACCACCACTTTCACTTTTGACCTCTGAATGTACAGTTAAGTACAAAAATGAGGTCTGAGAAAACATATTTGTGAAAGTTAAGTCTTTTTGTCCCATTGCAGAATTAGAGAACTAAGTATGTTGCAGTATGAGTTGTTTGTTAGTTACAACATTTTGAGCTGCAGTTACTGAATCACTGAAGAAGCTGTCATTAATGCAAATTTCACACCAAGATTTCTTAAAAACAAGACAGAGGTGAGTTATAAATACATAAATACATAAAACAGGTGTTCTGATGGTGCTCTTTGGCCTAAATTCAATTTTGACAAAGTATGCAGTTTTTCCTTAGCAGGGCAGTATATGCAGCCAAAACTTCATTATTTCGCTTTAGA